ACTTTCTCTTCCCCTTCAAAAATACACTATATTAACAATAAACACGCTTAGGATATTTATTAATGGTTTTTTAAACAACTTATAGACAATAAAAATAAAATTCTAAATGTCCAAATAGGGTAATTAATACAAATCAATATATAGTGCAACAATGTAAATGGCTCACCCCGTTTTGTTGCTTGTTTTTTTATTTTAAATAAATAAATAAAATAAATAAAAAAAGGATTTAGGTTAAAATTATTTGAATGAGAGACTTACTTTTCATTGTCTAGATCGATTTTTTGTTTAAGTAAATCAATTTCTTTTTCTTTAGCAGCCAACTTTTCATTTATTAAACTAAAAATTTAATTTCAATTATTTTTAAAAATTTAAACTATATTTCCTTTTTGGCGCTAAAAATTCAGATTTGTAAAAAATTTCGAAAATACTACTAAAATGTCGTAATATTTTAATCAAAAAATATTTTATCAGAATATTTTTAATCTTATTTAACATTCTACCTCTAAACATATCTTTGCTTGATGGCCACTTAAAATGAACACTTCAGGATGAAATATTTTATCAGAATATTTTACCTCTAAACATATCTTTTCTTGATGGTCCCTTAAAATGAACACTTCAGGATGATCCTCATCGACAGATTCTACATAAACTTCACATTTCCTTTTAATTAATTTATATAAACCTTCATATGTGCTCGTCCAGAATCAGTTTTTCCATCATTTGGATTTTCATCATTATACAAAGCAATCAAATCAGTCTTTGCCTTTTTAGCTTCAAATATTTGAAGTATTGTTCTACCAATAGCTGAAGTTTCATCTTCAATATTAGCTTTAGATAAAGTCCAATCTTGTCCATTTTTAGAATCGGCATAAAGAAAGGATGTTCCATTAGAAATTGAATTGGGTAATTTGTAAGCTACGAACCTTTAAAAAAGTTAGAGAAAAAGTTTAATGACCCAGACAGGCATCGACCCTTTGAGCATTCTGTCAGTCATTACTGATCACTAGAGATAGAGATTTTTGAAAAGCCTGGGCCTGTTACTGGACTCTGGGTACAGAAAAACCCCAGGCTTGGTCCAGACGCAGTTCGATCTCTGATTGTGAGTCCCTCCCTGTTCGTTCGACAAATACAAGGTGCTCTAACGATTGACCTAATAGGGCCCCATCTTGTGAGTGTTTCTAATGGTCAATTGGATTTCACCCTTGTTTATAATCCCAAAAAAAGTCTGCAAGTTTTATCAGCAAAATTTTTTAAATTTCTTACTTAAAACCTGCAAGGGCTTTCTAAATAACCCTTTTAAATCATTTAATAAAAAATTATATACACCTTGCGGGTAAACTTTCAGAATTTTGAGAGTATAACGGATCATTTCCTTATATATTAAAAATCCCCCTTAAATCCAAAAAAAATAAAAAAATAAAAACCAATCAACATCAGCTCCAGTAGGCGATTTGCATGAATATGTTGAAGCTTCAGTAAAAATTGACAAAAATGAAAAGATAAGAAGTAAACAAAATCCAAACAAAAAGAAAATTGAAATTATAAACCTGTTTGATTTCATTAAAAAGAAAATTTCTAACCTTTAAAAAAATTTTTTTAATTAGAAAAAAAATTTTTAAAGTCATCAAAACACTTGCGTGCTTGAAGCAAGAGAAAATATAGACCAAGTTTTTACTTTTATTCCTCAAAAAAATTTTATTTTTAATAGACAATATATAAAATACGACAAGCATAACGACAATCATTCGCAGCTTGAAAAAGCGGTCTCCTTTTTTGAAGAAAAAGTGGTCCTTGATTGATTGAGTTTGAACCTCTTTAGTCATTCCCTCCAAAGGATAGTAGGTGCCACCAAGCTAAGCATCTGAATATTAATGTAAACTGTAAAGGGAAACCTACCAGACTTAAGCTGGTCAAAGACTCCCTTAACTTTGTCCTGTATTTCAGTATAATTCTCTTTAGTCAAGCACGGGTTGAACGGATACCCATGCACAAGAAAAATAAACATATTTTAACAACACACAAAAACCTGAAGAAAACGCCCACATTGGACACGTGTCGAGATGATGAATTTACCCTCAGGATCCAGGTCAGGCAAAAGCTGAGTCTTTCCTTCACCAAAATCGGTTTGAGGCTGCTTTTGATCAGGTCCAAATCCATTGTGATAGTCCTGAAAGAAGTAATTTCAACCTTCTTCCTTACAATTTTTATAATCCCAAAAAGTCCGCAAGTTTTATCCGCAAGATTAAGCCCACTCTTATATCTTTTAACAAAAAATTTTATACACCTTGCTGGATAAAACTTAAATAATTTTGAAGGAGTAAAAAAAAGACCCTTCCCCCAGCTATAAAAAAAAACAAAGGGCAACCCTCCAATAAATAAAATTTAAGCAAACCAGTCAACATCAGCACCAGTAGGCGATTTACAAGAATATGTAGAAGCTCCAGTAAAAATTGACAAAAATGAAAAGCTGAGAAGTAAACATGATCCGAACAAAAATAAACTTGAAATTATAAACCTGTTTGATTTCATTAAAAGATAAATTTCTAACCTTTAAAAAAAATTTTTTTTTAATTAGAAAAAAAATTTAAAAGTGATCTAAACACTTGGGTAATAGTGTCGTTTCCCGGCCCCATTTTTTCTCCCCAATTTTTTACCCTATGTTTGTACGGAATGGTCAAATTTTCCCCTTTCTTTCATCAAATTTGCCATTCCATATTTTGCCTAAAATCAATCAAAAAGATTAATTTTTTATTCAGTTCTTTCACAAGGAGAAACACCAAGCATGAAAGATGTTTTCTGTCTATTATAGAAGAGAAAAGAAGTGCGGAAAATATCACAAATTAATCTTTTTGATTGTTTTTAGGCAAAATATGGAAAGGCAAATTTGATGAAAGAAAGGGGAAAATTTGACCATTCCGTACAAACATAGGGTAAAAAATAGGGGAGAAAAAATGGGGTCGGGAAACGACACTATTACCAACACTTGTGTTAACTTGGAAAGTGATCTTCTTAAAATCCACGGCGGGGCTAAACGGGACATTGGGGGTCAAAGTAACCGAAAATACCGGTTAATAACCTGTAGTGAACAACCTTAGTGTCAAGGGAAAAAATCACTTTCCAAAGCTGAAAAAATCAGAAGAAAATATAGACCAAGTTTTTTTATTCCTCAAAAAAAATTTTATTTTTAATAGACAATATATAGAATTTAATTTATTTTTTTTCTAAACAAGTTAATGCGAGAGAGAATGAAAAGGAGACAAAAAAATAATTTTTTTTTTTTGAATTCATTTTTAAAATATTTTAATCATCAAATAGGGACAATAAAAAGAAGATTGAAGTAAGATAAAATTTTTTTTAATTTAATATATTTGGCAGCAGTAATTAAATAGTCCCAGAGACCTTTATAAAATATTTAAAAAAATTTCTAATCGAAAAACGTATTTGTTTGAACAGCTTTAATACAGCTAAAAAAATTTTTTTATAAAAAATCTTGTCCGCAAATAATGTCCGCAAAAATTTAAAAAAAAAGTTTTAACGTTATATGAGTTAAAAAATTCGACAGCATTTAAATTAGCAGTTAAAAATTAATTCGCTAGCAGTTAAGAGATTGTCCCGAGAATTTTTTTTTTATTTTCTTAACAAGATTCGACTATAAATTTAAAATTTTATATAAAGGTTTCTGAGACTATCATAAACCTTTATTTATTTTTAAAATGAATTTATTTTTTAATTGAAAAAAAAATTTTTTTTTAATTTTCCTCCTCAAAAATAAATTCAGTTTTAAATTTTAAAAAATATTATAAGTAAATGCAAAAAAAGAGAGTATAATATATAAAAACGAGGGAATTTTTGAGTATTTTTTTAATGTTTTTTTGAATCTAAAATATAACAAGTTCACACATTTTTAATTAAATAAAAAATTTTTTAGATAAAATTTGCGCGAATCAACATTTGCGGACAAAAGGAAAAACCGAAAACAAAAAACGCTATGGGAGAGGTATGTATGTTTGTTCCAAATGCTGAGGGGGAGAGGTATTGGGAAATATTTTGTGAAGTTTTGTAAAAGTTGAAGAGTAGAAAATTGGACTTGGAAATTGGACTACTAGTAAACGAATACAAGATTTCAAAAAATTCTTTTATGAAAACTTCATAAAATAAATAAATCTGGGAATATCCGAATTCCCCTCAATATCAGAATTCCCCTCAAAATAAATCTGGAAATATCAGAATTCCCCTCAAGTTTCTTTTAAGCTAGTCCTATAATGGCGGAATCAAAACCATCTTTTTCTCAAGTTAAAATTTTTAGAAAGAAAAATTACAAACATTTGCGAATGTCCGCAAATGTTGTTTATTCTTTACTCTATACTATGTATAACAATAAAATTTCCTATTATTTTACCATTATTTTTTAATTTAAAAAAAAACCTTTTCTTCTCTCTCATTTTGTAAAAGTTGAATGCCGCTGTTTATTATTATTACTCATATTTTGTTCATTAAATAAATTGCCTTTATTATTTTCACTATTTGACTTGTTCATTTCAATTGGTTGCAATAAACTTGCTGTTGACGCCAAAAAATCTAGACCAGATGCTTCCTCTTCTATTAATACTAAAATTATAAAAAAAATTTTGTGAGTATTCCTAAGCTTCTTTTTCTTCCAAAAAAAGATTTGCCAAATTTTGAGGACTTTTCCCATTTTTAACATAAAAAACATATTAATTTTGGTATAAACCTGGGATGGATCGGGCCAAGAAAATAAATAGGAATGGTTTTGAAAATTGTTTTCGGATGGGTTTTAGGCAGCTAAGAAGTCCAGATTCCGGGTAATCCGACCCATGTCCGGTGTAAAAGAAATTGAACGACCCCAAAACACAAGAACAAAAAGTCATTTCAAAAAGTACTTTCGAAAAGTAGTACGCCCCTCTAATTAAAAAAAGGCCAGTTCAAACCAACAGAATTGGACAAGACTGCAATAAAGTACGCCCCTCTATCTCAACTTAAGAAATAAAATTTAAAAACAAACCTGGAATATTTTGAATGATTTTTGTCGAAAACAAAGTTGGCGCTGATGTTGTTGTTGTAGTAGTAGGAGGTAATGGTTGTACCACACTTGAAACACTACAAAAAAAAAATTTTTTACTACTAAAATAAATTTAAAAAATACTCCATTTTCATTTCTTCTTCCCCACTACCACTACCACCATCAGCAGCAACAAATCCATTTTGTTCTTTCCCTTGTTTACAATTATTTTTTATAAAATTATCATCATTTTCAATTTGTATATAATCATCCAAATTATCCTTATTTTTTGTTTCATTGTATAAATGACTATCATCAACAACATCAACAATAATATCAACACAATTTGAAGAGGATGGTGAAATATACTTTGTTGTTAAACTATTATTTGTTGTTGTTTTATCAATAATAGATTTATTATTGCAGTTACGAGAAAGTAGAAGATTTGAATAATGAAAGTTGCTAAAATAAAAAAAATTTTTTTTGGATAAATTTAAAAAATTATGAGAAATTCTCTAAAAATAACTTTAAAAGATCCTAACTGCTGACATAATGTCCCTCTCTCAAATAATTACCCTACCGCTCTTTTAATTACCCCTTTCAACGAAAAGTCGAAATAATAATTATCCTTGGTAATTATTCCAGGATTTAAGGTAATCAAATTTATGAGAAGAAAGTACTAATCAAATCTCGATATAGCCAGGAAATAATCAAATCTCAATACAGCCAACAATAATACATAACCTCTTCTTATCACTCCATAGCACATCGCTCACAATTCGTGTGCGTCTCCAAATCTTCTTATTATGCACACCAAATTTTGGTTCCGAGCAAAACGCTTTATCGAGATTCGACTGTAATATAGAAAGACCAAACTTACAAATTAGAGTAGAAAATGCAAAGAGAAATTAAGTAAAGGACTAAAAATCGAAGAGAAAGAGAATTGATGGAAAAAATATATTTTTTAACTCAAAATCAGATAAGGTATAAAAAGGAATATCCAAAATCAAATTTAAAATGCTCAAAAAAATTCCAAAAAATTTTTTTTTAAAAACCTTTTATTTTCAGCTTTTCCATATTGTTGTTGTTTCTGTTTTTGTATATCCCGTTCAAATACAAAAGGTCTTACACGAGCACAAGCATTAACAACAAATGAAGTACCTTCAGCACCAAGTTGTTCTTTTAAAATTTTTACAATTTTCTCATCTGAAAAAAAAATAAATTTTTTACTTATGTTATTAAGGTTCAGAATATGACTGACATGAACCGAAGACAAAACCGAAGACCAAAATTTTATTATCAAAAACAACACCCTTTCATTGGTATAGTCCAAAAAAGAGAACGAATCTCTTGGAAAATAAATTTATGTAGACTTTACTTAAAACCAAAAACCCCAAAAAAAAAGCCTCGGAAAAAAAAATTTAAATTTTTTATGAAAATGAGTTTAATTTGACCTAATTACTAAAAATTGGATGGACAGAAGGTATTTAAACCGTTTACATAATTTTTAAAAATAAATTGATAAAAAATTTTTTTTCAAACAAACCTATACTATCAGAATCATTTTTAACATCTTTTTTATGTTGACTATTAAATTTATTATTATTATTTGGTTGTTGAAACAATTCATTTTTTGTTGTTATTGTTGATTTTAAGTTGTTACTAATACCATAAATTTGGGTAGAATTTGTTGAAGTATTTATTGAAGTAATAGGTGGAGGAGGTGGAGGTGGAGGCATTGAAATAGATGATAAAACTGAGGTAGACGAAGACGGAATTAATGGGAATTCCTTTAAAAAATTGAAAAAAATTTAAAAAAAATTTAAAAATTAAATAAAATTTAAAAAATTCTAAAAAAATTTCAAGAAAAAAATGAAAAAATTTCAAAAAAAAATTTCAAAAAAATTTTTAAAAAAATTTCTAAAAAAATTTTTTAAAAATTCAAAAAATTTTTTTTTGAATTTCAAAAAAAAAAAATAAAAAAAAATTCTAAAAAAATTCAAAAAAAATTTTTTTTAATTTAAAAAAAAATTCATTAAAGAAAATTTAAAAAGAAAACCGCCAATTGTGCCAATGCCAAATCAGCCAAATTTTCCATTGCTTCAGTTGAACAACTAGTAACATTTGTACTTGTTGAAGGTTGAATAATATGGTTATTAATGAGTACAGAATTATTTGAAGTAGAAGAATAAATTTGTTTGAATGAATTGTTTAAATGCTCTGGTATTTTATTTGCAAAAATTGAAGAAGAAAATGTTGAAGCAATTTTTTCTTCTTTTTTAATTGTATCATCTGAGTCTTTCCACCTTTAAAAAAATAATAAAAATTAGAAAATTAAAAATTTATATTAACACTAAACAGCCGAAACCCTCAAAAAATCACCAAAAAAATTTTTTTCTTAGTTCAAAACAAACTTGCCCTATTAAAATAAACACAAATATATAAACATCAAAAATATTTAATTTTTAAACAAAAAATTTTTTTATTTGTTTCATATTTAATTTGATACGAATTATCGCATACTCAAGAAGCTTCAAAAACATCGATTTGAGAATAAATTAATACTAATAAAAAAATCAAAATTTAATATAAACATGCTTAAATTTAACCACCAATTCCTGAAAACACAACAATAAAAAATCAGAATTTAAAACGAACATTTCCACAAAACATTTTCCGTAAGAAAATACAAAAATCAGAATTAAAAACAAACATTTCCAATATAAACATTGTCAGAAGAGAAATGCAAAAATCAGAATTTAAAACAAACATGCAGGAAAACCGCAAGAAAAATACAAAAATAAGAATTAAAAACAAACTTAATATAAAACCAGAATTTAAAACAAACATTTCCGGAAAACCCTTTCCGGAAGAAAATACAAAAATCAGAATATAATAAAAACATGCAGAAATAAACTAAATATAAAGCAGAATATCATAATTTAAAACAAACATTTTTTTAATAAAAACACTAAAACAAACCTATTAGGACGTCTTTTCCCCCAAATTTTTCCTTTAAAACAATTAATGTTGTTTGTGTTGTGATTATTATTATTTATTTGTTTTTGTGTTTCTTCTTTTGTTTGTTGATGTTTTTCTTGTTGTTTATGTTGTTCAACATTGTTGTTGTTAATGTTGTTTGTTTCTTCTTTTCTAGGATATTTTCTTGGTCTCCCAACATTTCTTTTTTTAATTTGTTTTGTTTCAACTGTTGGTTTTGTTGTTGCTGTTGTTGTGGTTTTTGTTGTTATTTGAGGTATTATTTCTGATTTTTCTTTTTTAATTGTTTCAGTGGGGATATCAACAACAGCTCCATCTGCTTCAGTATCTCGAAGTAATTTTCGAAGTCTTTCAGGCACTAGAAGAAAATATTTATATTTTCTATTTTATAAACTATATTAAAAAAATTTTCCGCAGTGGGATTCGAACCCACGACCTCAAGCAAAAAAAAATATTTTTTTTTTCTTAATTTTATCCCGCTACACCAAAAATGTAATCACCTATGAATTAAATAAAAATTGCAGTCCCCCAATGGGATTCGAACCGTCGACATAAAAATAAATTTTTTTATTGATTTTATCCCACTACACCAAAGTGGTAATCACCTAAAAATCATTATCCATCGGTGGTATTCGAACTCTCAACCTCATTTTTAAATAAATTTATCCCACTACACCAAAATGTCAGACCTAAAAGGAAATTTCTGTTAGAAATCTATTCGGTATATTGCTCCCAAATATTTTTAAAAATATAATAAAAAAAATTAAAAACAAACTAAAAGGCCGTTTCGGAAGTTGATAAAGTTCAGCAATTGCTTCACTAGCACCACAACTTTCCCGAGAAAGATTTCGATTATGACGACGAATTTCACGAAGGATTTGGGTTGATTGATCACTCAAAGATGAATTATTATTTAATTGTTGCCTTCTAGAATTAGCCAATTCAGCTCCAGTTAGGTCCAAACCAGCAGCTAACCATTCAGAAAAATTGTCGTAAGAAGGATTTAATCTAAAAATGGATTATTTGAAGGAAAAAGATAAAGAAAGAGGTTCGATTTTGGTATTTAAGAGAGTCAACGTTAAAATGGTCAATTCAGGTCAATTCAAAGATGTAACCATGGGGAGTGAAAAGTTGGGAATTATAAAAATTTGTTAAAATTTTTAAAAACATTTTAGTTTAAGGAAATAATCAAGCTTTTCGTGATATTCCTAAAATAACTTATTCCAAAAAATTTTAACCCTCAAAAATTTTCAAGGGGTCAACTTCAAAGAGCTCAAGGATGTATCCATGGGCAAATCTAAAATTTGGGAATTGCTCAAACTCGTGAAAACTTGAAAATAAAGAATAAAGAATTGTTCGATATTTATACTTTTCAAGGCCAGTAGCCTGGGAGTATAGATTCCAAAAAAATCCCAAATAAATTAAAAATAAATTAAGAGAAAAAAATACTTTTGAACAATTTCATTTAAGTATGGATTATTCGCCGCAATTCTCAGATTCAAAGAAAATTCCTGGTCAGTAATGCTAAATATAAAAAATAAATTAATTTTTAAAAATATAAACAAACAATAATGCCGATTTTAAGTGTTCAAGAATAAGTTCTTTGTATTTTGTAAGTGGCCCTTGCGCCCGAAAAGCATAGAGGACGTGTTCAAAAGCTTGTTTTTCTAAATAAAATTTATTTAAATTTTTTAAGAACAGTGTGTCGGCCTTAAGGTTTTCCCAATTCTGAAAGTCTGATGGAATTAGAAGGAAAATTCCCATAGCTTTTTTTGTTTGCTTTTAGGACCAGACAGAATTTGGAAAAATTTTTAGGAGAAAACCATAGATTTCATTAAACCATAGAGTTCAAAGAGCAGACAAAAAAAAGTAAGAAATATGGAAAAATTCAAGGAAAATACTAGAGACATCCAGGAACAGTCCAGGAGGACAAAAAGATGAAAAGTTGACCGAATACCAAATGCCCAAAGTTCAAAATTATGAGGTCCCTAAGAATGAGGTCACCAGTCCCTAAAAACACCCAAACTAAAAAATAACAAACCTAAAGCTTTTAGAAGAAATTTGGCATCTTCCTCCTCCAAATCCTTTTCGTCCAAAATGTTTGAGGCTAGATTTTGAACTGCACTAGTCGAAGGCTGCATAAATTGAAAAAATCCAAGTTGGTACAAAAAACAATTTAAATAAATTTTTAAGTTGGAAATGCGTGAGATTTTTGTCTCTGAAACTGAAAAAATATTAAAATTGAATTAATTTCCCTAATTTTCGTTAAACGAGAAAAATAAAATCGGGTAATTTATTGATAATTTTCTAGGTAAATTTATTTAATGGATCCGCCATAGATCCTTAATCAGATAAAAAGACAAACAAAAAAAAGCAATCACGCTGCTAGAAAAGAAAATTAGGTAAATGCAAAAAAGAATGGAAAAAGACTGGAATTCTCCATTGTTTAGGGTACTTGACAAAATATCAACTAGTTGACACTTTGAAATTTTCCAAATTGAAAATTAACAGAATTACTTACAGTAAGCTTGTGTAGATTTTTAGTTTAAAAAGTTTTGGCTTCACTTTTTTTCTTGATTATGGATTTTTTCTGGGGTTCGTAAATCTCGCGAGATTTTTGTTTTTTTTATTGATTTTTTTTATTTTTTTTTGTTCATCTCATTCGTTTTTTTATTTTATTCGTATTTTCATTCTTTATTCGTTTTTTTTCTCACTGCCCCCTTGCTGCGAACGCAAAAATTTATAAAATAAAATTTAAAAATTTTGAAAAATTGAACTAATTTCCATCAATTTGAAGGCCCCATGGTTGCACTGCGATGTGGTCCTCATGGTGGCTCCATCAAACGGTGATTTTTTCCCCATGTTATTTTAAAATTTTTAATTAAAAAAATAACCTTTTTTATTTTCATGTTTTTTCGTCTGGTGGTGCTTGTGGTGGTGGCCTTCATGTTGGTGGTGGTCTTGGTGCCTTCTATGGTGGCGGTTTTTTTGTTTTTTTTTTATAAATTTTAATAAATTTTATTTTTTTTATTTTTAAAAATTTTTTTGTCTTCATGGTGGTGGTTGCTCTTCATGTTGGTTGGTGTTGCTCTGCATGGTGATGGTTGCTCTACATGATGGTTGGTGGTTGCTCTTCATGGTGCTGTTCTTCAATGCATGTGCGGTTTTTTTTATTTTAAAATTTAAAAAATAATCCTTATTTTATTTTTATATTTTTTTTCTTCTAATAGATGGATGCTGGTGTGGTGCTGCTGTCAATGCTGGAGTGGTGCTGCTGTCAATGCTGGTGTGGTGCTGCTGTTCAATGCTGGGGTGGTGCTGTTTGGTGGAGGACGGTGTGGTTTTGTTTTTTTAAAAATTGAGGAGGGAGGGTGGGTATTTTTTAGCTAGATCTGGTGGCTCTTGTGCATCTACTGGCTGCTCGTGTGGATGGAATGCTCTTCGTGGTCCCCCTTTCTTCACTGTTGGCCTGGTAAATTTTAAGGATTTTTATCGAAAAATTGCTAAAAATGCGCTTGCGATCCCTCTCATTCCGCTCATTTTTTCACTTGTTTTGTCTTTTTTTGTCTTTGTTCAAATTTTTGTCTTGTTTAATTTTCTTTTGTTTTGAGATATTTTTAGAGTGATCTGGATGGTGGTGGTGCTTCTACAATCAAGAATCAATTGGATGGAAAAATGCGTGATTGGGATCCTTGGAAAAGGTTTGGGCAGGGGTGAGCAAAAGGAAGGGGTGAGCTCGTTTGATTAATCGATTGTTTCTTGACTCTAAGTCGTTCAGTTTTATTTTTTATTTTTGGCATTCTGTTTACGCCAAAAAATCTTATTTAAAATTTTTTTCCTTTATTTCTTTTTTGCCTTTCTTTTTTCTCCTTTTATTCTCTCCCTCGTTATCTTTCTACCCCCATTTGAGTCTTACCGTTTCACAAGAAAATTTTTTCGTTCGTTCGACCTTAATCAGATTTTTTAAAATTTTTCTCAAAATTTTAGATTTAAAAATTTTTTTATAATTTAATGTTCTCCACTATTGAATTTATTAAACGCCATAAACGCAAAATTGCTGCTGGAACTGTCGCTGCGGTTGCAACATGTTATGGAGCTAAACGTTTATTGGAAACTTCAACATTCAACGATTTTGTTCGACAACCTTTCTCATTTTTACAAAATAATGAAGATAAACAGATAGATGAACGTTTGGATGAGGTTTCTTTTTTTAATCGAAATCTTTAGGGAAAAGATTAATTTTTAAGCTTTTTGAGGCGTTATTCTAAAAACTGAGATTGAGATATTTGAAAGGCCTGTTACTGGGTTCTGGGTTTGATTTATTGAACTGGGCTGGATCCTGGGCATGTAGTCCAGGAAAACCCAGACCCAGGAAGGTAAAAAATGCCTGGGCCTAGACTCTGGGTACAAAAAATCGGTCTAAACCCAGCTCGATCTCTACTAAAGACAAACATAAATAGGAGTTAACCGAGAGCTTTAATGGACAAATTTTTTTCCTGAGGTATGGTTTTTCTGGACTTAAACCCATTACTTCCCCAATTAAACAGCTCAAGCCCAATTTTATGTAAACCAGGTGACAAAGTTTTACATAAAATTTAAAATTGCTCTGTGGTTTCCTCAGTTTGAGTTTTCCTGGGCTCCAATTAATGACTTTCCCCGGGTTAACAACTCAAGTAGCTTGCTCTGTCGGTTCCTGACTGAGTTTGGTTTTCCTAGACTTCAACTCAGGATTCTGTTTTTCTAAATTTTGGTCTCTGGTTTACTATTAGGATGTTAAGGACAGAAAACTTGTGATGATGAATTCATTTCTTATCCTTTAGGAACGCCTCAAATTAATGATAGAACTGAATCAACAGGCTTGTGACAAAGTTTTACTTAAAATCGCAGTTCAATTAAAAGCCAAGTTGGACAATACTTTTGATACAGATTCTCTTTTAGAACAACTTTCAACGCCTGAAATTGATTCAAAACGGAAAATAGAGCTGTGGGAGAGATTAAAGGTTTATTATTATTTTTAGGATTCGGGTTATTTTTGTGGAAGGTGGGAGACTTGAGGAGTTGTTTCTGGTGTGAGTAGGCCTGTTACGATTTTGAATAAATTTGGGAGACTTGGAGTGTGTGTATAGTTCCGTTGAGATTTTAAAGGAATTTGGAGGGGCTTGAAGTTGTGTCCTCTCTATGTATGTATAAGGGATGCCTTAAGTTTTAAGGATTTGGTAATAGTTAAGTTTGTGTTTCCCTTTTTTTTATTCTGCTGTAGGGTAGTGTACCGAGGTAATAGTTCGGGACTTGGCATGTCACTCCTATAACGGTCCAGAATCATTTTCGGAAATTGGGAGTGGTACCGTTCGACTGAGCTCGTTGAGACGAATCGTGTGACATATGTCACGTCCCGAACTTTTACCTCGGTACACTACACTACAGCGGAAAGAAAAAAAGGGGAAACACAAACTTAACTATTCCAAGGATTTTTATTTTTTTTCTCTGATCTCCTAATTTCTTTATATGTTTGTTTTTGGTAGCCTTAAGTGTTTTTCTGTGTTCCAAAAAATAAATTAGGTCCATGGTTCCGTTCTTGACAGTTTTAACTTGTTGAAGTTCTAAGGTTATTGCTCCATGGGGTTTTGCTTCCTGGTAGTTTAGTAAGCCGGGATGACATTAGGTCCCATTCGGGTTTTTTTTGCCGCGTACAAATAACAGTCCTTTCCATTTTATAAGAGTTACTGATTATTTTTATTTTACAGGTTCTGTCAATTTCAAAAATCTTTTCTGCTATAACCATTTTCCCGTTAGTCACAATTGTATTGAAAGCGCAAAGAGCAATATTATGTCAAATTGCCTGTAATGAATTAATTCAAAATACAAAACATTCAAATGATTTTAATGCTACTTCAATTTATAATGATGGAATGTTAGTTTCGTTTTAAAAGTTTTTTATTAGTAAGGTGAAGGATTCGGGCCAAAAGTTCACGGGCGAGGTTTATTGGGGGTAAGACTTTCGAGTAGGGGGTTTTAGCCAAAAAAAAGTTCAAGGGTCTGGGTTAGACGTGATATGAGTTAAACTTTCAAATATTTAACCACATTATGTGATTTAACTCCTAAATAGCCATTTTTTGATTTCTAGGCTACCGTTACCAATTTAAATTTTCTGGTCCGTCTAGTGATACATCCGGAACGTGCCAGCACCTTTAAATGATGTTTTTGGTAGCCGTAAGTGTTGTCTGTGTTCCAAAAAATGGTTAGGGGACTCAACACTTTTTAAGCAGAGTTTTTGGTTCGGAACTGACAATGAGCCTCTTACAAGTAACACGCCAATGATTTTTTGGATATTTTTATTTTCGATTCGGTTCTGGATATCCTAGGAGATTTTTTAGGAACAACTCTAAAAAAAATTTTTTTTTGCATTTTAAAGATTTTTTACATATTTTTTAGAAAATTATTAAAATCATTTTTCTTTGATGATATTGAATGTACTAGTAATGAAGAAACAACAACAATAAACCCAAATAAATATTTTTCCAAAAATGTCCAAATTCTATTTTGTGATTCAATTCAATATTTATTAACAGAAGGATTAAATTTATTATTAAAATTAATTGAAACAAATTGTTTTGAAATTTTTGAAAAAATTGGTTTGGCTGAAAAATTTAATTTTGAAGATTTTCATTTTTTATTGGAACAAACTTTGGTTAAAATTAAAAAAATTGGTGAAGAGAAAAATGACAATTTTTCTAATTTTGTTGTGCCAAGAGGAGGAGATAAGGTTTGTGTGAATTTTTTATAAAAAATTTTTAAAAAAAATTGGGGGGTCTTTAAAAAAAATTTTCTGAGGGTTCGTAACGGGTTACTTGTTTGGTGGGTTACCTTAAAAATCATGAGACTTCTTTTCGGTTGAAACTATGATTCCATCACCGTCCCCGGAGAAGACGGTGGAACGGGGCTTTCTCCTTCCAGAGCCACCGTCACTGTAGCCAAGGCTAAAACCACTACAACTTCCGTCCTCGTGAAAAGAGCCGTAAATTCAGAACCCTAATGGAAACTCATTTCGTAGCTCTCTCTTTATTTTTCTCTCAATCCGGCATATTCTTGGTTAGTACTTATGTTAAACTGCCAGATTGATCATATGGCATTCGAATGAGCCTTTTGAGCCCCGTTTTTTTTGTTAGGTGACTTGACAGGCCCCACTCTTTTAAAATTATACAAATTAATTTTTTACGGATTGGAAGAAAAAGTCTTGGGGGAAAAGTCAATTCACAACAGTCAAGTTTTTCAAAATTTTCATAGGTTCGTTAGGTTTTGGGTAATCTTCATGCTAATCCAGACTTGAATATTTTTTCAAAATATTTTTTTTAATTTTAAATCTAGTTAAAAAATTTTTTTTAATTTTAAGCTCAATTTATTTTCACTTAATCCTGTAGACAGGCAAAACTTGGAAAATTTATTTTGTCAACTTTTATTGGTATTGCAATCACAACAATGTAAAACTTTGATGGATGAATTAATTAATAAATATTTTGAAAATATTTTGAAGGTTTTTAAAAGAATTTTTTTTTTAAATAAATTTTCAAAATTTGGAAATACCCAAAGGTTTCCAAATTTTGAAAATTTTGGGGAAAAATTTTTTTTGAGAAAATTTTTCTAAAAATTTTGTGGGAATATTTGGAATACTTCTGTCTTTTTAAATTAAAAAAAAATATTTTTTTTTGAAAAGTTTCTCGAAAATTTTTTGGTGTGTATATACTCTCAAATGACCCTCACCAAAGCTGCACAAAAATTTTCGTACCGTTTTTGTTTAAAAAAATTTTTTTTTGCTTTTTTTTCGTTTCGTGTTTCGTTGAGGACAAAATTTTATTTTCGTGTGCAGCTCTGATCCTCACCTTTTAAATTGAAAAATTCTTAAAAATTTAATATTTTTTAATAAATTCTTCCTCAAAAAAATAAATTTTTTATTTTTTTTCAGTTTTTGGACGATATATTAATTAATGGAGCATCAATTCCCTTTGCCAAATTAATACCTAAAATGAATCAATTATTTAATTTAATTGTTTCGACTAACAAAAATGCGTCTTCTTCAATATTTTTGTCAACCCTAACAAGTGAAGAAATTAAACAATTTACAAAATTTGTAATGGATGGACAACAACAAAATGGGGGAGGCTTGTTTAACTGAAAATTGTGTGGTGGTGGGTTTTATTTTTAATTTTTTTTATTTTTCGTATACTTAAATGACCCTAAGAGGGGCTTATACTGATATATTCGGATCAGTAATTTTTTCCCAACGTGTAAAAAATATTTAAAAATTGTCTTTTATAGCAAGAGAGTGCTAGTGCTGATGTTGTTGTTCATCAGTGCCTACTGCCTGATAGAGCTTCTTGCCCCTCTCACCATTAAAAAAATTTAAAATGCTTGATAAAAAAATTTTTTTTTAATTAACCAATTTTTTTAAGCCTTAAATCTTGTCTTCATTTTTTTTATTTTTTTTCTTATTTTTCTATTTTTTAATATTTTTTTAATTTTTTAATATTGCCTATTTTTTATTTTCACTTAAAAATTTTTTTTTAATTAATTTGCCATTTTTTTAAATTTTTTTAAACTTTGGTCAAATTTATTTTTAACTGGACTAACTTATTACTTATATAAAATCACTTAAAATTTTCTCCCATATTTTTATTTTTAATAAATTTTTAGTATAATTAAAAGAAATAAAAGTTGCAAGTTTTTAATAAAATGTTGTGAAAGGTTTTGTTAAAATAAAGTTCTGAGAAAGACAATATGTTTTTAACAAATGTTTTTGTCATTTATATATGATCATGTTTTTCTTAATGTTTTTGTGTGTTTTCAATTTCCTTTACATGGTGGTGGTTGTGTTTGTTTGGTTTTCCCTAGATTTTAAAATTTTTATATAAAACAAGTTGGAATAAGAAAGTTGTAATTTTTATTTTTTAATGTTTTTAGGGTTAAAAACATGTTTTTATTAAGAACTTGTTTTTATTGAACTTGTTTTTGTCCAACTTGTTTGTGTTAAAAACATGTTTTTGTTTAGACCACGTTTTGTTAAAAACATGTTTTTGTTATTGTTTTTATTAGATTTGTTTTACGTTTTATTTTTAACATGTTCGTTTAAGGATGTTTGTTTAAAAACATGTTTTTGTTAGGAAAGCAAGTTTGTTTTACTCTGAACTTTATCTTTATAGTAGTAATATAGGAAAGGCGAATATTTAGGTATACAGAATAGACATTTAAATATGTATAATTTTGATAGAAAATCCATATAGTATTTTCAAATTATTTTTAGACTTTCTTTTTATTTTGTACCTTTTCGTTTGGCAATCTCAGTTTTCACCATTGACCCAAAGGCTGGATTAACCTTTGTAAACAATGGGATCATTCTATCTTGAACTTCTTGTAAAGCATTTCCTAATGAACCAGCAATGTTTTCAGCTAAATGTTGACGGTCTACAGGGCTCAATTCCTAGAAAATGGGGTAGATTTTAAGGAAAAATTTTTTAGAATAATGGGAGGGTAGGGGGAGAGAGGAAGGTTAAAGGGTATATTAGGCCAGAAAATGCCCTTTAAAATTAAAGGGAGAAACAAAAATTTAAGGCTTACATTCCAATACTCAGCTGGTTGAACAAAATAGTCTTCGGCTTGTTTGTAACGTCCAACAGTTGCATTTTCAACATTCCAAGTACTCTGAACACCAGCAATTCTATACCCACCAAAACTGTTGGGGAAATAATTTGGAGAACCTCCCCCATTTTTATCAAAACGTGCTGCCCCATCTCTTTGAACATTAGCATATCTAAATTTGTAGGGGCAGTTGACCGGTAGCAACATGTGATTAGCTCCCAAACGATAAAATTGTGTGTCTTGGTAGGAGAAGAGACGGCCTGTATAAAATGTTTTTGGGTTAAAAAAGAATGTTTTTCTAAAATTGTGTTTGAAACATTTTATTCAAACTTGTTTTCCAAACTTTTCAAAACATGTTTTAGTAATTAAAATGGCTTTCAAAACATGTTTGTAAATGTTTTGGGGTTTAATTGTTTTAAAGTTTTTAATGTTTTTATTTTGTCGAGTTTTGTTTTGCGATGTTTTAGAGAATGTTTTGATTAAAGTTTTAGGTGTTTTTAAAACATGTTTGTATGTTTTTAATTTTATTGTTTTAAGTTTGGATTTGTTTTTGTTTAGTCGAGTTTTATGTTTTGCGATGTTTTAAAGAATGTTTTTATTAAAGTTTTAGGTGTTTTTCAAAACATGTTTATACTGTTTTATGTGTAATGTTTTTAGGTTTGAAATGTTTTTAGGTTTGCAATGTTTCTGATTTTTATTAATTCATGTTTTGTTTTTACAAAAAAACTTGCCTTGAAGCAACTTGTCAGTGGAAGGAAGTACTCCTTCAACCATTCGTGCAGGGTCAAAAGCGGCCTGTTCAACATCCCGGAAATAGTTTTCTGGGTTTCTATTGAGTGTCATTGTACCAACATCAATTAAAGGAAACTCTTTTTGAGACCAAGTTTTGGTTGGGTCAAATGCGTTAAATGGAAGTTTGGCAGCTTGTTGCTCAGTCATCACCTTTAACGGAAAAGTTTTTTACTGATAATGTGATTTTTTCTAATTTTTGATTTTTTTCTGAATTTTTTCTGATTCTTTTCCGATTTTTTTCCTAGGTTTTCTGATCTTTCTTGATTTTATTCTGATTTTTTTCAGATTTTTTTTCTGATTTTTTTCTGGTTTTCTGATTTTCTTACGATTTTTTTCTGATCTTTTCTGGTTTTTTTCTGATTTTTTTTCTATATTCTATATTCTCTGATTCTTTTCTGATTTTATTCTGATTTTTTCTGATTTTCTTTTGATTTTTCTTCTGATTTTTTTTCTAAAAAATTTTTAAACCTGTATTTTTAAATTCCATTTTGGAAAATCTCCACGTGCAATAGCATTGTATAAATCACCAGTAGAATAACCTGGGTTAGTACCAGCCAAAAGTGTTGCTTGTTCGGCTGTCAAATTAGCATGTCCTTGTTGACTTATCCAGTGGAATTTGCAATAAACTTTTTCATCCCTTGCATTTACCTATTTTTTGGAGAAATTTTTTTTTGAAAAATTTTTTTTGAAAATTTTTGAAAAAATTTTTCGAAATTTTTTGAAATTTTTTAGAAATTTTTTTGAAATTCTGAAAATTTTTTTTACCAAAACAAAAGTATGCACACCAAATCCATCCATTTTACGAAAACCATCAGGCGTCCCCAAGTCAGAAAAAACTCTCATAACCATATTCATTGATTCCTGATTCAAAGATAAAAAGTCCCAAGTCATTGTTGGGTCACCCAAGTTTGTTACTGGATTTAATTTTTGGGAGTGAACAAAAGCTGGGAATTTTATAGCGTCGTTAATGAAGAAAACTGGCAAATTATTTCCAACAAGATCCCAATTTCCAACTTCAGTATAAAATTTTACTGCAAAACCGCGAGGATCTCTTGCTGTATCAGCGCTTCCAGCTCGGCCTCCTTTTAATAATTTATTTTTAATAGTTAATTTTGTTTAGAATGTTTTGTTGGAATGTTTTTAGGAAAATTAAATATGTTTAGATTAATGTTTTTAAGTTTTTAAACTTTGAGTTTTTCCGGAAAACATTTTAATAAAACAATTTGTTTTGCTTAATTCTATTTTCCGGAAAACATTGAAATAAACGAAAAATACTTGTTTAACTTTTCCGGAAAAACATTCTAACGAGTAACATTTTAATTTAAACTTTCCGGAAAACATTTTAACAAACAAAAAAGACAAGTTTTAATTTCCAAAAACATTCTAACGAAAAACATTCTAATTTTACATTTTCCGGAAAACATTTTAACAAACAAAAACTAAAACATCTTTACAAACATTTTAATCTTCCGGAAAAAATTCCGGTAAGAAACATTTTAATTTAAACCTTTCCGGAAAACATTCTGTTATAGTATTTATAATGTTTTTTTTATCTCTAACATTTTCCGGAAAAACATTCTAACAAAACAAAAGGAAAATATAACAAACAAACTAACCAACAGTAGAGAAACGAACAAAAACAGGAGTAGTTTGATTAATTTTTTTTAACATATCCATTTTTGTATATTTTGTAACATCATTTGTAACAACAAATTCTCCAAAAGCTGCAGCACCAACAGCGTGCACAACTCTTTCAGGAATGCGTTCACGGTCAAAGGTGAAAAGATTATCGAGAAGTACAAAGTCTTGTAAAAGTGTGGGGCCTCGGGGTCCGACAGTTAATGAATCTGTTAATGAAGGGACAGGCATTCCGTTTGATGCTGTCAATACATTGACTGGATTCTAAAAAAAGAGAGAATAGTTTTTTTTATTTTTTTAGTTTATTTTTATTTTCCTCTTACTTACATTAGAGTTTCTTCTATAATTGCCCCTCAAGTCTTCTCTATCTCCCCCATATTTCTTCTTAATTCTTAATAGCCCCAAGTCTTCTCATATCTCCTCCATAGCTCTTCTTAATTCCCTTAGCTCATTTCAATACAGTTCCAACCGTGATTAATTTGTATCCTCAAGTCAATCAAAGTCTTTCAAAATCTTTCTTTAATCCCCCTTGAAAACCCTCCTCTTCCGTCAGCAAATTTTTTCTCAATTCTTTCTTTCAAATATATGTCCTGATTTTATCCAATTCTGTCCTCAGTCTTAGAGTTGTCGGTTTCAGTAAAATTTTCGGAGTTAACCGAACCGACAAACCTCTTCGGTTCTTTATCGCCAAACCACACTCACAGTCTTCTTGGACCCCCTACTCACAGTCACAGTCAGGACCCCCCACTCACAGTCACAGTCAGGACCCCCCACTCACAGTCTTCCACATTCATCCCCAGCCTGTTTCTTATCTATACTATTTTCTATAAGTTTTTCTTCAATTAAAAAAAATTTTTTTTTACATTTTGACTTCTCCAAGTATCCAATTGTAAAGCAGCATAATCTTTAATAGAAGCATTATTATTTCCAGAAGAGGCTGGCGGCTGTGGCTTTCCACCTCCTTTTGGAGGACTAGTTGCTTTACCTCCACCTTTTGTTGCTCCACCAGCATTATTAGAATAAACCAATAATGAAAGAATAATTAAAAGAGAATATAAACTATTCATTTTTTCTCTTTTAAAAAATTTTTTTATTTTTAGAAAAAGCCGCTTTTTTAATTTTTTAAAAACTGATAATTTTGGGTGTATTCACTCCCTATTTTATTTAAAAAAATTTTTGGGTATAAAAAAACTTGTGGGTATAAAAAAACTTGTGGGTATAAAAAAAATTTTTTTTAATTTTTTTTAAGTTTGTTCAGCTATATAAAATTAAAATAAATTTATTTAAAAAAATTTATAAAAAAAATTTTTTTTATAAAATAAAATGAAACTTCCTGAATAAACTCTCTCTCTCTATATTTCTTCTCTCTTTTCTCTTATGGGAGGAACGTCAAGTTTCATTGACGTTTACCTCATGATTTTAAAAATTTTTAAATATTAATTTTTAAATTTTTTAAATTTTAATTTTTTTTAATGTGTTGGATTAAAAAATCCAACTCTAAATTAAATTTTTTTTAAAGCTTAAAATTTAATTTGAGAAAAAATTTTTTTAATTAAAAGAGGTTTGGTCCATTATGTAATACCCAATTTATAGTTTGTTACCAAAATTTTTAGTGGTGGATGTTTGATGTGAGAGAGAAATGTAAAAAATTTTTTTATTTGAATATTTGTTTAATTTTTTTTAATTTTTAAAATTAAAATTAAAAAAAATTTTTTTTAATTAAAAAAATCTTTTTTTTCTTATCAGAACTATTCTGTTTCTTTCTGTTTCTCTTTTCCGGAAAATATATATCTATTTATCTACGCGACCTTTTAAAAATATTCTTTCCGGAAAATACTCTATTTATTTTCAGGAAAATATTAAATAACATCCTTCCGGAAAGTTTGTATTTTTCTCAGGTAAATATTCCGGAAAATACTATAGACTATTTTCTTTCCGGAAAATACTATAGACTATTTTCTTTCCGGAAAATACTCTATTCCTTCTTTCAGGAAAATGTTTTATTCTCTATTCCGGAAAATACCTTTCTCAGGTAAATATTCCGGAAAATACTATAGACTATATTCTTTCCGGAAAACACTCTATTCTCTATTCCGGAAAATACTCTTCTCAATAAAATATTAAATAAATAGGTATGTATTTATCATCATTTAAACAATTTTCCTTTCCGGAAAGTAATTTTAATTGTACTTACACATGTTGTTTTATTTTTCTTTTTTTCTGTTTTTGCCATCTGCTGTACTTTATTATTTTTTGAATTTTTTCATTATTTACCTTCTTCAATTAATTAATATTTCATAAGAACAGTACATACAAACTACTTTAATGAAAACAAAGGGCAAAAAAAGCATGAGAGAAAATTTTAGCTAATTTAAATAAATAAATAGGTAAATAATAATAATTTTTTAGAGGGGTATTTTTTTAAACAAAAAAATTTTTTGTTAGAGATTTTTTAATAAAGGAAAATGTAGCCTATTTTATGTAATATTATTAGAAGGCATTTTTGAGTTTGAGTCTTTTTTAAACAAATTAATTAATTTTTTTGTTCTAATATTTTTATTTTTCCTTCTTATGTCTTTAGTAAAATTTAAAATTAAAAAAAAAATTTTTTTTTATTTATTTTTACAACAAAAAAACTTTTCATGATTTAATTTTATATTTTCCTTTTATTTTTATTTTTTTTTCTTTCTAATTTTTGCCGTGTCAAATAAAAAATAAATTTTTTTTTATTTTTCAATTTCCTTAAAAATTGACCCTCCTTCTCGTAAAAAATTTTTTTTTCTTCTGTTAAAAAAATAAGGAAGCATTTAAGTATAGGGAATTTTTTAAAGAAGCTTTTTTCACTCACTCAAACAATTCATTCATTTATTCACTTCATTCTTGATAAGTATAGAAGAAAATACTTTTTAAAAAATAAAATAAAAGATAAAATAAAATAAAACTAATGAAAAATAAAGTGTTAAAAACTCAGGAAGGAAAAAAATTTTGTCTAAATATTTTTTATTTTTTTTTTATTTTTTTTTGTCTGTAGAGAAGAGACAGACTTTTTTTTAATATAATTTATTTTTAGAAAAAAAAAATATAAAGTTTGTTTTATATGCTAATTTGACTCTGAGTTATAGTTTAAGTGTCTAGGTAATGCAATTTTTATAATTTACACACACACTCAGTTTTAAATAAATAAAAATCTGTATAAATTCAAAGTCTAGACAATTAAAAACTACATGAACTTTATTATAGTCAGAAGAAGGAAAAAATCAGAATTTTTTTTCTTTTCGAAAAATCAGAATTCTCAGAATTTTATATTTTTTACCAATCAGAATTTTTTATATTTAGAGATCAGAATTTTCTTTTTTAACAAATCAGAATTTTTTCTTTAACAAAAATCAGAAGTTTATTTTTTGTATTTAAATCAGAATTTTAAAAAATCAGAATTTTAATAATTTTCTATTTTTCTAACAATCAGAATTTTTGCATATTTATTTTAGATCAGAATTTCCTTTTTCCTAAAAAATTCTGATTTTTTATTTTCATTAAAAAATCAGAATTTTTCTCTTCTACTATCACTCTCTGTTGAAATCCTCTTTTTTTTGTTTCCTTTCCATACTCTATTGTGTCCTATTTAGACGCCATTTTGAGGCACGATTTTGATGAATTATTTATTTTTTTGAAGGGGATGAGGGCTAAAAATAACAATAATATATATAAACTCTCCAACTGCTGCGCGCAGTCACCACCAACCCCCCACTAACCACTACATTTCCTCAACAACCAACCACTTACCTTTTCAACACTCTTAAAATAGAAGCAAATAACCCCAACAAAAAAAACTAAACTATAATAAAACAACATTCACAATGACCATTTATGTAAATGTGACTAAAAAACATTTTACTACATATTTCTGACATTTAAATTTGACATTTTTTTTTAAAAATCAGAATTTAATGTTTATATTTTATGCAATGTAAAATTATAATTTGTTTCTATTTTTTAAATAATCAGAATTTATTTTTGTATGTATTTAAATCAGAATTTTCTTTTCTTAAATAAATTCTGATTTTTTTTTAAATAAAAATCAGAATTTTTAAAAATCAGAATTTTTTCATAAAAATCACTATTTTTCTCTTTCAGAACAAATCAGAATTTCTATTGTATGTATTTTTAAATCAGAATTTTCTTTTCTTAAAGAAATTCTGATTTCTTTAAATAAAAATCAGAATTTTTTCATAAAAATCACTATTTTTCTCTTTCAGAACAAATCAGAATTTCTATTGTATGTATTTAAATCAGAATCTTTTTATTAAAAAATCAGAATTATCATGCTATAGCCAGTTCATTATTTATTTGTTTTATTTTTAACAAATAAAACAAAATCAGAATTTAATTTAATACAACAATTTTATTCTGTTATTTTTTATTTACCCTTTAAAAAGTACACACACATTTTTTATTACATCAACGCATTTACTACTTTAAATGATTTCCTTTAAAAGAGAATTTTTTTTGACTATTCAGGAAGGAGTTAAATCTTTTATTTTTTTATTTTATTTGTTTTTTTTTTCATTTTTAAATTCTGTTTTTTTCCTAAATTTAAGGCATTTTTAAGCAAGTAGACCATTTAAGTCCCACTACTTTTTTACCTCAAAACTTGAAACTAAATTAATTTTTTGGACCAAATATGGTATAAATTGATAGCTAATTAAATTCTCTATAAAATAAAAAAAATAATTTTTAATTTAAAATTAATCTGCAAAAAATTCTGAATAAAATTTTGACCAAAAAACGACCAGAATCGATCAAAAATCATTTAGCTGGCTTTCATTTTACCTCAAAACTTGAACTAAAATTAATTTTTTAAATCCAAATTTAGTAGTGTTTGATAGGTAATTAAATTCTCTATAAAATAAAAAAAAATAATTTTTGATTTAATTTAATCTGCAAAAAAAGTTAAGACCAAAAACCCGACCAAAAATCATTTTTAAAAAGCATCCAAATAAAGAGACTTAGTTTTCTGTAAAAATCTATTTTTGTAAAATTATTTTAAAATTAAATTTTAATTCCCTATTTTGTAGAATTTAATAATCCTCTATCATATGATACCAAAAAAAGAAGAAAAATTTTGTTTCCAAAAAAATTTTTTTTTTAATTTTTATAAGCCAAAACTCAATCAAAAATCTTTTCTCTTTAGGAAAAATTTTTTTTTCTTTGCAAATTTTTGATATTCTTGTGAAGAGGAGGAGGGGATTTAGGGAGGGGGATAATATAGAGGGAAAGATAAAACACAGAGATTTTTTTACCTTCTTTTTTTTCTTCTTCATTAAATTTCTTTTATTTTTTAAAAGAAAATGGAAATTTGATAGAAAAAAAGAGGAAAATTTTTCTTTTTTAAAAATGTTGAGAATTTAAGGAAAATATTATTTAAAATAAAGGAGAAGCACTTGTGTGTGAATATATTCTTAAAATAGAAAATATAAAAAATGTGTTCCTTTTCCATAAATTAATTTAAAAATTAATTTTTGAACAGACTACATGCTTGCTTATATAAACAGAATTAAACTAGAAATAATTCTGATTTTTTATTATTGTGTATAGGAGAATTCTGATTTTATATAAAACATTAATTCTGAAATTAATTCTGATTTTTATTTAGTCTACCATTTTTAAAATTTAATTCTGATTTTACTAATTCTGATTTTAAAACTATTATGTATTTTTCTTTTAAAACCAGAATTTTCTTGTATTTCTACTTTTCAAATTCTGATTTGTTAATTCTGGTTTTTATATTCCTCTTTGTTTTTATTGTTTTAATAAGTTTGTGTTGTTTTTATCTTTTTTTCAGAACTCAATTAAAACATGTTTTAAATCAAGTTTATTTAAAATCAAGTTTATTTAAAATCAAGTTTGTTTTAAAACAAGTTTATTTAACAAAACAATTTTTATTTTTTCAAACAATTAAAAACAAAGTTTATTTAAAAACACTTAAAAGTTTTTATTACTCAATTAAAACAAGTTTATTTATTTTATATTTATTTATTCTTATAAAAACACACCAAATGTTTTTGTTTTATGTTTAACTTGCTTATATACTTGAAGCTTGATCGATCATTTAAATAATATATAAAATAAAAAATGTTGAGTATATAAATTTAACTTTCTTTTTTAACCTTCTTTTATGATCTTTTAATATTATCAACACTTTTATTATTTTATTAAAAGGAAAAAATATTTAGACATAAATAATATTTAATTTTACTTGCTACAACTGTTGTTTCATGTTCATAAAAAAATTTTTTTTAATTGATATTTTATTATAATATTTTTTTTATTAAAAAAGAGTCTAAATAACACTCAAAAAATTATATAAATTTTTTTAGACTTGAATTTTACTTCCTTGAAGCAACCTTTTTTTGTCTTTGAAGCAACTTTTTAAGGAGAGAGAAATGTTTCTTCTGAAAAAATTTTGGGGAAATCTTCAAAAAAAAAAATAAAAGACAAAAGCAATTGAAATAAAAATAAATAGTTAATTATTATAAATAAATTGTGCCTTTAGCTATCTTTTGAGGCAATATTTATTTTTCTAAAATTATAGACAAAAATTGGATTTTTGGACATTTAATTATATGTAGCTTAATAATAAATAGTAGTATACCCTATTAAATTATTTTTTTCAGAATTATTTTTCAGAATTAAAAATCAGAAAAATAAACTTGAATCCGAACAAGTTTTATTAATGTTTATAACCAAGTTTAATTTTTTCAGAATTATTTTCCAGAATTAAAAATCAGAAAAAAATAAACTTGAATCCGAACAAGTTTAATTAATGTTTATTATACATACACTTACCAACTTTAATTATTTTCAGAATTATTTTTCAGAATTAAAAAATCAGAAAATGTAATTATATTTAAATAAACTTGAAGCAACAACAACAAAAACAAGTTTATTTTTTTTTTCAACAAATGTACAATTTTACAATTACAACTTGTTTTGTTTTAATTCTGATTTTTTGTTTTATTTTTGTATTTAACACTATTAGTGCATTTAATTTGTATATTGAAAGTGATGAAATGAATAGAACTTTGGGTAAAATTTAATTATTTTTTTTTGAATTTTTCTATTTTCTTTGAATTTTTTTTTAAATTAATTTTTTTATTTAAAGGAATATCTGCTAGAATGGATTATGTCACTGATGGTGTTATTAATGAATATTCTACAAAATTCCCCTACAGATTAGCAGAAAATATTAGTCGACTTAGATTTACTTGGAGCAGTTCTGACAGAATGGTAAATTTTTTAGTGATTTTAATTATTTAGCGAATGATACCAAATTTATCAAAAACGGGTAATCCACTCAAAAGTTATAGGGAACGGCGCCTAAACGTTCTGCGCCTTACTAACCCATAAAGTTCAATTTTAACTTCCTCCAAAACATGTAAAACTTGTTTCCAAACAAGTTTATTTTTTAAACATTACAAACTTGTTTTGCAACTTTATTTATTTATAAAGTTTAGAAAAACAAGTTTTCCAAACAAGTTTATTTTTCAAACATTACAAACTTGTTTGTAACTTTCATTGTTTCTGAATTTTCCAACTTTTTCTAAAACATTACTAAAACATTGCAAAACATGTTTTTCTCAACTTGTTTTTCTCAACTTTATCATTATTTTTCAGACTTATTATTCTCTTCAAGCAAATTCCCAACATTTTGATGTTGTCCCAATTGTTTTAATTTCGCCAAAAGGTTACGTCCCAAACATTCCCCAACAATTTCAAGTTGAATATAGATGTGTTGGAGCACGTTCTGGTCAATTTCGTGTTAATTTAAATTTTAATATAACAACAACAAAAACATCTTTATTACAATTAACTTTAAAACAAGAGAAAATATGTTCGTATAGAGAAGGAAGGAGAAGGGCTTTTGCTCAAGGTGAGGGGAAAAAATTTTTTTTAATTTTAAATTTTTTTTTGGAAAATTATTTTTTTTCTTAATTTTCGATTATTGAGGAAAAAAAATTAAAATTGAAAAGAAAAAACTTTAAAAAAGCATATAAAGGTCGGTTGTTGTTAAAGTTGTTAAATCGATGGATGAGGAAAGAAGACTTAATATAAAATAAAATAAAATTTTATTTCATCAATTTGACGAGTTTATTATTAAAATATTAAAAAAAGGAACCGTTTCTGGCTTCTTTTTATTTTTTTGGGCTTCTTCAGTTTAAGAGAAATATCCTCTGTGATAATGTGTTTCTCTATGTTTGCTTTACTAAAAACATTTTAGAAGCAAAACTGAACTTTTATATGTGTTTTTCCTCTTTAAAACATTTTCAGAACATGTCCAAAACATGTTCTTGTTCTTAAAAACATTCGCAAAAATATAAACAAAAACATGTTTTTCTTCATAAAACATTTGCAGAAATAAACCAAAAACATGTTTTTCCCCATAAAAACATTTTCAGAAGAAGATTCAAACATGTTTTTCCTCTTAAAAACATTTGCAAAAGAAAATCAGAAACATGTTTTCTCTGATTCTATTTTTTATAAAAACATTTTTAGAAGAAGATTCAAACAACCATCTAAACATTAACGACAACAACAACAACGAAAACAACAAACAAAACAAACAACATACAACTTATTCAACTTGGCCATTATTCTCTTTTATAAGTTTACTTTCTCTTCCTTGTCAATTACTTGTTGCGTCTGTTTCTCTATTTGCTCTAGTTTGTTCAGTTTTACTTTGTTGTTGTTATTGTATTAAACAAGAAGAAGAAAAAGAACAACAACAAACAAACAATAATTTTTCTTTTAGAAGAAGAAGATCAAAAATAGGTTCTTTATATAATTCAACACGTTCATCCCTTATAAGAAGAAAAATATTATTTCAACAAGGAATTGATCAAAAAAATAATAAATTAATTAATGGGGGTTCTTTAAAAGAAAGTTCAACAGCTAATAGTGGTAAAAGTGGATTATCTAAAATGTATGTGTTTTAAAACTAGAATATTCTGATTTGTTTGTAGTATATTTTCCGGAAAGTTTTAATGTTTAGTTTATTATATACTTTTTCGGAATGTTTTAATTTTTATGTTTTCCGGAATGTTTTAATTTTTATATGTTTTCCGGAATGTTTTAATTTTTATGTTTTCCGGAATGTTTAAAAACACTATATTTTGCATATTTTCCGGAATGTTTTATATTATTTTATATGTTTTCCGGAAAATAGAAATAGATGTTCTGATTTTATCCGGAAAGTTTTGGAGTAATTCTGATTTTTATATTCCTTAAAGTTTTAGTTTTTAAATTTATATTTTCCGGAAATGTTTATAATTTTTTACATATTTTTCCGGAATGTTTTATATTGTTTTATATGTTTTCCGGAAACTTAGTTATATTCTGATTTTTGTCCGGAAAGTTTTGATTTTATATTTTTTCCAGAACAACAACCGGACTAGCAACAATTAATAGTTGTACTACTGCCTCCTCCTTTTCTTCAAAAACAGTACTAGACGACGAACAACGTAAACCTTTACTTGACCCTCAAATGCCTTCAACATCAGCAGCCGCATTACAACAACAACAAAAATTAACAAGTAAAATAATTTATGAAAGAAACAACCAACAAGTGGATGTTAATTCAGCATTAATAGAATTAAATGCAGATAGAAATCTTTTTGAACAATGCCATAAGCCTGAAATGGAAGGACATTTTGGACAGTTAGTATGGGCAAATTGGCGTCAAATAGGGTTAAATGGAAATAGGCCTGTTGTTGATGAAGTTGATGATGGGGAGGATGATGCTAAAGAAGATACTGCACTAATTTGTAAAACTCTAAAGCCTGATGCAGATAGAATCCAATTTGAATGTTTTTTACGTGCTGCTTTGCAGTTTCATTATGTGCCGCCACATCCACATTTGGCGCAGGCAAGTTTATTTAGTAGAATGTTTTAGTATTTTGTTGTGTTTTGTGTTTTCCGGAAAGTTTTAAAATGTTTTGTGTTTTTATTTCCGGAATGTTTGGAATATTTTAACTTTTCCGGAAAAAATTATTTTTATTTTTATATTTCCGGAAGGGTTAAAATTATTTTTAATTCCGGAATGTTTGTAATGTTTTAATTTTTACATGTTTTCCGGAAGTTTGGGAAAGTTTTAAGATTTTGTTTCCGGAATGTTGGGAGTATTTTAATCCTTCCGGGGAGAAATATATTTTTGCATTTTCCGGAAAGTTTTAGGAATGTTTCGAATTTTATTTTCCGGAATGTTTAAAAATTTTTAAATTTTATTTGTTTTCCGGAATGTTTAGAAGATATGCTGATTTTCTTTTTGCTTTTTTTCTTTAATCTAGAAGCATGCTTCAAATAATAAATAAACTTTTCTCTTGTAGGTTATCGCAGCCGCAACTTTTGGTAATTTTTTGAATCCAGACTCAGTTCGTGATTTACCTTTAATTTGTTATGCTCATGATGGTTTTGGAATTTTAAAAAATTTTTTGCAAGAATGTAGAGAACAAGCACTTAATGCGTCTTTAAATAACAAAAAATCTTCTTCAGTTAGTCCTGGGGTTGTAGTTAAAAGTTGGGCTAAACGTTTCAGAAAGGGAAGTAGTTGTAGTGGTGATGGATTGAAGGAAGAAGAAAAGAAGGTGATTAAAGAAGAAGAGGAGAATAAGGTAAAGGATGATAATAGAGATGTGGAAAGGGGAAAGGAAGGTGGTGGTGGACAAATGGAAAATCCTCGAATTGGTAAGTTGAAGCAATTTGCTGCAAAAAATATCTGTAGCAAAAAATATGAAGCATGCTTCAAAAAATCAGAAACATGCTTCAAGATATATGAAGCATGCTTCTAAAAAGTAGAAACGTGCTTCAGATTATCTGAAACATGCTTCAAAAATTTGAAACATGCTTCAAAAAAATTTTGAAGCATGCTTCAGTTATTTGAAACATGCTTTATATTATCTGAAACATGCTTCAAGAAAATTTGAAGCATGCTTCAAAGACTTGAAACATTTTCGATTTTTCATGCCTCAAAAAAATTGTCAAAAAATTTAGTTGTAACAAACTCGCCTTCTTCATCTTCATCTACTACTAATGCTCCTGCAACAACAACTTTAGAAATTTCAGAAACAACTACAACTCTTCGAATACATAATTTAGTATTATTAGCTTCACAAATTGTTTCTGCTGTTCGTCATTTACATAAATTTGGTATAATACACAAAGACATTGCTACAAGGTAATAATGTGTTCTGATTTTTAAAACAAAATCAGAATTCTGATTTCTGTAAAATTCTGATTTTTTTGCTTTTTGTAAATCAGAATTCTGATTTCTGTAAATTCTGATAGTCTGGAAAATTCTGATTTTTCTAGATCAGAATTAGACATCAGAATTCTGAGTTTAAGAATCAGAATTATGATTTCTGAAAAATTCTGATTTTTCGGAATTAATTCTGATTTTTAAAATCAGAATTTGGTACTTTATTAATATCCCGCCCCCCACCCCTATTTGAGTCTCAGATTATTTTTCCTTATTTGCTGTCAATCATTTATTTCCCTCCCTTTTTTAATGCCAATCATTTTCTTCCCTCGAATATTATAAGTAAAAAGCAAGTTAGAAACTTATGATAGTTGAGGTGTACAGCCCAAAAAGGCGCGCAGCCATAACGGCGCAAAGCCATAACCTTCTGTAATATTTTGGGGCCTTGTCATTTTTGTTATCAATCTCTTTAGCTCGATGAAAGGAATCGTTTAATATTAATTTTTGTAAGGTTTGAAAACCATGAAGCAAGTTATGGCTTTGCGCCTTTATGGCCGCGCGCCCTTTTGGGTGTCTTATATTTGAGGGAAGAAAATGATTGACATTAAAAAAGGAGGAAAAATAAATGATTGGCAGCAAGGAAGGAAAATTAATCTGAGACTCAAATAGGGGTGGGGGGCGGGATATTAATAAAGAACCCAGAATTTAAAAACAGAATTCTGATTTCTCTGAAAAATTCTGGTTTTCTGAAAATTCTGATTTTTCAAAATCAGAATTAGAAATCAGAATTCTGACTTGCAAAATCAGAACTTAGAGTCAGAATTCTGATTTTCAAAATCAGAATTAGAAATCAGAATTTTGATTTTTAATTTTTTTTATTCTGAAATTTTATTCTGTTTTTTTTCAGAAATTGTTTAGTTTCCCATACAAAAATGAGCGGTGGACGTGTTCGCTTACATTCTCAATTATGTGATTCTGCTTTAGGTTACCTCAAATTGAAATTTTTTTTAATTTTCTAAATAATTTCAGGAAGTGATTTATTTCCCCAAGATTATAAAAAAGAAGAAAATAATTTACAAGAAACAGAATATTCTTCAAATTATTTACCTATTCGTTGGATGGCCCCAGAATTATTTAATTTTAATAAAAAATTTAATAAACAAAATAATAATCAAAATAATATTTGGAATAGTGCTACAGATGTGTGGGCATGTGGAATTCTAATTTGGGAAATTTTTAATTGTGGAAAATTGCCATATAATGAAATACATGAGGATGAGTTGGAACAAGTAAAAATAATAATATTATAATTCTGATTTTTCAGAAATAAAAATTCTGATTTAAAAATATTCTGATTATTTTTATAAATTCTGATTATTTTTTAATCAGAATTTTTATTTCTGAAAAATCAGAATTTTTTAGAATTTACGATTCTGATTTTCTGAAAATTCTGAAATTTTTTTTGGAAAAATCAGAATCTTTTTTAAAAAATCAGAATTCTGATTTTATGTAAAACCAGAATATTTTTGAGAAAATTCTGAATTTAAATCAGAATTTCTATCTTGAAGCAAACAGAATTTTTTATAAAACTCAGAATTCTGATTTCAAGAAAAATCAGAATTTTTCTTTAAAAAATTATTTCAGAAAGCCAGAATTTTTCTGAAAATTAGTAATTCCGATTTTCTGAAATAACAGAATTTCTATTCTATAAAACCAGAATTTTCTGAAAAATTTCAAAAATTTTTTTTATTTTAAAAAATTAGAATCCATCAATTTTAATTTTTAGGCAATAGTTTATGCCGGTCTTCGCCTCTCCCAACCTTATAATTGCCCTGATGAGCTTTATTCAATTATGTGTTCTTGTTGGACAACAATACCAGAAGATAGGCCAACATCTAGTGAATTAGACTTAAATTTACAAGAATTTATGCAAAGATTAAGCAAATATATTTGAAGAAATTTTAGAATTTTTTTTAATTTTTGATCTTTTTTACAAGAATTTATACGGGTTTATAACCTTTTTTTAAATCTATCTCATCTCCCCAAAAAACAAATTCTGTTTCCTCAGAAAATCAGAATTCTTAATTTTTTGGAAATTTTTTTTTTAGAATTTTTCAGAAAAATTCTGATTTCAGAAAAAAAATTCTGATTATTCTGAAAATCAGAATTCTGATTTTTTCATAAAAATTATTTTTTTCAGAATTTTCAGAAATTTTTTTTCAGAATTTTTCAGTGAAAATTCTGATAATTAAAAATAAAAATTCTGATTTTTCCAAAAAAATTTTTTCTGAAAAAATTCTGATTTTTTTATTTTTCCCCTATTTTTAGAACAGTCATTTTCTGTATATTTTGTATCCAAATAAGCAATATATTATAAAATTTATTTTTAAATGTGAAATAAAAATTACAACAAAAACACATAGTTAGAATGAAATCATCATGTTTGTATCAAATACCTTTTTTAAATTAAAAAAAAAAAAGAATTTTTAAAGAATTAAACTTGTTTTAGTTGTGATGAGTCATCAACAAACAAATCACATGTTTCTCTACTCTTTAATGGTGAGTTTATGTTTTATTAAAATATTAAAACAAACATGTTTATAAAAACAAGTTTTAGAAAAATAAACTTGTTTCTAAACAAACTTAATTTTTTAAACAAACTTAATTTTATTAAACTTGTTTTCAAACTTGTTTTAATTTCAGAAAAAGTTTTAAACAAGTTTTTAAAAACATCCAAGTTTCTTAAAAAGTTTAAATAATTTTGAATGTTTGAAAAAAAGTTTTTAAAAAAGTTTTGTTTTATTAACGAACTGAACAAGTTTTAAAACTTTAAATAAAACATTAAAACTTGAACATTTAAAGTTTTCATTAAAACATGTTTTTTTCAATTAAAACATTAAAAACATTAAAACATTTTAAAAATAAATTGTATGTTTTTATAAACACCCATTTTTCTTTTTCTGATTTTCGTTGAACTGGAAATTAGTCAAACACAATAAATCAAAATTGTGTTTTAAAAAAATTCTGATTTGTCTTTTCTTAAATAAATTGAATGAATCATCACCTCTTTTTTTAACATGGATTTTCAATTTTATTTTTTCTTTTCTCTTTTTCTTTTCTTTTTAATTCAACGCCCTTAAAATTAAAATAAATTTTTTGATTTAGGAGAGAAAACCAATTAAAATCAACAAAAAAATTTTTTAAAGGCATTCTCTCTGAACATTTTTAAAATAAAATGTTATATGTTGAAGAATTTTTTTCTTTTTTCTATTTCTCAATAATTTTGGTTGTGTGTTGTAATAAATTTAAAAAAAAAGAAAAAAATTTTTTTGACTATTGAACAGGCTGTTTTTAATTTTTTCTTTTTTGGTTTTGATGCTCGCGCAGTGAAATTGGGGCCTATATATAAAAGGAAAATTAAAAAACCATTTAAAAACACATTCTTTTAAATCATTCTTTATTCTCATTAAATTTTTCTCGAAGGAGAACATTCAATTTTATTTTTATAAATTTTTTAAAAAAATATTCGAGAATTTTCTATATTAAATTAGAAAAATAAAATTGGGTATATAAATTGGAAAAAGTTTTTTAAACATGTTTTTGAGATTATAAACATGTTTTTGAGATTATAAACATGTTTTTGAGTTATAAACATGTTTTTGAGTTATAAACATGTTTTTGAGATTATAAACATGTTTTTGAGAATTTAAACATGTTTTTGAGAAAAACATGTTTTAATGTTTATTTAAAAAAAGTTTTGGTGTTTTTAAAGTTTTAATGTTTTAATTATGTTTTGAGTGACTAAAACATGTTTTTATTATAAACATTCTAAAACATGTTTTAAAAAAATATAAACATGTTTTAATGGTTTTAATTGAGCATGTTTGTAATGTTCTTTAAAAAGTTTTGATGTTTTTTTTAAAAAGTTTTCAAGTTTTAATAAATGTTTTGGGTGTTTAAAACATGTTTTTAATGAAATATGTTTTTTAAAACTTGAACTAAAACAAGTTTTAAAGGTTGGAAAACAAGTTTTAGTTCAAGTTTTAATGTTTTACAAACATGTTTTTTTTTATTTTCAGATTTTATTATTTACTAAAAACAAAACAACAAACAATCAAAACAAATGGCATTGGTTTCAAGCCGTCATTGGGACGAAGATCCTTTTTGGCGTGATTGGCCAGAACGTAGATTGAGTAGTTGGAACTCTACATGGCGTGACCGATTTAGCCGTGAATGGGAAGATTGGCCTGTGGATTGGCCTAGACCTAGAGATTTGCTTGATCGGGTGAGTCAAAAAGAGAAATTTTTTGTTTGTTATTGTTTGTTTGTCTCTTAAAAAATTTTTTTGTTTGTTTATAAACACCTTGAAAGACTGCTAGTCACCTACTACTAGCCTTACCTTTACGTTGACTCAAAGATTATTTTTCTTCACCTCCTTGAAAAAAAAAATATTAAAGGGGGATTTTCATGAAAATGAATAAAAAGAGGATTTTCTTTGAAAAAAAATTTTTTGATCAAATAAAATTATTAAAAAGACTAAATCTTCTTAGTAATAGAAAAAATGGGTCATATAAAGATTAAATAAAAATAAAGTTTCTAGGGTGTGAGTATTCTGGTTTAAATTTTATTCTGAAAAAGTTTGTATTTTTATTTTCTTGTTGCTTCAACTTTTTTAAAACTTGAAGCAATAATTCAAGTTTATAAAACACAAAAAATACAATTAGGTATGAATGTATTTTCCGGAAAGTTGGAAACTTTATTTATTTTTGTCATGTTTTCCGGAATGTTCGAAACTTTTTTTGATGTTTTCCGGAATGTTCGAAACTTTTTTTATGTTTTCCGGAAAACTTTATTTAATTACTATAGAAACATTCCTCCCCCTCCCCAAACATTTTCCGGAAAATGTTGGTGAATGTTTTTCCAAAATTAGTTATATTGATGTTTGTTATATATACAATGTTTTTATGTTGTTTTCTATATATTGTATAAGGGTACTTAACACTTAACAAAAAAAGAGGGGTTAAAAGGAAATTGACTGTTATACAAAAATAATTGTTAAAAAATCAAAAATAATTTTTTTTCTGATTTTTAATTTTTTTCCGAAAATGAAAAAGAATAATAAAAACACAAAAATAGAAAACAACACAAATTTGTCTGATTTTCCCAAGTTTGTAGGGCGTCAATTTCGAAAAATGGCATGATTTTTTGAAAAAAATTTTTGTTCTTGTTTCTATTATTTAAATTAAATTAAATTTAAAAAATTTTATTATTTTCTAGTTCCGTTCTCACGATACTGACCGTTGGTGGCGTGATTGGCCTTCTGATTGGCCACGAATGGATGCTATTGTGCCTCGGGTTGGTTTATTATTTTAATTAAAAAAATTTTTTAAATGCGAAAAAATAAAAAAAATTATTAAAAAAATATTTTCCTTCCATAAAAATATTTTTTTGCCTTGTATGATTCAATAAAAAAATTTTTTTCTCGATAAGCTGTGTACGCTCTCCTATATTTTTTTATTAAACGCCTCCGTAGAGAATGAACAATAATAAAAGGCAAAAAACCATTATTTTACAGGCTTATCTTTTCTAATAAAATACAAAAATATTTGTGTATGACTATTATTATATTTTTAATGTTTTGTATATAGTTTCCGGAAAGTTGTAATAATGTTTTGTTGATATTCTGATTTGTTTATATTCTGATTAATATTTCTGATTTTTCCGGAAAGTTGTAATAATGTTTTGTTTATATTCTGATTTATTAATTCTGATTAGTATTTCTATGTTGTTTTCCGGAAAGTTTATATTTTTAATTTTCTATTTTATATTTTCCGGAATGTTTTTCTGAAAATTTTGTATTTTCCGGAAAATTATATACATTAAAATTATATACATATTCTGATTATTTTATATTTTTCCGGAACGGTTTTCCGGAAAGTTTATATCATTTTTCCTGATTCTATTTTCTCCGGAAACTTTTTCCGGAATGTTTATATATAATATTCTGATTCTAGTTGTATTTTCCGGAAAGTTTGTTATACATTTCCGGAAAGTATATAATTATTCTGATTTTTTGTATTTTCTTGTATTTTCTTTCTGTTTTATTGTGTTTCATAACAATTTTAATCTTCTATAAAAACAATGTATTTTACCATTGTTATTTTCTAGAGGTCCATCCGTTCATACACATGTTATGAAATACCTCCCTCCTCATTCTCGCGCGCATCCTCCCCTCATAAATACAAATAATTGGTATTTAACATTTTTACGCAATTCTCTCTTCATTTTTATTGTAGTCCCAATCTGCACCTTTCACAATACATAAAATTATTTTTTTGGAGGGCGAAAGAGGGGAGGGATTCAATCACTCAACGAGCGTGCTAACAAAAAATTCTAACAGACAGCTTAAATTTTTTTTTATTTTATTTTTCTCTTTTTTTCTTTTTCATTTCCCTCAACGAGAAAATAAAAAATAAAATTGTTCAATCCAATGGGTAAACAAAAAAATATTTAGAAAATACAGCAAAGGCAAAATCGTATATATTTATTTTTGCTGTATTTGTCATAAAGTAAATAAAAAATAAATAAAGATACATAAATAAAAATTTATTTGTTTAAATTGTTTAATTATATAATCAATTTTCTCGCCTTTCTATACATGCTTTTAATGTTTTTGTATTTTTAAATTAATTATGTATTTTTTTGTATTTTCCGGAAAACAAAAAAGAATATTCTGGTTTTTGTATTTTTCTGTATTTTCGAATTTTATTTTTGTATTTTCCGGAAAATATAAATTCTGGTTTTTTATAGGTATATTTCAGAATTTATTATATGTGTTTTCCGGAATGTATATATGTATTTTTTCTGTATTTTTTTTGTATTTTCCGGAAAAGAATATTCTGATTTTTATATTTCTTTATATTTTATTCTTGTACATATTTTCCGGAATTCTGATTTATATTTTATATATTCTCCGGAATTTATTTATTTTATGTTTCCGGAAGGTTATTTAATTTATATATTTTTCCGGAAGGTTTGTATTTTATTATTCTGATTTTGTATTTTATTTTTGACTGAATATTCAAAAATATAAGTTTTAAATTTAGCTTCTTCTTAAGCCGTAATATTTTAAGATAAATTTTTAAGATAAATTATATCGATTTTATATATTTTAATTTAAATAGTACGACTAATCGAATTATTTTTTAAAATTTAATTTTAAAAAAATTTAAAAAATGAGTGAGAGCGAAAGAACTCGTCCACGTCCCAGTCCTCGATGGAGAGAACCGTTAGTAGATGAATATATTAATGTGGGGGATCAAACAACATCATCAGAAACCAGAGATTTCGAAACTGTAATAATTTGGAGAAAATAGAGAAAAAAAAATAAAAATTAAAAATTTAGAGAGCAAAAACAATAACAACAATAAATGGAGAAGAAAATAAAACTTTTCCGGAAAATGTTTCCGGAAAATATAATTATAATGGGTTAGAGAAGGAAAAAGAAGAAGAGGAAAGAAGTTGGGAAAGAAAAAGTTGGACAAAACAGGGTATAAAAAATCAGAATTTTTTTTCAGAATTTTTTTAACCTCTATTAATTTGAGTATAGAACGAACAACAACAAGAGATGGATTAGAAGAAGAAGAAGAACGCCCTTTCTTCTCAGAAGAATTTTATCAAGCATTTCCTCATTTGAGGCCTTCAACAAAAACAACTTTTATATCAACTAATCAAACACGCCCTTTTGTAACTTCGCCTTCTTCAACGTCAGATCCACCACCAAAACGCTTTTCAGAGGCGCGAGCGTGCGAAAAATTTAATAAAAAAATTTAAAAAATAAAAAAATAAAATCAGAATTTAATTAAAAATTAAAAATAAATTTGTAATTTTTCAGTTTTCTTCTTATTTGGACCGTTTTGACCGTGATTGGCGCTCTGACCCGTTTTGGCGTGATTTGTACCCAAGATGGGCGGAGCCTGTATTTAAAGAAGGAATTGATGTTAAGGTGGGGAATAGAGATAAATCAGAATTAATTTTAAACTTTTTCCGGAAACAGAATAATATTTTTATATTTTTTCCGGAAAACAAAATCAGAATATTTAGTGTTATTAAACCTTTTCCGGAAAATATAATAAGAGGTTTTAATATTTTCCGGAAAACACAAAAATCAGAATTTATTTTAACTTTTCCGGAAACAATAAATATATTTTCCGGAAAACACAAAAATCAGAATTTTTAAACTTCCGTAAAACACAAAAATCAGAATTTTTAAACTTCCGTAAAACACAAAAATCAGAATTTATTTTAATTTTTCCGGAAAACACTTAAATCAGAATTTATTTTTAAACTTTTCCGGAAAATACAAAAATCAGTCTTTAAAAAACACAATTATTTAGACAAATGTTACAAACGATAGTCAACGTTTTTCTGTAGAAATTGACTGCTACCAATTCCGCCCGGAGGAATTACAAGTAAAAACATTGGATGATACGTTGTTGATAGAAGGTAGACACGAGGATGTTCGTGATCGTGATAATTATACAAAAATGGTAATTTAATTTAAAATTAGGGGGGAAAGTATTTCAGAACCCTTTGTTAGAGAAAATTAACTTTTCCGGAAAACACAAAAATTAAGAAAAATACAAGAAAATACAAAAAATCAGAATTTTTATAACTTTTCCGGAAAACACAAAACTATGCTTAAGAAAAATACAAAAAAATACAAAAATCAGAATTATTACAACTTTCCGGAAAACACAAAAATTAATAAAAATACAAGAAAATACAAAAAATCAGAATTTTTATACCATCTCCGGAAAATAATCAGAATTTAATATTTTTATACCTTTTCCGGAAAACAGGAAAAAATCAGAATTTTTTACCAACCTTTTAATAAACAAAAATCAGAATTTTTACAACTCCGGAAAACACAAAATAAATTAATCTTAAAACAGAAAATACAAAAACCAGAATTTCTTTAACCTTTTAAAATTATTTTTGTAGTATTTTGTCCGTAAATATCAATTGCCTTCTGATGTGGAGCCTCAATCTATTTCAAGCCATGTCGATAGCCATGTAAATATATTTTTTAAAAATTTCTTTCTGGGGCCTATTTCAATTGTCCGCAGATTCTGCATTCTGTGCACAGAACACAGATTCTGCGGAAATTCTGTTTCAATTAAATTCTGTGTGCACAGAATCTGTGGTGCCCGCAGATTCTGCGAAATCAACCACTGATTCTGTGGAAACATTCCGCAGATTCTGTGGATGAAAATTTCTGTGGAAAATATAGAAATCTGTGGATTTTTTCCACTGATCCACAGAATTTCTATTTCAATTATTTTCCTGTGGTTCTGTGTATTTTTCCTTCTAAATTCAAACTTTTTATTTCCGCGTTTTTGAAAATAAAGTGTTATTGAAACGAAAAATGGTTAGGACAGTTCGGTACTACTGCAGTATTAATGGTACCTGATTTTTTGAAGAAAAACTTTAAAAATTCTTAAATTAAACTGAAAAATATTGTAAAAATTTAAAAATTTTCCCTCCAAATCACATAAAATCCATTTAAATCTTTTAGATATCACTTTAAAACCGCTGATATACCGCTTAATTTTCTGGTTCATCCAATATCCTTAAATCCCCAATTAAATTAATGTTTCGGATCGGAAAAATCAGGAGATGGAAAAGTCAGGAGACTACGATAGATGTTGTTGCAAGGGAGGGAAATGTTACAAAACTGGGGATTGTTTAGTCAGAAATTGAGGTTCCTGGAAATCGAAAATGCCTGGAATCCAAAATTTCAGTCATCGGAACTTGAAAATCGTAGAGGAGGGATTAAGTGGGATATCCATTGATTTTGAGGTTTAATATATTGGAGGGATTAAGGAGGAAATCTATCATTAAATAGGAGGAGAGATTATGACGGATATCAATGAGAGATCATAGGAGATATCCCAGGCTAGATATCCTCAAGAGATCCCGGGGAAAAATCCCCTCATTAGAGATATCCATGATGATTAGAACATCATAGCTCTAAATTTCAGAATCTCTCGCGTTTTTTTATTTTTTTATTGCTTGGATATAACAAAAAATGCTAAAAAATGATGTACCTTTTTCAAAATTAATTTTAAGTAATAATTTTAAGTAACAAAATTATAATTTTTATATCGAAAAATAGAGAATGAATCAAACTCTAATAATCTTTAAAAATTCTAAAATTTGGTTAAGCCTAGGCCTAGAAAAAAATTTTTAAAGTTTTTCCGTAAAAAATTCGCAGAAAAAATTTTAGGGTGGATTTTTTAATGAATTCTGTGTATTTTCCGCAGACCACAGAAATAATTGAAACAGAAATGCACAGAATCGACTAAAAAAGCCACAGATCTGTGGATTTTTTTCTGTGCACAGAAAAATAATTGAAATAGAATTCTGTGGTTTTTGCATGTTTTTGGATGTTTTGCAGAATCTGTGGATGTTTCCACAGATTCTGTGCATGTTTCCACAGAATCTGCGGACTCCTTTTTCCGCAGAATCTGTGGAATAATTGAAACAGAATTTCTGTGGTTCTGCGGTCTGTGCACAGAACGCAGACCACAGAATCTGTGGACAATTGAAATAGGGCCCTGGAAAAAAATTTCTGAAATTTTCAAAAAAATTTTCTAAAAAAATTTTTCCAAGAAAAAATTTTTTTAATTTATAGGGACGTTTAACAGTCGAAGCCCAAAAGCGTTGGCAAGCAATAGAAGGTAGAGAAAGGGCTATACCAATAGAAAGTCAATCAACTGCTGCCCGTCGTTTTGGAGCAAATTCGCGTTCAAGTTCTTATTCTCCCCGTGATCAATTTTATGATTCTGGTAGAGGTACTCAAGCTTCTGATTATTATAGAGGCGATAGTAGAGCTGGAGGTGGAGATTATTTATTATCTCCTAGTAGAAATGGGGGTTATAAAAGTGAATATGAACAGAGACAAACGGATGCTAATGGAATGAGACACGAAGCGCGTAGAGAAGAATTTCGTGAAGAGGTGAGAGGGTTAAAAACTTTCCGGAAAACAAAAATCAGAATTTTTAAAATATTTTTAAACTTTTTCCGGAATAAATCAGAATTTATAAACTTTTTCCGGAAAACACAAGCAAATCAGAATTTTATAAACTTTTTAAAGAAAAATAAAATCAGAATTATTAATAATACTTGGATTAATATAACTTTCCGGAAAACACAAAAATTTTATTAAACTTTGGAAAACACTAAAAAAATCAGAATTTATTATTTTTTTCTAGTTCCGACGAACAGGCTCAGCTGCAAATGCGCTTTCACCTCCAACATCAATTTACCGTCCACCATCTCGTTTAAGCGCTGTTGACAGCGTTGGAGGTGGAGGAGGGGCAGGAAGTCATCGTTCTGAGTCTCATTTTCGACGTACAGCTTCTGCATCTCGTAATGAATATCGTGGGGGATATAATGGAGCTGGTAAAAATTTAAAAAAATTAAAAAAAAATGAATTTTTTTAAAGATCATTTATTGCGCCCAGCAGAAGAATTGGGTGGACGTTCTTCTGTTTTTGGCCGTAGTGTGCCTATTCAACGTGCATAAATAAGAGAGGAAAAAAGAGAGAAAGAAAAATAAACTTGAAAATGTTAAAAGAAAATACATACACAAGTCTTCACTTATATAAAATAAACTTTCCGGATTAAACACTAAAAAACACGAGTTATACAAAAGAATAAAAATCAGAATTTTTAGAAGTTTTCCGGAAAATACAAAAATCGGAATTTATTTTTAAACATTTTCCGGAAAACACAAAAATCAGAATTTTAAAATATTTTCCGGAAAACACAAAAATCAGAATTATTTTTAAACCTTTCCGGAAACAATATTTTTATATTTTTTCCGGAAAACACAAATCAGAATTTTATTCAAGTTTCCGGAAAACACAAAAATTAGAATTTTATTAAAACATTCCGGAAAACAAGTTCTTTTTATTCTTTTGTATAACTCTAGTAAAACACAAATAAAATACATTCTGATTTTATTTTAAAACACAAGTTATATCTTCTTTAGTTATCTTTTTAAAGTTGTAATAAAAATACAACCCATCTAATAATATTTAAAAAAATTTTTTTAAATAATTTTATTTTAAATGTAGGAAAAAAGGTACACAGAAAAGGAAAAAAAATAATTTTTGAGGTTTGTGGTGTATTTTATATTTTTTTTGGCTAGTTGTGTGCTTACACCATTCTTTAAATTAATATTTTGGGGGGTCAGGGGGGTCTCAAAAAAATTTTTTTTTAATTTTAAAATTTTTTTAAATTCCAATTAAATTCCCCAAGTCATATAAATTCCAAAAATAATTTTTTTTTAAAAGAATGGTGTCTTAAAACCTCATTTAAATATGTCTAAATAATATAGGGAGGGTTTTAGGGATATATAGAGGATAACAAATTTTTTAATAAAAAATTTCAATTTTAGAAAATTCTAATTTTAAAAATATTTTGTTATCCCCTAAAATGCAAATTTATTTATAATTTAATTTTTTTAAAATCAATATAGGTAAGCCCCCATTTTTTCGCAAACCGAAAAGAAAAGAACTTCTGACTTTTGGATATATTTGGTGGGTAATATTCAAGGAAAAAATTTTTTTCACTTACAAACCAGGCAAAAAAAATTTTTTTTATAGACTGGCAGAAAAAAATGGGCGTTTTTTCTTTACTAAAAATTCAGAAAAGGGCAAAAATGGATATGGATGGATAAATATAAGGGGAAGTAATTTTAATAATTAAAATATTCTAATTTTACTAAAATCAAAGAAAACAACTCTTTTTTTTAGTTAAAATTGGGGAAAATAAATAGAGCGGGTCAGAACTAGATACCCTTGATTTTAGGGTCAAAAATCATAATCAGAATTTTTTTTCGAGCAAAAATCTGGTCAAGAAGCAAACAACTGAAATTAAGGTCTCAAGGGACAAAATTTTTTCCGATCACCAAAAAAAAGAGAGTTGCTTTTTTAAAGGGGAAAAAGTCAAAGAGAAAAAAAATTAATTTTAAAAATAAACCTTCCTTCCTACAAAAATTTCTTATCAGAATTATTTCCAAAACGATTGGACAAATCACCTACACGTTCCTTTAATGATGCTGGGTCTGTAGAAGATGTTTTCTTATTACTTCCAAGTTCTCGAATCTTTAAAATTAAAAAAAAAGAATGAATTAAGAAATTTAACAACAAAAAAATATTTTATAAGGTAAGGGTTTCTTAGAGTTGCTTTTTTTCTCTCAAAAAATTTTTTCTAAAAGAATGACCAAAAATTCAATCTGATCAATTTCTGATGACCATGTTGAATTTGTGCTTAATTCCCTTAACTGAGGAAAGGCTCAATCCTCGAAGAAAATTCTTGGGGAGATGTGTAAAGGTGTGGGGGAATTTTCCAAAAATTCTTCAAGGTTCCAATTAGCTACCCAGCTCATTGGTCCCTCTACGGGAGAAGAGGCTTCTATGAGGTGACTTTAAATTCAATTTCTTTAACCGAGGAAAGGCTTCCGTCTCGAAAAAGAAAATAATTGTAGCGTACCAAGGTGTGTGGTGAATTAAAAAATCTTTTCAGAATTTCATGGTCATCGTAGTTCCTCTATAAAAGGAGAAAAAAGCCTCTACCATTCGAAGTAGGAAAGGAGCTTCTAAGGGCCTAGGAAGAGAAGAGGCTTTTTCCATAAGAGCTTCCCTTTTTTGTATAATACAAAAAATTCAAACCTCAATATCAGTATCTCGATTAAATGGCCTCCTTTCAGCATTATTTGTGTACAACAACTTTAAAAAATTTTTTAATTAAAAAAATTTAAAAAACCTTAGTTCCAGAACTTTCACCTCCATTTTTATTATTATTCGACGATTCCAATTTTCGTTTTTTCTGGTGGATATCCAAAAGTGATTCGTTTCGTTCTTTCTTTAAAATAAAAAAAAAACTTTTTTTTAAAAATTAAAAAAAACATTTAATTCAGCAGCACGTTTCTCATTCCATTCATCTTGTTCACTTCGTTTATTTGGTGGTTTGGGAATAGTGGAAGATGAAACTGAAGAGGAGGAAGTTGAAGGGCCATCATAATCAAAATTGTCAGCATCATTGGTTTTGGTATTCTTTAAAATAAAAATTTTTAAAAATTAAAAACTGGGGGAAAAAGAGAGAAAAAAGAGGTTAAACGAAAAAAGGGTTGAAGCAGGGCTGGGCAAAATCTAAAAATAAAAAGCGAAATTAGCCCAGTCCTGGTTTGAAGGTAAACCAAAAGGCTTTCCAACTCGAAGGAAAACTTTGAGAGTCTTACCCGACCTTTTACTCAATACGTCTTTGGCGCCGAAAAAATCCCTGCCCTTCTGAAAAAAAACATGGTTACGGGTTTGCGGTCCATCTCTGGTACAAATAGACATGGGCTATGCTTGATTGAGAGGTTTAGACAATTGCGAGCTCCAGACCAAAGCCTCTCGTAAAACAACAACCAATCCCCAATTCCTCATATTAAATCCCCAAAAATAACTTAAAAAACCTTTAAATTTCCACCACCATTTGGAATACTTGTCCAACCAGAATTATCATTATTGGAAGGACCAGCAGAAGAACGCGAAAATGAGGTTTTTGAGGAAAGCCCATAAGCACCTGTCTTGAGCATTTTTTGAGGTAATTCTGTCATCCATTCTTCACGTTTTAAACCATTTGAAGCCTTAAATTGAAAAATTTTTTCAATTTTGAAAAAATTTTTAAAAATTAGGAGACATTAGCTTGAACGGATTTCCCATCTTTCAGAATTTTTGGGCGTCTATTAGATAGGGGGTCACAAATTAAAATTCAAAAACTCCCAAAAAATTAGGGGACATTAGAGTCTCGGGAAGATTTCTCAATTTTCGATTCCTTTTTCACGAGCGTCTATTAGAAAGGGGGTCACAAATTATAATCCAAAAAACTCCCAAAAATAATAATGGAACATTAGAGTCCTGGACAGAGTTCACATTTTTCGATTCCTTTTCATAGGCGTCTATTAGAAAGGGGGTCACAAATTAAAAAATTTTGGGCGTCTATTAGATAGGGAGTCACAAATTAAAAAATTTTGGGCGTCTATTAGATAGGGAGTCACAAATTAAAATCCAAAAAACTCCCAAAACTAATTAGGGGACAATAGCGTCCTGGGCAGAGTTCACATTTTCCGATTCGATTTTCTGGGCGTCTATTAGAAAGGGGGGCCAAATTAAAAAATTTCTCAAAAAACCTTTTTATTAGCCTCAAATTCAGCCAAACGTGCCAAATATTCAAATTGTTCTTCCTCTTCAGAGCGTCCAGGAACTGGAGGTATAGGGCCAATAACAAAAGAGTCTTCCTCCCCTCTATTTTCAATTCCTCTTTCCCCTTCAATTTCAAAATCCCTTCCCCCTCCCCCTTCATTATTTAATTCAATTTGTGCCAAATTTCCTTCATTTATTTGTTGTTCGTCCTCTTCTTCTTCATCACTACTTGAAGGTAATGTTGGCCCAAAACTATTCAATTTTTTACGAAAATTACGAGAATTTGATTGTTGTTGATGTGGATTATTACAAATTTGTGGTTCGTCTGGTGGTAATGATGGACCTCCAATATCTTCAAAATCTGTAAGAAAAAAAGAAAACTGTGAAAAAGTTTTGAGAATATTAAAGGTTGAAAATGAACTTGGATAAATTCTCTGACAATTTTATGGAAAGAGAGAATTTAATTTCCGAGCATGGGAGATATGAAAGACCATGCCTCTCTAAGCGATACAAGGGGGAATCTAAACCAATTTTTTAAGTAACTGCTGGCTTAAGTTGCTGGGGAAAGTTCATCCCCCAATGATAATCTAAGGGGATTCGCTCCTTTCCCCTGTAAATGTGGAAAAGGAAAAAATTTTGGAAGAGGAAAAGGATCAGAAAAGTGTCTATTTTTTAACCCCATGGCCTTCCAAAGTTGTCAAAATTTCAAATTTGGGGTTACTGACTAGAGTGACATTTGATCCCAAAAAATGATAATGTTTTTTAAGCTCTCCACACAAGCGCTAAACCCTCCCCTCTTCCTTAAAAAAATTAAAAAAGAACCATTAATATTTGGAAATCCTCCACCACCACCTCCTTGTTGTCCCCCTCCATTACTCGGCAAATTCAAATCTGGTGGAAGTGTTGGTCCAATAACTACATTATTGTTTAAAGCATTACTGCTACTTGGTTGATCACACAAAGGAATAAAATCAACTGAAGAATTGTGGTTGGTGCCAATTGATGGAAGAAAGTGTTCATCACCTTTAAAAACAAAAAAGATGACATTTGATCCCAAAAATTAAAAAAAATTTTTGGACATTTGGGTCAGAACACGTTTGGGTAAATAAATTTCAATTGAATAAAAAATGAGGTATAAAAATAAGAAAATGTTTTTAGAAAGATTTTTCAGAGAACAAAAGGTTAAAAAAGTAAAAAATTTTTAAGGATGACATTTGATCCCAAAAATTAATTTTTTTTAAAATTGAATAAAAAATGAAGAATAAAAATGAGAAAATGTTTCTAAAAAATTTTTCAGAGAAGAAAAAGTCGAAAAAATAGACAGCCAATTTAAAAAATTTTTTAAAAGTGACATTTGATTCCAAAAAAATTTTTTTCAGAAAAATATCAAACCTCTATTATTCATCGGAATTCTAGGAAGCATAGAAGACGAAGACGGAATTGACGGTCCAATCATTCTCGAATTCACATTTCTTGGTTGATTACTTGAAGAACTTGTGCTGCATTGAAGCGGGTCTTCAGGGTCGTCCAAATCCAAATCGTGAGCACCAAACGAAGCGGAAAAATCGTTGTTGATAATTTCGTGTTCAGCAAAATGAGGTTGTTGTCCGTCGTTTAAATCGTCTGCTCCAAACCCTGGAAAAAATTTTAAAGAATTTTTGAAATTTTAAAATTTTTTAAAAATGGGGACAAAATGTCCAAAAGTAAAAATGGTAAAATTAAAAGGTAAACGGATTGAATGGACATTGTAGAACTCTTATAGGACTCGGAAGCACCAAAAGGAGAGGAAAAATACTTGGAAAAATGTCAAAAAACGTCAAAAAAATATTTTCAGACTCAAATGGCCAATTTAAGGACTATTAGAGTCTGAAGGGAGTTCCTTTGATAAATCGCCCCTGAACATGAAAACGAGCACCTACGAGCTCTGAAAAATTTACCAAAGCCTTCCGACGATGTAAAGAAATTTTTTAAAGCAAAAAAGAAAACCTGGAGGAAGAGACGGCCCATATTCTTCAGGCTGTCCAGGCTCAACAACTTCATCATCCCCAACATCATTCTCTTCGTCTACAGGTCCATCTAACAACAACCCTCCTCCTCCCTCATTATTTAAATTAGCCTCCTCGTCTTCATGTGCCATCATATTAAATTCATCCCAAGAGGGGACTTGGTTTAAATCGTTATTTTGATTTGGAGGTGGTTGGAAGGACATTTCCTTGGAGTTGTTTTTGGACTTTTAAGAGTCAATTTTAAAAAATCTCTAAAAATTAAAAGAAGAAAGAAGCGTTTTTTAAAGAAAATTTGAATGAGAAGGGAGAATTAACAAGCTTAAAATGAATCTGGGGAGGTGGGGCTAGGGCTTGTGAAGAGGGGGGCTAGGGCTTGTGAGGGGAGGGGGGAGTGTAAGGGTGAAGGAGGGGGAGGTAAGGGATTGAAAAGGCTTGCGCCTTTCGATCAAGCTCGTGATACAGCAAAGAAAATCCAACTCACCTTGCATAAGTCAATAGGTAAGAGGAGGGGGGGATAAGTCAAGAAAATTGACTTTAAAAAGGGGGAGAGGAAGGGAAGGGGTGGAAAAGGGTAGCCAAGCAAAAAATTGATTTTTAAAAATCCCCTGGTGAACCTGAACTTTAAATTAAATTTAAAATATGTGTGTTTTGTTTTGAATAAAATTTTGATGAGCTTGGGAGAAAAGCATGGGAAATTTTGAGAAAATTTTTTTTGTTTGAAGCAATGCATAAATACACGCCTAATCTTTCTCTGAATTATAAAAATTAATTCCAGGTGAATACCCAAAAAAATTTTTTTTCAGTCTTTTTTGGAGAAAGAAACCACATAATTCTTTGCATAATAAAGCAAGAAAAATTTAAACTAACCCCTCGCGAAGAAAAAAAATTATTAAAAAATCTGAAATTTATAACCTGAAGACAGTTAAAATGGCCGAACTTTAAACTAAAATTTAACTAACAAATTAGACACTAAAATAAAAGAAAGATTATGTGGTTAAAGAAATAGACAAGTTAAAATGGTGGGAGACGCATAAAAAAAGTTGGTAAATTGCCACAGAAATGTAGTGAACTGCAAATCGACTTTTTCGTCGATTCGCGGCGAATAACTACTTTTATTCGCGAACGACTTTTTTTTAATACACAATGCCAGAACTACGTAAATATCGATGTTTTACGCCAAACGATTCCGAAAAGACTTTTTTGTATCTCTTTTTCTCTAACTTTCCATTATATTTCCTTCCTCTTTTTCTATTACTTTTCGTTCGTCGTGTCTCTCCATTGGAATTTGCAATTTTCCTTTTGTATAAATGTTCAGTCCCTTTTCTGTAATTTTTAGGGATTTTTCCAATATATTCTTACTAGATGGATGATTTTGAAAATGAATTAAGAGTCGCATTCGAAAGAAAACACGGAGTTCAGTTACCAGCTAAGGAAAAACAAAAGATGATGGAGGATGCCCTTGTTGAATTCTGCGTTACAGATGCAAGGCCGTTCTCTTTAATTAACGGAAAAGGGTTTATTAGTTTCCTAGATTTTACTGTTGCCAATTGCAACACGTTGGCTTTCAATCTTAGCTATGGTCAGAGCCTTTTCTGCAGCAGATAAAGAATCATTTAAAGAAATTGTTAACAGATATTCTGGCAATCAATACACAGAGAGAATGGAACGAATTTTTTCCAAGCAAAATCTTTTTGAAGCTTATATTCAAATTGTTTCAATGTTGGAAGCACCTTTGAAAATACTTGAGGTAAAAAATAATATTGAAATTTAGCAAATTTAAATTTTAGGCCGAAAATAAATGTACAATCAACAGATTAATGATAGAAATGATAAAATTGGAAAATGCTTGGAGAGGAGAAGTAAGAGGAGATGATTTAGTCAGAGCAGCTTTAGCCAAAAGTGGATTGAAAGCCTTTAACAGGAAGATGAGTGAAATTTTCATTGAAAATACGGAAAGCCTTTCTATCATCAGATGTGCTGCTTACCTTGATCCTGCCGTTTGTGGAATTCTTAAGAAAGTATGTCAAACGAACTGTCATTGGGGTGACTATGAAACGGTTTTTATTTAGATTTTAATTTTGACTTATTAAATTTTAGATACAAAAAGCCGTTAGAAATGTTGCAAAACAAAACTTTCCGGAATGTTTACGCCCACACGTGGAAAACGGTTTTTATTTTGTCCTGAATAAGTTTAATAGAAAATTTAGTTTCACCAAGTCTAGTTAACTTTGGCCAAAATGCAATGAGGACTGAGATAGATTTTGAGATGGAACAGTATGAAACTGGATGTAAGAATTTGGGAGGACATAAGCTAGATTTGCTTAAATTTTGGAAAGAAAATTCAAACAAAATTCCACACCTTGCAGCAATTTCTAAGCATTTTTTAGCAATTCCTTCTTCTTCTACTTCTTGTGAACGTATATTTTCCCGTTTTTCTCCTTTAGTATATGATTATAAACGAAATCGTTTTGACCCACATACTATTTCTACACTTATTTCATTACAATCATTGTTTAAAGATGAATAAAATTTTGTTATTTTATTTTTTTAACTTTAGAAAACGATTACCTAACAAAAATTCCAATGGAGAGACACGACGAACGAAAAGTAATAGAAAAAGAGGAAGGAAATATAATGGAAAGTTAGAGAAAAAGAGATACAAAAAAGTCGATTCGCAATCGTTTGGCGTAAAACATCGATATTTACGTAGTTCTGGCGTTTTGTATTTTAAAAAAAGTCGTTCGCGAATAATTGTAGATTTTTTTGAAACGACTTTTTTTCCTTAAGAAAAAGTCGATTTGCAGTTCCCTACAGAAATGCACGTTTCTGGCTACCCTACAACTCATCGAATCCTTAACTCATCGAATCCTCAACTCATCGAATCGGCCAAAAACACTCAACTCATCGAATCCTTAACTCATCGAATCCTCAACTCATCGAATCGGCCAAAAACACTCAACTCATCGAATCCTTAACTCATCGAATCCTCAACTCATCGAATCGGCCAAAAACGATCAACTCATCGAATTTTTCCAAAAGGGGACGTTTGAGTCCCCGTGTTTATTTTTTAGATTTTTTATTGTTTTGTTTATTTTTTTTTGTTTTCTTCTGGGGTTTCAACTAATTTTGTTAATTAGTTGATCGGGCACTCATCCAAGTTTATCCGGCCAGTGAAAACATTATCAGAACATTATCTCATTCCTGAAAACATTATCTCATTCCTAATAAATTATGCTGGAGATTTTACCGGGTAAAACCGGACCAAATTAGTCCAGTAGACCCCGATTATGCCCAAAAGCCCTTTTTCCTAGCCTCCATAGCAGCAAAAAATTTTTTCAACGAAGATTCAGTTAGCCCTTTCGGGAGAAAAATAAAAACAGGGGACTCAAACGTCCCCTTTGGAAAAATTCGATGAGTTGATCGTTTTTGGCCGATTCGATGAGTTGAGGATTCGATGAGTTAAGGATTCGATGAGTTGAGTGTTTTTGGCCGATTCGATGAGTTGAGGAATTTTAGCCGATTCGATGAGTTGAGCGTTTTGGTCGATTCGATGAGTTAAGGATTCGATGAGTTGAGCGGGCACGACGTTTCTATGTCTCTGTTTGTGTGTAGTTATACTTGAATAGAAGAAGAAATAGTGTAGACAGAGAAATAGAGAAAATAATGACGAAAATCAAAATGCAGAATAATGCTGACGAAAGAGTTGCCATTGGGACAATTAGCCACACAAGCAAAAAAGTGACAAATTGCCAATCCGACATTTTGCCAGCAAACGAGAAATGTGACATTTTGTCGCTAAAAGTAGTTTCCAAAATAGGCATGTATTTTATTTGAATGTTTTACACATTTTGTTGGTTTACTGGCAGGTTGCCTGTTGACAGCTGCTTTATAGCTGGCCAAAACTATAAAAATAAATATGCCTGTTTGAGTCTTGTTTAGGTTAAAATTCGATTTTTAACAAATTTTCTCAAATTTCCCCCCAAAACTTGCGTTTTTCGGTTATATTTCTCCTGTAACTTGATCCAAAATTTTGAAAATTTAACTGTCTATAGCAAATTTAATTCTCTATCGAATGCTAAGAATAAAAAGAGGAAAGGTTCTCGATTTTGTAGAGTGTAAATTCGAGACTCTAGTATACCCTTAAGTAAAAATGACATTTGATCCCACCCTAAATTTTTTCCTTTTTTTTTTAGATTTTTTTTAGATTTTTTCTTGCCACTGTTACAACAACAAATATTAATATCACAACGTTCAACAACACAGAAAAACATCAAAAAAAGATAACAGTCGTCTCTTCTATATTAAAAACTGACCGCCAAAAAATCTTCACTATTTTTTGACCTTCAACAACATTGTGGCTAATTTTATTTATTTTTCAATGTTTGCTAATTAAATAAGAAGGAAAGGAAATAGTCAATAAATTACTCTATCTTCCTCTACAAACAAACAAAAGAAGGAAAGAAAGATTAATGGGACATTTGATCTCAGTTCCACAGCAATGCTCTCAACTGTTTCATACCCCTTTTGGTTAGTTTAGTTTGATAATAAATAAATATATTTTTTATTAGAGACTATTTTTGCAAAACAAACAAGATAAAAACATGTTTTTAGGGGAAATAGCTCTTTGGATTTTCAACAAAATTTTTGTCCATTAGAGTCTGGGACTCTTAATTTTTTAAAAGGCTTTTTAAGTGAGTCGTCCTTCGGTGAAAAATCCATTTTTTGGAGAATTTTAAAGGAGAAATAAAACAATAGAATTGCTTAACCTTTTAAATCAATAATAAAAAATCTCTTCATTTCCTCTTCATTCTTCGTACATTAATAGACTTTATTCTTCTATTGATTGGTGTAATTCTTGCAAGATAAACAAGATAAAACATGAAAAATTTTTTTCTTCCTCTTCCTATCGAAAAATTTCTTAAATAATTTATTTTTCTTCTTTTCGAATTATTTCCCCTCGATAGGATTCGAACCTTCGACCTCTTCCCCTCGATTTCCAAAAATTATCCCGCTACACCAAAAAGACTATAAGGGGTAAATGAGAAAATTGAGTCTGCGACTTTAATTTTTAATTTTTTCAATGGTTTTTGAACCTTTTTTAGAAATCAAATTTAAAAATATACATTAAAAATCGTTTTGTGTTCATCTCCCCCACTTTTTGAATTCTTCCTTCCTCTCCTTGTTTTTCATCAATTTTGTCTTCCAACTGTTTCTCCCAACCAATGATTATTCCCAGCACGCTGCTAAAGTAACCCCTTCTCTTTCGTTTCTTCCACTATACAAATAAAATGTTGTTATTCATTCAATAGTGGTTTTATTTTAACCTTTTTTTAATCTTTGAAAATTTTTTTTTGTTTTTTTAAAGACGAAACTGTTGAACAAAACAGTTTTAGGGGGGTTTTCTTCTCCTATTCCTTCCCTTAACTGTCCAAAAAAGCTTTCTAAAAAATTTATTCTTCCTTCTTTTGTGTTTTTATATGTTCATTTGTTAAATTAATTCATTTAAAAATTATTTCCCCTCGGTGGGATTCGAACCTTCGACCTCTTCCCCTCAATTTTCAAAAATTATCCCACTACACCAAAAAGGCAAATTTTGCTATTTTCGTTCCTTTTTCAGTCTAAAATGTTTTCAGATATTTTTTAATTTTTTAAAAATTTTTCTAGGGGTAAAAAAAATTTTTTTTGAAAAAACTTTCCCTTAAATTTTTTAATTTTTCAGTTAATTCTTCAACTTCTCAAATATTTTCTCAAAATTGTACAAATAAAAATTTTGAAATGTTGAATAATAATGAAGATGAAATTGATGAGCATATTCCGACAACACCAGACCCGTTTAATTTTTTAATCTAATTTTTTTTAATTTTTAAAATTTTATAGAAATTCATTCAAATTACAACCACACGAATTAAATCAATTCCCAGACGAAATTTTTGATATTGTCAGCAAAGTTGGGGAAGGGTATTTTTTATTTTTAAATGAATTTTTGGGGGTGTCCTTTTACTTTTTTGGATTTATATCATAGATAGGCTTCTTTTCCGCCTTCGTTTTCAACAGAATTTTACCTTTTATTGGGTAGGGAACGTTTCAGTCTCTAGGCGATATTTTGGCTCATAACTTTTTTGAACTTCAACCTTTTCCTATGATCTAAAACCAATCGATAGCTCTGATTGTGCTTATTATTTTTTCCAAAAGGACTTTAGGATCCGATCAATTTTTAAAGAGTTAACAACTTATAAGTGAGGACAATTGTGATTTTTCGATTTTTATCATCTCATAATTTTTTGTAAGATGATCCTTCTTACTTTTAAACCGTTATTAAAAACGAATTAAGTGTTCCCTTTTCTTTCCTGATTTTTCTCTTTTTTATTTTCCTCGCGAATTATATTTAAATTTTTTCAGCTCATATGGGTCAGTCCATAAAGCATTACATAAATCTAGTGGGCGTTCTTTGGCTATTAAAATGGTTTTATTTTTTATTTTAAAAACATTTTCTTAATTAAATTTAAAGGTACCAGTAGACACAGATTTACAAGAAATAATTAAAGAAATTACAATAATGCAGCAATGTGATTCTCGGCATGTAGTTAAATATTATGGAAGTTATTTCAAAAATTCTGATCTCTGGGTATTTTTTTTAATTAAATTTTTTTTGATGAGCTTAAAGCTAAAGATATTTTTTAAATAATTTTTTGTGAATTTAAAAATTATTTTCCTTCAGTGGGGCTCGAACCTTCGACCTATTTCCCTTGAAAACTAAACATTTTCCAACTTAACCAAAAGATCAATTTTGATACCTTTTTGACCTAACTTTTTTTATTTTTTTCCTTTGGATTTTTATTAGTCAAAATAATTATTTAAAAATTATTTTCCTTCGTTGTGTATCGAACCTGCGACCTATTCCTCTCAAATTCCAAAAATTTATCCCACTACACCAAAAAATCAAGTCTTTACTTTTTGCCCTAAAATGCTCGTTTTTGACGGAAAATTAAATTAAAAAAAATTTTTTTTTTAAAAGATTGTAATGGAATATTGCGGTGCTGGTTCCGTTTCCGATATAATGCGGTTAAGACGTAAAACTTTGGATGAATTCGAAATTAGTGCAATATTAAAAGACACACTTTTGGGGCTTTTTTATCTTCATGGAATGAAAAAAATACATAGAGATATTAAAGCAGGTTTTTTTGAAAAAAATTTTTTTTAATTAAATTTTAATTTAAAGGAAATATTTTATTAAATATGGATGGAAATGCAAAATTGGCAGATTTTGGAGTGGCCGGGCAAATAACTGATACAATGGCTAAGAGAAACACGGTTATTGGAACTCCTTTTTGGTTTTTTTTTAATTTTTAAAAATTTTGAGTAAAAATAAATTTTGTGCCAATGAATAGAGAATTTAATTCTCTACAAAATTTGATCGGAAGAAAATTTTTTTGAGGAAAATAAAAAATGTTTTGGCCAAAAAACCTTCAAAAACAGCTTAAAATTGTTTGTTTTTGGTCTCTAACTTTTTTCTTTTTTAATTTAAAATTTTTTTTCCTTCCATATTTTGTAGTAAATTTAATTCTCTATTCAATGACACAAAAATTAGATTATTTGGATAATTTTATCAAGAGTTATTGGAATTTGAATTTGCCGTGTTTTTAACTTTTATTTGACTTTTCATAGGCCGGACCTGGGAACCTATTTTTGACTACAACTTTTTTAATCCTTAACTGATTTAACTAAATTTTATTTCATTTGGAAGCTTTGAGTGTCCTAATTATTTTTTCCAGTAGGACTGATAAGATATAATTACCCCTTAAAGAGTTGTACTCTTTGGGAGGTATCCAATCAAAAAAATTTTTTTCTTGAAAAAATTTTTTCAAAAATTTCAGGATGGCCCCAGAATTGATACAAGAAGTTGGTTATGATATGAAAGCAGATATTTGGTCTTTAGGAATAACAGCTATAGAAATGGCTGAAGGAAGACCTCCACATGCAGAAATACATCCAATGAGGGTACTTTTAATTTTTCGATTTTTTTTATTTTTTATTTTTAGGCAATTTTTATGATACCCACAAAACCTCCTCCAACACTCAAAGTTCCCCAGGATTGGAGTCCGTCATTTCTCGATTTAATTTCAAAATGTTTGGTTAAAAATCCGGAAGAGAGGACAACGGCTAAATGTTTGCTTGAGGTTTTTTTTTCTTTAAAGTTCTGATTTTTCAGAATAAAATTCTGATTTATTCTGGAAAATATATAAAATAATTTTTGAATTAATTTATCCATTTTTGGACAACTTTCCTAAACGGAGGTCAAAAACTGGAGGTCAAAAATTTTCGAGACTCTAGTGTCCCCCTGGTTCAATTTTCTTTAAAATTTTATCGCTTAATTGAAAATATATTTTTTTAATTTTTAGCACGAATTTATAAAATCGGCCAAAGGAGCAAAAGTATTGAGAGAAATGATTGCAAATGCTCAAGATGTCGCTGCACAATATTTGCTACAAGAAGCGGTATAAATTTTAAATATTGAAGGAATAAATAGAGATGAAGTCAGAATTTAAATCAGAATTCAAATTTCAGAATTGAAAAAATAAAATTCTGAAAAATCAGAACTTTTAAAAATCAGAACCGAAATCAGAGTTTTTTAGATGTTCTGATTTCGGATTTCAGAATAAAATCAGAAATTCTGAAAAAAATCAGAATTCTGGTTTTGTTCTGATTTTGGGTTTCTGAGCAAAATCAAATTCTGAAAAAATCAGAACAGAAATCAGAATTTCAGAAAATCAGAATTTTTTTAATTTCTGAAAAAAAAATCAGAATTTAAATTTTTCTATTTTTAAAGCAATATTCCCACATCCACAACCAACAACTACAAACTTCAATTTCCGAATTTGACACAAATTCAACAATGGTTTCAAATTCAGAAAGAAAAAATTCTTCAACAAAAAATAGTTTAATAATTAATTCAGACACTATGGGTAGTGGAGTTAATAATAATGATACATTATTAACTAATTTTGACGATGGAACTTTGATACAATATGGGGAGAGTATTAAACATGGTAAGGAAAGGGTTGGGAGGGGGGGATTCTGAAAAAATCAATTTTTTAAAAATCAGAATTTTGAAGAACAGAAGCTGAGAAATCAGAATTTAAAAACCAGAATTTTTGAAAATCAGAATTTCTGAAAATCGAAAAAATCAGAATTTCTGAGAAATCAGAATTTTCAAGAATCAGAATTTCTGACAAATCAGACGTTTCGGAAACCAGAATTAAAAACCAGAACTCTCGAAATTAAAAAATCAGAATTTTTTGAAAATCAGAATTTCTGAATATCAGAATTTTCAAGAATCAGAATTTCTGAATATCAGAATTTAAAAACCCAGAACTTTAGGAATCAGAATTTTCAAAAATCAGAATTAAAATCAGAACCAAAAAATATAAATTTCAGAATAAAACCAAAATTTTCTAATATTTTTAATTTTTTTTTAGAATTACAACTAACCAAAAACAACAACAACAATACTTCGTTACCCCCACCTCCATCATATTTAATTTCTAATAATGGAAACAATAATAAATTAAATGAAGAAATGAAAAATATTAAATTAAATGAAGATTATAATCAAGCAAGTTTAGATAGTAATGTTTCTAATGCTTTTAAACGGGCAATGAATGGACAGGGAGATTATGCTTTTGTGAGTGATTTTTTTTTTGAAAAAAAAATTTTAAATTAAAAAAAAATTTTCTTGAACTGACCACTAAGTTTAGGTTGTAGCAAATTTTTTTCTCTATCGAATGACACCAAAATCATAAAAAACGGACCATTTAATCACGAGTTATCGGTTAGACAAGATTAGCCTAAAAATTGAAATTTCCTAAATTCTTGGTGTAGTGGGAAAGTGTTGGGGTTGAAGGGTAAAAGGTGTAAGGTTCGAATCCCACTTGGGGTAAATATTTTTTAGGGGAAGTATATTAACTAATAAAGATATAAAAATTAAAAATGAGGGCAAAATAATTTTTTTGGATATTTTTGAAGAGTTTAAGGGAAAATTTTCCCATAGTAAAGACCATTTTAAAATTGGCTTTTTAGTCTCGAGGCTATATTTCGGGCCATAACTTTTTTATTTTTAACCGTTTTAAATAATTTATATATCAATCGAAAGCTCTGGATATGAGGATTATTTTAACTAACAGGATTGATTTGATCAGGTTATCCTACAAAAAGTTACAGCTGAATAAAGAGCAAAAGTCACGATTGTCCGCACTTATCAGTTTATAACTTTTTAAGGAATGATAGGAACTTATCAGTCTTTTTGGGAAAAATATTAGACACATTTAGAGCTTTCGAATGATATATAGATTATAGGAAAAGATGGAAGTTCAAAAAAGTTATGGCCCAAAATATGGCCTCGAGACTGAAACGTCTTCTAACCTAAAAATGACTTTAAAAATTTTTTGTCTTCTTTCAAAGTTGCAAGAATTGAGCACAGACGAATTACTTTTACGTAAAGAACGTTTAGAAAAAGAAATGGAATCAGAATTACACGAATTACAAGCACGTTATCATGCTAAACGTAAAGCTATATTAGATGCTATTGCATTAAAAAAGAATGGAACTGTTCAGTTTTAAAATATGTGACCCCTATTTTTAAGGAAGAATTTAAATACGCAAAAATGACCCCTTTATTTGTACTTGCATTTTTTTTTGTAATTTTTTGTAATTTTAAATTTTGTCAATTTTTTTATTTCTGTGATTTGTAGAGTAAAAACATGTGCCCCTCTGCCCGTTTATTTTGTTTTTAATTTTGTAAGATAAAATGTGAAACAAAAAAGATTCTTTGTCAAGACTCTAAAAATCCTTTTAAAACAATGCCATTTTACAACAATCCCCCAAGTCCCCCCCCCTCAACCCCCCCCCCAAACGATCAACGCTCAAAATCATTTATACATACTTGGATGATTTTGAATTTGATGTTTTGCAAGATGATCAATTGGGTCAGGCAAGTTTAGGAATATAAATAGTCTGAGACTCAAGCGCGCCCTATTGTCAATACAAAACATTTCAGGACTCAAACGTACCTTTTTGTCAAAAGACTCAGATTCTTAAAAAACTTAAAAATATATATAAATTTTATTGAAAGTCAAAAATTTCGAATCAAAATTATATAAAAAAGAAAGCTGCTAACTTAGGGCTAGGCGATTTTTTAAGAAAATTCAAGACGCAAGAAAGAAAAATTGCCTACCCCCAATTAAATCTATATAATCAAAAAGCTGTAAAAGAAATTTAAAAAAATATATGGCTTAAAATATAATTAAAGCAGTTTCTGGGAGGAAATTAAAAAGAGGGCAGGCCCAAGTAGGCGCGCGACCATAACGGCGCAAAGCCACAACTTTCTGGAAAATTTCTGGCCCATATCAATTTTAGTACCATTCTCTTTAGTTAGATGAGAGGAATCGTTTAATAATAAATTTGGTAAGATTCGGAAATCTTGAAGCAAGTTGTGGCTTCGCGCCGTTATGGCCGTGCGCCGGGCTGTACCCTTAAAAAGAATGTCAAAAAAGAGGTTGACATTAGAGTCTGAAAAAAAATATTTAAAATCTACACCTTCATGGCAACACAAAATAAAAAGAGACTTTTGTACGACCAGATGTATGTAATTACCAGAGGTGGGTCGGAACAGTCAGAGGTGTCGGAAATCGGAAGAGCCGGAAATTGGAACTGGCCCAAAAGTCGGAACTCGGAAATCAAAAACATTTTTCGGAAATCGAAATTCCGACCCACCTCTGGTGATTATAAACCCTGAATTGTCTTATTAAATTAACTAGATTTTTAAAATGAGGGCTGTGCGCCAAAAACTTTCGAAGAACGCCAAAAGGACGTAAATTCTGATTTTCTTAGATAAAAAAATTAAGATTTTTGGAGAATCAGAATTTCTGTATCTCAGAACCCCTGAAATTTCGAAAACGAGGTATTAGAGTCTTGCACACCCTCCTTTAACTATTTCTTCATTATTTAATAGCCCAGACTCAAACGTACCCTCATGGCGCACAATTTTAATTATAAAAAAACTCAAAAATTCATTAAAGTCGAATCATTTAGCAACTCTTTAAAACCAAATTCACGTATTAATGTAGCCAGACGTATTTTCCAAAAATTGAACATTTCATTTGTTAGTTCAGTTGGCTCTTTTGACGATTTTCGTCGTTGGGTGATTGAATAGGGAAGACAAGCGAGAATATCTGCAGAAAAATTTAAGAAATTGTTTTGATTTATAGAATGAGACTTTAAAATGAAAAAATGGGTTGAGGACTGAGACAGACAAAAAAATTTAATTTTTTGCATTTTTGGTGTAGTGGGAAAATGTTAGGATTCGAAAGGTAAAGGGTGTAAGGTTCGAATCCCACTCGGGGAAAATATTTTTTAAATAAAGTATTTTGACTAATAAAAATATAAAAATTGAAAAGAAGCTTAAAAGAAATTTTTTAGTGTATTTTAATAACGATTTTAAAATTATATACCCAAAGTAATGGCAGTTTCAAAATAATTTTGAACCATAACTTTTTGGATTCTTAACCGAATTAAACAATTATTATATCAATCGAAAGCTCTGGATGTAAGGAGTATTTTAGCTAACAGGATTAATTTGATCCGACCATTCCCCACAAAGTTATGAACTGATAACTGCGGAAAATCGTGATTTTCGACATTTAGTGGGCCATAACTTTTCAGGAAGTGAACAGATCTAATCAGTCCTTTTTGGAAAAATAATCAGTACATCCAAAGCTTTCGTTTGGTATAATACTTATCTAAATCGGTCAAGGAGCAAAAAAGTTATGATCTAAAAATATGGCCACAAAACAACCCTTCTCCCCATCCTTCTCCCCTAAAAATTAAAACAGAAAACAAACTATTAGACTGTTTAGCCATTTTATATCGAATACAAGTCGGAAAATGTGCTGCCAATCTTCTCTGAACAAATCTTTTAACATTAACTTCTTCATTTTCCAAAGGTAATAAATTAAATATTGCTACCCCTTTCAAAGTTAATTTTCTTTTAATTAATCCCAAAAATGTTGGGGAAATTAAATTGGAGGAGGGGCAGGGCATTTGTTGTTGAAAGTCAGTTTCTTGTTGTTTTTTATTTTTGTTTTTAATTGAAGCATTTTTTATTGGGTCACAAGCATCGATTACTATGGCATCGTAAAGTTGAGAATCTGAGGAAAAATTAAAATGTTTAAAGCTTTGCTAACCACAAAATTATAAATGCGGTTAAAAAGCTCGTATAAAATTTTTTTGAAAGATTATTCTAATTTTTTGGAAATATTGTTTTTTTGGAAATCTTAAAAATGAAAATTTCAAGGAAAAATTTTAAAAGAATCTTTTGTAAAGCTTTCTTAGTGATAAAATTATAAACTGCAGCCATGCTTAAAATAGCGCTCGGACCGAATTTGTAGACCTTAAAGGATAGGGGAAATAATTTTTTGTGTTTTTAAAGGTAAACTTTTAGTAAAAATACTAAAGAAATCCTGCAAAATTGGTTAAATTTCGTTAATAGTCGTCTTCAATTAGAGTTCTAAATTAACGGGCAGGTGGCTTTTTGCGCGGGGACGGGGGTTGCGATGGTTTTAGCCTCGGTGACAAAGACAGTGGCCCTAGGGAAGAGGCTCCCATAGTCCACAGGGACGGTGGTCTTTAAATAAGATACCCCAGAGATAAGGCTTCCTAAGGACTCCAGCAGCTTATAAAAATTTTTTTACGAGACTGGACTAATTTAAAAAAAATAAAAAACCATTATTATTCACAGCCTTCCTTCCTTTTTCAATATTCAATTTTCCATTAAAAGCCAAAATTCCATCTTGTACAAAAACGTGTCTGGTGTCATCATTAACTATTAATTTAAAAAAAAAAATTAATTTTATTAAAATTAAAAAAAAACCTGTATCAAACCATTTTTCAGTTAATTTAACAACATTTGGATTTATTTCAAATATTGTAATATTTAACTTAAAAAAAATTTTTTTTAAACAAAGCGGATTTTATTTTTTAAATAGACCCAATATTAGAAAGAAAAACAATATAAAATACTCCCAAAAATTAAATACGCCTCAATTTTAAAGATTCATTTAATTAAAAATTGGGTTAACCACTGGGTATTAGAGCTGTCCGAGACCGAAATTTTTCCAAGACTCAAGACCCAAGACAAAAATTTTTCCAAGACCAAGACAAGACCAAGACAAACACTCCAAGACCAAGACTGAAAAAAACCAAGAAAAGTCTTGGTTCCAAGACCAAGAGTCTCGGACAGCTCTACTGGGTATGACAAGGGGTTGCCGAAACAGAGTTGAAAAAGCAAAAACAACAAAAATTCAGCAAAAGATGAAAAGCGAAAAAGTACACGGAGAAACTATACTCCCCCAATTTAAAACATATCCATCTTATTAAAAGGTATAGAATTTTTTAAATCCTAGGGGTAAAATAAAAAAATTAACAGGGTGTTTCAAAAAAATAAAAATATAAAAAATACCCAAGGAAATCGTTTATGCCAAAACATATCCAAAGACCCTCCACCAAGTCCAATAATTAAAACCTTGTTTGAATAAATATTCAATTTCAAGTCATTATGTAGAGAGCCAACAACAAACGGCAAAATAGCCATAGCAGCAACATATTCATTTAAAAGTGTAAAATGGTCAATATTCCAAAGACGAGTGTCCGAATTAAAAATATTGTAAATTACTTGAAATTAAAAATAAATTAAATTTAAAATAAAATAAAAAAACCTTTTTGTGAAATTAAAGCAACCTCAGACTCAAAGTCGCTTGAAAACTTCCCATCAAAAACGCCAAAGAAAAGCGCACGACGAGCTGTTTTACTGAAATGTTTGGAAACATGTTTAAATACTAAAAACATAAAAATAAAGGGGAAATAAAACATTCCGGAAAAACATCTAAACAAACATGTTTTTCAGGAAAAACAATTATTTAAATGTTTTCAGGAAAACATTTAAAATAAGATGTTTTTCCGGAAACATTATATTTAGATGTTTTTGGGAAAGTTTTTCCGGAAAGATTTAATGTTTGATTAATTTTCAGGAAAATAAATATTAAAAATTCCGGAAAACATTCAAACAAAATACAAACATTATATGTTTTCCGGAAAAATTAAATGTTTCATTAACTTTCCGGAAAACATAAGTTTACCAAAAATGTTTTTCCGGAAAATAATTAAATTAAAAATGTTTTTCCGGAAACATTATTTAGATGTTTTCAGGAAATAATTAATGTTTGTTCAACTTTCCGGAAAACATTAAACATTTTACAAAACAAAAACTTTCCGGAAAGTTTGTTTTTAAATAAAAACAACAAAGAAAAACACAAAACATTTTACAAACATAAGTGTTTTCCGGAAAGTTAGAGTAAAAACAATAAAACACCTCGTATAGTCCAGAATGTCAACAACCGTGCAACAATCTTTGGGGGCTGTTTTGTTTGTATTTTGAGAACAAAGCCTTTCAATTTCCACTATTCTAATATTTGAACGACTAGCAGGAACATCAGCAAATGTGAGATCAGCAATAGTCCAACTCCACCCGATTGAATAAAGAAAAGACTGAAAAAAAATATTTTTTTAGGAGGGAATGTTTCAAAAAAATTGCTTCAAAAATTGCTTACTATGACTAGCAAAATTGTGAAGCAAAAACAAGAAACCAGTCTGAAACATGCTTCAACCTTTGTACAATTCCCTACCCTTCTCCTCCACCTCCAAATACATTTTCGTCTAGTCCAGGTATTCACAAGTTTGTGTTTCTCTTCGTCGTCGTCAGAACAACCCCCTTCAGTAGAGTTTAATTTTTGGGAAGCAAAAGCTGTAGAGTGGGGAGGTACTAGAGGACTGATCCCGCTGTTGGCCAGTAATTGAAAGAATGAAGGCATTTTTTGAGCAAATTTAATTCACATTATCTAGAAAATAAAATAAGAAAAAATTAAATTAAAATTAAATATGAGACTCTAATAGACTCTTAAAATTCTGAACAAATAAAATAAACTTTTTATTCATTAAAAACAAACAAAATATTATAAAGTTTGAAACTTTTTGTTTTTTAAAAATTAATGTTTTTACGATGTTTAGATGTTTTCCGGAAAGTTGGGTGTTTTATATAATGTTTAAATATTTTTCCGGAAAGATGTTTGTTTAATGTAAGGATGTTTTTCCGGAAAAGTTTTAATGTTGGATGTTTTTCCGGAAAAGTTTTAATGTTCTCTAACATGTTTTCCGGAAAATGTTTAAATCATTTCCAGAATGTTTTGATGTTTCCGGAAGATGTTTATTTTGTTTAAACCTTTTCCGGAAGATGTTTATTTCGTTTAAACATTTTCCGGAAAAGTTTTAATGTTCTCTAACATGTTTTCCGGAAACAAACACTCAAAAGCAGTGATAAATAGAGATTAAAATGTTTAAGTGACAATAATGAGGGAGAGAAAAATTGAGGTTATACATATACAACCATCACCCCATCATCAGAATATAGAGATAATACAAATAGAGAAATATGCAAAAACTTGATTTGAATAAAAAATTAAAATACATGAGATCACACAACCAAAATTACTACAACAAATATATGTAAAATACAAAAAAAATATTTTCCTAAATAAAACCAAATGTTTTTATCTTTAAATTTTTAATTCTTATCAATTAATCTTCATCAGATTCACTTGATTTATTTGCTCTACGCTTTCTTTTGGTTGGCGATCCGTCAATTTTCTGGAAAAAATAAAAACTATAATTTTTTTACAAATTTAAATTTAATTAAAATTTTAATTTAAAGTCTAGGAAAAAAAACGAAAGAAAAACGACAAGAACACTAAAGGACAAAATTAAATAAATGATAAAAAAAAATTTTTTTAATAAATTAAAAGACACAAAAACATCACAATATTAAAAATAAATATATTTATTTTATTATTATTATTTTTCAAAAAAAAAATTCAAAAAAAATGAGAATGTAAAACAAAATGATTTTAAAATAAAATTTTGAACAATATATTAAATATTATTATTTCTTAATTTAATCAAAAATATTTTTTTTCTCTTCAAATAAATTCTAGATAAATTCTATAATACTCTATCAACTTCACAAAAACCTTTCTCACTCAAACAAAAATTTTTTAAATTTTTAAAATAGGGTTGTATACAAAAACTTTCAAAGGTTTCCGCTTCCCCATTCCAAAGAAAGGTTAATATAATTCAAAACATTGTTCGAAAAAAATATTTTCCGGAAAATGTTTATTTCATGTTTAAACTTTTTCCGGAAAAGTTTTAATGTTTTAAATATTTTCCGGAAAATGTTTATTTCATGTTTAAACTTTTTCCGGAAAAGTTTTAATGTTTTAAATGTTTTCCGGAAAATGTTTATTTAATGTTCAAGCTTTTTCCGGAAGATGTTTATTCGAGTTAAACTTCTTCCGGAAGTTGTTTTAATGTTTTAAATGTTTTCCGGAAAATTTTTATTCAAAGATTAAACTTCTTCCGGTTAAGTTTTAATGTTTTAAATGTTTTCCGGAAAAATGTTCTCACCTCTCTATTTCACAACAACCCTATTTTTTCTCTAAACTCTTTTTATCTCTCTCTTTACTACAACAAATCTATCTATCTCACCAATTAACAAACGACCTAACATTCATATTAATTTTTTTATTTTTTATAACCTTATTATTATTAGCTTTTCGTCGTTGTTGTTTTCCTCCATTTGCAGCTTGTTCATCTTCCAATAAAATGTCAAATAGAGCAAATAATTCATCAAATTTATTTCTCAATTCAATTGTTTTGACATTTCTTTTAACTGATAAAGCCATATCCAACAATAATTGATTTTTTAACAAATTTTCGGCACGTTGTGATTCTTTTTCCATACAATATTTACGCAAACGATCCTTTAAAAAAATATAAAAAATTAATTAAAAAAAATTTTTTTGAACAAGTCAAAAAATTCTTAGAAAATGGGCGCGAGTTGAAAAAAATTTTTTATAAAAAAAATTTATAGCTAAAGGAATAGTTGATCGCGAAGGTCCAGAGTCTCACATTAGGACTATTTTTTTTATTTATTCGAGTTTGATAGACTCAACTAAATAAGAGTTCTATTTATATAAATTATGTGGGGGAGTTTAATATGTGGTGGGGTAGGATCAGAAAAGATCAAAAAAAAATTTTACAACTGAAAAAAGTGAAGAAAATTGGCTTTTAAAAAAATTCCCTTAAAATATGTTCTTAATGAAAAAATCTTAAAGAAACCCCCCCCCCTCTCTCTCTCTCACCTCTGGAGACCGAGTCTTTTTCCCTATATCCTAATTTAATCAAATTAAATTAAAAAAAAAATTTCAACAAACCAAATGTCCAAAAATATATTCAGCAGTCAATATACGATTTTTCGCCATTTTAATTGAAGAATGTTTTGGACTACAAATTGGACCTTTAATATCACCATCTGCTACAGCTTTCTTCACAAATTTACTAATACAATTGGCTACTGGTGGAATATTATCATCATAGTCAATAAGTAACTTTAAAAATTAAAAAAAAATTATTTTAAAAATTAGAGAAAAAACTTTAGAAAAATAATTTTGGGATCAAATGTCTCATTGTCAAAATTTAGTTGTTCTCAGAAAAAAATTTTTTCGGTTGTTTTTATTTAAAAAATTTTTGGGATCAAATGTCTCAAAATAAAAATAAATAAAGGAAATTAAAAACAAAAATTTGTTGGTCTCCCCAAAAAATTAAAAAAAAAATTTTCAAATCCACAAATTATTTATTTAAATTTAACAAACCACTTAATTCAAAAAAGAAAAAATAAATTTTAAGAAAACCCCAAAAAAAAATTTTTTTTGTTAATTTTTAGAACGAGACGATCTCCTATACACCCTTCATAAAATTATCATCAAAAAAAATTTTTTTAAACAAAGAAAAAACCTTTATAGCATCCACAGTAAACAAATCTTTATTTGGCGGTCTCAAAAGTAAATTTCGAAGTAAACTTTTCATTATAGCAACATCTGGATCTGGTTCCATATTTCTCATAATAACAATAACGGCTGCTGTAGCTTCTGGATGTTGATTGTAATTTAGTCTTTGCCTAGAAAAAAATTAATTTTAATCCTACACCATCCAAAAAAAAAATTTTTTTTAACAATTATGAAATTTTCCTTACATACATATTTATTCTCCTAAAAAAAGTCCGCTAATTTTATCAGCAAATCTACACTCCCCTTCCTATCTTAAAAAAAATTGTCAGTATTAAACCGAATTCTTTCTATTAAATTTGTCGGTAACAGTTTCGGTTACCCAAAGAACATTATCAGAAAAATGGGCAACATTTGTTCAAAAAATATATTTTGTGGTGTAGTGGGATAGAGTTAGGTTTTCTAAGGGAAGGGAGGTGTAAGGTTCGACCCCCACTCTTGAAAAAAATATTTTTAAGTGAACTATCTTCAATTTTCAACAAGAAAATGAACGTTTAACTCCTTAAAATTCCCAAAAAATAATTTTAAAAACTTAGTTTTCCCCCACAAATTAATAAAAAACCTCACAATAAATCAATAAATTTGTCAAACTCCACAGCTTCCGTTTGCAACATTTGCCAAAGCATCATTTGTTCTAAAGAGTCCCATTTAAGCGAATCCACTAACATTGAAAGCACGTCTCCCTCACCAAATAAAACAACATTTTCACGAACAATTTCACTCATTAAACAAGACAAAAGGCGAGTATTCATTGAACCACAAATTAAACGCATAACTTTTGTTGGTGGGCCATAAGGTGTTAAACGAGCTAATACATTAACGAGTAAATGGGAAAATAATTGGTAATCGTCAAATGAACATTGCTGAAAAAAAAAGAAAAAATTAATTAAAAAAATTTTTTTTTAAGTTGTCCGCAAAAGTTGTCCGCAAATTTTTTAACCTTATTTTCAGAAATTGTCTCATTATAAAACTAATGAAAGCGAAAAGTCCAGATTTTTATAACACTTTTTCAGTAATTCTGAATTATCAGAAAACTAGGAACCTCTGCTTAAGAATTCTATTTTGTGGTGTAGTGGAAAAGAATTGTGCTCTCGAGGGAAGGGGTGTCCGGTTCGAATCCCACACAGGAAAAATATTTTTTAAATCAAGTATATCAACTAATAAAAATAAAAAATAGGGTAAAATAAAATTTTTTTATAAGATTTCTCTAGGTTTTAAATCTTATATTCCCTTAAAAATAAATTTTTTTGACAATCTTTAGGGCAATTTAATAAAAATTTTAGTCAAATATTAATTTAAAAAAATAGAAAATTGATTAAAAACCTCGAGGTCCTTAGCTAACTGCTTTTCCCATTCAGTATCCATTAATTGACACACAGTTTTGTAAGTTTCCACAGCTTGGTCAACAGACGGCCAACTACTTCCATTATTTCCTAATCTGCTTGAACGTCCACTACCTCCTCCATTTCCATTATTTTCTCTTTCAATACTTGAAAGAAAGAAAAGAAATAAATAACCAATTCGATTACATTCTTCCATCATTTTTTTCAATATTGATAAAAGAAATTGTCTTGTATCTGTTTCTTCACCAGAACGACACAAAGTTTTGAAGAAACGATAAAATGGTTGTTCCATTATTTCTGAGATTTCACTTGAAAAAAAAGACAAATTTTTTTGTTTAAATAAATTGAAAAAAATATAACCAAACATGACTACAAGATCCCCCAAAAATTAGGATATCTAAATTAGAAACACCCAAAGGTACTGCAAGCCCAAAGTATCAAAGAGCTATAACTTCGTTCAGAATTGCCGAATCCATGACGTCCTGGTATGGTTCGATGCGCCTCGATGAGCTGAATCAAACCATACCAAAGCGTCCCGAATCCGACAATTTTGAACAAATAAGGATTTGCAGTACCTTGTCCAGCCAAATTTATTATTTCAAAATAAATTTAGTTGAACATTTGGGTAGAGAAACAATTATAGATGTTCAAAATGTTATTGGGCGTGTCTCAAGCCCTCCTTTTTGTTCACTTTTAAAAATTTAGATCAAATCTTGCCTAGGCAATATTCAAAACCTTAAGGTAAACCTCAAATCAGCATTTATCGATTAATCATATTTTGTGGTGTAGTGGGATAGTGTTAGACTTAGAGGTGTCAGGTTCGAACCCCACTATGGAAAAAAATTTTTTAAAGTGAGGTCCAACTATAATTTAAAAAATTTAAAAAAACAAACTCTTCAAAAGGTTCCTGACAAGTCAAATAACTTTGTGTTTGTTCCAAATAAGTGTCAAAAATTCTAATTAAACAGAGGCCGATGTATTCAGTTTGGTCACATTCCATTTCATTCTGCAAAGCAAAAAAAATTTTTTTAAAGTAAATGAAATAGCAAATGATTGTCCTAATACAAGGGGAAAGAAGATTCCAGTTCCTAGAACTAGAGATAATCAAATGTGGAAAAGAAAATGTTTGGAAGGAGAATTATAGCCTTCTAAAACATCTAAAAAAGTTTTGTAAGTTTCAACACCAAAAATCTTCTTCCCATACATTTTCTTTTTTTTCTTATCATGATACTCTTCACCCTCAGTTTCCAAAAATAGAAAATAATTTCCCCCTCATTTTATCCTCTTTAAAAAAATTTTCCCTGAGACAAGTGCCCCAAATTACCACAACTATTCCTAAAAAACCTCCCAATTTTCCTCTAAAAAATCAACAAACAAACCGCATCAAAAATACTATCCAACAAATTTTGCATTGAATTAATCGCTTCATCTAAAGACAAATTTTGTTGTTGTTGCTTCTTTTTTATTGCTTTAAACATTCCTTCCAAATGTTCACGAAATTCTTCTCTAACCATTGGCAAAAGTGAAGTTAAAGGTAAACGTTTTGAAGTACTTTGTAAGTCTGCTTCATCATCCTCACCATCCTTTTCTTCAATTTCTTCTTTATCCTCATCCTCCCATACATTTCCTTCTTCCTTCTCATTATCTTCCTCCTCCTCCTCCTCTTCATCCTCAGCAATTGTTAATTGTAAAGAATCGTCACTTTTTGATGATTTTACTGCTAGTTCGCTTCCTAAAATGAAAATTTTTTCGGGTCTATTACACAATATCAGTTCAATCTGCTTCGAACATGAAGAGAACCGTTACGGAACCCCCAACCACAATTTCAAAGTATAAAGAAAAATCAAATTTTTTTTGATTGGACGTATAAACTTCGATTGGGCCTATATTGTGTAAAAGAGCCAAAAAAAATTTTTACGTCCAGGCCCAATTTCAAACTGAGTCTATAAGAATCTTTAAATTCATTCAATTTCTGGTCAATGCCTCTTTTTTAGGTCTATTTGAATATTCAAAAGCCCCCAAAAAAATACTCAAAAGTTTACATCAATAAAAAAAAACCGACCCAGAACCAATATAAAAATAAAATCCCAAAGAAATAGATGGTCAAATTGGAAAGGTCCCCAAATTCTAAAAATCCCTTAACTAAAAATTTTTTTTAATCAAAAATTAAAAACACATAAATTTTTACCAAATTTTTTCGTTGTTGCTGCTTCACCGCCAACATAATTTGAAGTCAATTTAGAATTATTATTAATTCCTCCTCCTTCATTTTTCTTCAATAATTTTTGTTGTTTTATTTCCTTCTTCTTTTCTTTTTTAAATTTATCAAGTTGAGGAGAACGTCCACCAGCTTCTTCCTCTTTTTTTAATTTTTTCTTTAACGGGGAAGTGGATATTTCTATTGATGAGGTTGATGTAGTTAAAGGTCTACGAGTTCCTGAAGTTGTTCTCAAAATTGTTCCTCCTCCTCCACCTTCCTTTTCCTTTCCTCCTCCTCCTATCCCTCCACCAATTTCTCTTCCTCCTTCCCTTACACTCTCTCCAACATTTTTTAAATTTTTTCCGAAACCTTCTCCTCCCACACCTTCAGGTTCTACTTTAATTTGCCCTGTACTGCTTGAAGTTGTTGACAATTTAGATTCATTGGTACTGCTAGAGACGACATTTGATCCCCCACCTACTCCTCCACCCATAACCACCCTTCCATTAATCAAAACATTTTTTTCGAGTTTCTCGTTTTCCATCAAATTTTCTGTTGTCACACCAACATTTGATTGTTTATTAACTAAACTTGTACAACTTGTAGATGAATTTGTTGTTGTTTTCCGAATAGCTTCAAAATCAATTATAGAAGATGGAGCTGCCAAATTATCTGCTATAGATGTTAAACGTTTTGGAAAAAAATCTGGAAAAGTTGAACGAAATTGATCACGTAATATTTGGTCTAATTTGCTGTGAAGAAAGACTGGTGAAACTTGCCTGTTAAATATTTAAAAAAATAAATTTTAATTTTCAAGTGATTTTATATCCCAAAAAAAACAAAAAAAAAGCTCATTGGGTGGCCCACTACAATAATATTCATAAAAAAACTAAGCATCCAAACCATTTTTTGGTAAGGGTAGTGGGTGTTCTTAATGTCAAAAGGTATTTGTTCAGATTTCTAAAATCCAACATCTAAAAAATTTTTCCGTCCGCAAGTGTCTCCCCAGACAAAAGTGGTTAAAAAAATAATGGTGATAAAATCATGTTAAGTAACTTTGTTTTATATAATGAGCACATTAGTATGCATAGGTATTTTGAAGGAAATTTTGACTTAATAACCTTGGATGGTTCTTGGGTTACCCAAAATCAGAGCCAAAAGCACGGCCTTTTTTGAACCTAAAAACCGAAATCTGATTCGAAGTTTGCCCCGACACTTGTTTAATAAAGTGGCCCTCTCCTAATCATAACGCTCGCCTTAGTAACTATCCTCAAACAAATAAAGCTCCCCACAAATTTCCCAAAAATATAAAATTTTAGTCTCATCTAATAATCCACTTTACAAAAATGTAAAAATAAACCTAACACACATTTTAAAATAAAAATTTAAAAAAAAAGAAAAAAAATCCATATATAAAAATATTAAAAAATAAAAAAAAAACTAACAAACAAGCAGTCGTTTCCAATGATTTCATTGCTGCAGTGATAGAATTTACAAAAAAGAAATTTAATGGTGGATAAAGAACGCTGGTTGACTAAAATAAAAATAAATAAAATTTTGTAAAAAAGAAAGGTAGAGGTATTGACACAATAACTGTTGACGGAAAAATTTAACTTTTTTTTAGTAAGTAAAGCTATAAAACCCTCCATTTTTAAATAGATATCACCATAGAATTGAACAAATCGACTCTTAAAATTAGTGGAAAAAGCGTATCAGTGGGCGCCGATTTCAAGGGGCGGCTTGGGGAGACAAAAAATTTTTTTTGAACTTTTAAGGTAAAGATGCCAGATTTCTTCCATTTTCATCGCTAAAAAACCTAAGTTCTTGATTCGTAGTATAAAACCGGTTGGGGTCAGTTATGCGTGGCCGGTTGAGCGTCAGCCGACATTTGAACGGCTATAACCTTTTTAGCCTTGATCCAATACGAATGAATCATATATCATTCGAAAGCCCTCGATGAGTCCAATCTTTATCCCAACTGGATGGATCAGTTCTGATCCCGGTTAAAAGGTTATAAGTCGATAAATGCAGAAAATCGTTGTTTTTCACACTTATCGACTTGTAACCTTTTAAATAGCGATCAATCATGATCCATCCAATTGAAACAAATATAGCGCTTAACGAGGGCTTTCGAATGATATATGATTCATTCGTATTGGATCAAGGCTAAAAAAGTTATAGCCGTTCAAAGTTGGCTGACGCTCAGCTGGCCCGTTCCGGTATAAAACACACCTTATTATTAAATATGGATCCCGCCAAACAGATTTACCAAAATTTGAATTCTCGACGTTTTTTGGCTCGGAAATTTCCGATTCGGGAAATTTATTGTTGTCCCGATTTCCTGGTATATAATAGGGTTAACTTATGTTTTGGGTTTACAACTAATCATCTTACAAAAAGTTGCATAAACTAGGAAAAATCAAACATTCTTAAAATGTAAAATTTTCCACTACTTGGTTAATTTTCGTCTATCCCTATTCAAAAATATGTCACACAAATTTTTCCCGTCAACAATCGTTTCAATTAAATGTTTAAAAAATCCAAACAAACCTTAATCAAAAAATCAACAAGTGAATTTCCCAAAGGAGTATGGCCTGTATTTAATAAATGTCGAAGTGTAGAGATTACTGGTTCAGCAGCCAAATGTGAATTGGGTATAGATGGATCAAAACCAAACCACTCCCAAAAGAATGACAATTTACACCATTGAAGTTCAGCACCAGGCTTGAAAAAGGAAAAAATTTATTAAGAAATTTTCAAAAAATTTTAAAAAAATTTTTTGAAAAGAAAATTCAACAAAAATTTTGAAAATTTATTAAATCAAAAACTTGTTGAAAATTAAAAAAATTATCAGAAAATATTTTGAAAAATTTTTCAAAAAATTCCAAAATTGCAAAAAAATTTTCTCAAAAAGTTTTTATAATTTTTTCAAAAAAATTTTTTTTTGAAATTTTTAAAATTTCAAGTTTCAGGGAATTTAAAAAAATTTATAGATATTCTAAAATTTCAAAAATTTGTTCAAAAAATTATTCAAACCTTAGCTGTTCGTAATAACCATCCAAGAAGTGTAGCGCGTGCTTCATTAGAATGAGAATTAAACTCTTTCGGCTCAATAAATGCCCAAACATGCCTAATAATTTCTGCACGAATACTGCCACTGTCAGGTCCACTCAAATGCTAAAAAATAAAAAAAAAATCCAAAACTAATTTTAACAAAAATATATACAAAGGTCTTTTAAGGTTTAAGAAAAGACTAAATACCAAAGGCGAAGCCAAGGAAGAATTTCAGGGGGGGGGAAGGAATTTCCCTCAACCCCATTCCCCTGAGCTCTCTGTCTGAGCCCTTGCTAAATAAACGCAATGGATAGAGTTGACCGAAACCCAAACCTTTTTTAAACTCAAACTTCGGACTTAAAAAAATTTTTTTTTGAAAACCTAACCGAAACACGACCAGCCATTTATTTCTCAACTTTACCCATCCCTCTAACTAAATTCTAAAAAAAATTTAAAATTAATCTCAATTTTAAATCTTTTAGTGGTTTCACCCTTCTCTTATCAACCTTTTTAATCTTTAAAAAAAAACATTTCACCCCTCCCCCTTTTTTTATAAAAAAAATAAAAAAAAATTGAAAAAAATAAATAAAAAATAAACCATAGCTTTCAACGCTTCAAACTGTTTATTTAATTCAGATTTTAATTGTGCTGCCAATGAAGGATTTGTAGCATTTAAAGAAGATATACGAATATGATTTTTAAGAATTTCAGCCATTTTTCTGCTTATTCTTAAACTAACTCTGTGAGATAAAAGACCACTTGAAGTTGGAATGCTCAAAAGTTGTTGTAAACCTTTGAAAAAAAAAAGAAAATGAAGGAAAGAATTTATTTTTATTTTTAAATTGATTTTTATTTTTAAATTTATTTTTATTTAAAAAAAAAGGGAAAATAAAAGGATAAATTAGCTAGAATAAATTCAAAAAAAAAAACAGAAATCATCGAAAATTCTAACAAAGTTTAAGGAAACAACATGAATATTAGAGTTGGGAATTTGAAAAAATCCGGATCCCGTTACGGGATTTATTAATTTTTTACCAGGACAGGATTTTCAGGATCAAAATCCCAAAAATCGCGATTTTTATCAAAATTCCCGGATCGGGATTCCGAAAATACAGCCGGGATCCCGTCACGAGCTCTAATGAATATCAAGAGCGTAGCCAGGGGTCGATTTCAGGGAGGGGAAGGGATGGGGAGCTAAAATAGGGAAATTTTGGCATTACTTTGGTGTTACTGGCGCAAATTCTTTATACGTATTTTATATCCAATCAACTTTCTCAAAAAAAATATTTCCAAATTCAGGGGGGACTAATAGGTTTTTGAATTAATTCTAATTATAAATTTTTTACCATTAAATTTAGGGGCCATAGCAGATGGATTGTGTAACAAAGTACGCCATATAGGCACAAATTGTGAAACTCTAGAAAGACGCAATAATAGCAAAAACAAATCGTGTCCAAGTTGTAGAAGATCGGGAAAACGTTCACGAACCTGTTGGAAAAATTGAAAAATTTTTTAAAAATTGTAGCGTGAATATTTTTAATTTTTTTTAACACGCGAACAAATATGAAACTTAGGAAAATCTAACAATGAATATAAAAATCAGACCCCAAAATATGTACTTGACTTGCGGACAAATTTATACAAAAAGAGATTGGAAAAATTGAAGAAAATAGTAAGACGAGAATAAAAGCCCTTAGAAAAAAATGCTGACAAAGAACAATATCAAACTGTGACCGCTCCAAAAGTCGAAAACTTTGAAGCCCTACAACTTTTTGATTTGAAGAGTAGGGCCGAAAAAGAAAAAAACTAGAATGGGAAACCCATGCTCTACATGGTGGTATAGAATTACAACATTTTTTGCACAGTTCAATATGGTCCTTGCGAGACGTTATTTTTCTCCGCAAAAAATTTTTTATGTCCGCAAAAAAATTTTTTTTGTCCGCAAAAAAATTTTTATGTCCGCAAAAAAAATTTTTTTTGTCCGCAAATAAAAAAACATTAATTATTAAACCCCCGATAGCCCTCCATATACTTAATCAAAACATTTTTCCCAATTAAAAAATTTCAAAAAAACAAACCAAAATTACACAAATTTCAACTAAAGGCGCCTTAAAACTTTCCAAATTCATAACTCCAGCATTCGCAACTAATTGAGCATCACTAATAAAACGAGAAAATAAGGCAAATGCTGTTGGTGGAAATGAAGAATTTCGAGGAAATGTTGCCAATTTTTGATGTGAAGATAATAAACGATGAGCAAATTGATGGACTATTTGACAAGTCTCTTTGAAATCTGTGCCTAAAAGAAAAAAATTTTTTTTCTGTGCTTAAAAGAAAAACTTGAAAAATTTTTTTTAAAGTTTTATCTATGTCAGGAAAGAGAAAAAGGGACAAATTTAATCCAATTAAAGCTTATTGAAAATTTTTTCAAAAAAAAATTTTTTTGTAAACTTGTCCGCAAAAAAGTCTGCAAAAATTTTGAGCCTTAGATTTGTTAGTAAACATAACTGTAAATACAAATCCACCCCCTTGGAAACTTAAAAAAAAAAGTCATCAACGCCTTATGCTTGCCTTGGAAACCAAAAATAAAAACCAAATCAACGGAAGAGAATCAAAATTAAAAAATCCGCAAAATAAGTCCGCAAAAATTGATAATTCCAAATAAAACCCTCACAGATCCCAAACAATTTATAAAAAAAATTTTAAAAAACCATCAGAAAGTGCTCTGCAAATATTTGTAAAAGAAGAGTCTAAATTTGTTCTAAGTTGTAATTTTAAAGTTTCATCAATAAAATATAAAAGTTGTTGTTTGCATGAATGTTTCATAAATGGAAAACATTCCAAAGTTAAAATATTGAATGAAGTTAAAAGGCTCATCCATTGATCTGTTGAAATTGCTAGAGTTTTGATGCAGGTAAAATGCTAGAAAAAAAAGTTTTTAATTTAAAAATAGGCAAAGGTTGAAAACAAAAAATTAAATAGGTATTTTGGGAAGGAAGAATCCGCAAGTGCCAAAAATTTTTTTTTCAAATTTCACTCAGAACAAATTTGATTTATGTATTTTGGTTTGAATTTTATCTAGCAGCCATTTCATCGGAGCTTATTTAGTTAGTGTATGTACACATACCCTAAATAAAGCTACGATAAATGAGCTGCTAGATAAAATCCAAACCAATGTCAAAACCCCACACAGTGGAAGCCCAAAAAAGCCAAGAATTAGATAGCATTTTTTGATACCAATGAAAAAAATCATCTCTTGTCTAGTTTATTAGACTACTGAAGGCTTACAAGTCCAATACAGTCCTTGTATCCATTAGAAAACCAAGAGTTTTGCTTGTACTCATAAATTTTCAACGGACTCGTAAAGCTTTATTAGACTCGCAAACTAGACAAGAGACAGAAAACTCAAGTGCCAAAAACTTTTTCAAATTTCACTCAAACCAAATTTGATTTATGTATTTTGGTAAATTTAATTTTCTTAAGTTTGCGGACCTTCTTATTAAAATTAAAAAAAACCCCAAACCTTTTCAGCATTTGGTGCATCAACCAAAACACCACAAAGAAATCCATCTATTAAATGTTTTGCCTCTTTAGGGTCAATAATATTGTTTGTCAAATATTGAGTTGTTTCTGTAAGTGGTGAATTGCCAAAACGTTCAAAAATGCTATGATAATTAGTCTCCAAAGACTGAAAAATAAAAGAATGATAGTTGAGCAAAGGATTAATCCAATAAAAAATGGAAGGGTGCAAAAAAGGTAGATATTAAGTTTGCAGACTCTTAAACTTGCGGACAATTTTTTGCGGATTTTTCTAACATAAGGAGTTTTGTAAAAGTTAATTTTGGAAATTAAAAAAAATTTAATCAGGTTTTAAATAAATTTTAAAAGTCAAGGTAAAAGTTTAAAACTAGATGAACCACTCAATTTATAAGGGAAAAGAAAAGGGGGCGTGTCTTATGAGCAAGAAGGGCCCAGATTTTTATCTTACAATCTAGTAGTCTTATTGTTAGCCCTATTCTTAAATGGGGCCATCCAAAAAACATCCCTAATTTTTTAAGAATTAAAAAATACATTGATCAAATTTGAAGCTGTAAAAGTTTCAGGCCTCGACTCAAGTCGTACATGAGGGTTAAGCAATAAAGACGTCGAAGGCTGTTGTTGTAATTGCTGCTGGCTGTGTTGATGAGGTGTGTGTAATGTCAATTGAGGATTTCTGGTGAGAAGCTCACTTTCAGTCATTTAAAATAAATTTTGAAAAATCTGAAAAAAAAAATTTTTTTTTATTTTAAGACAAAGAAAATGAATGGAAAAGACAAAAAATCCAAAAATAAATTTCAGAAAAAAATCGATAAAAAAATTTTGCAGGTCACCAACTTACAAATTTTTACAAAAAAAAATTCGCAAATCTTTTCACAAAAAGCAACTTTAATTCAAAGCACTTTAAAGCCGCTTAAAGAGCTTTTTTAAAGGATAAAGGGAGAAAATTGAAAGAATAAAAATAAGGAAAATAAATGAAGAATGGGAAGGGAGAGAAGAAACGCGCCGAAATTTATAGGCCGTCAACTAGCCCCGCCTTAAAATGAGAGAAAATGAAAAGAAATTGGGAGAGAAAGAAAGAAAAGTTGCAATGAAGAGAAGAATGTCATTTTGGTAAATAACGAAATTTATTTCGTTTGGCCTAATTTTTTAAGCCAGTCAGAGAAATAAAGACACAGAAAAGGGTAAAATTGAAAACGGTAAAAGTTAGGGATTTACTTAAATTTAAGGAGTCCCCAGTGACTTGGCAACAATGGGACCGAGATCAGGTTACTTCTACTTGAACCTATAACAGCTAGAAAGTGAAAAACAGAAAGCTTTTCCTGTCAGATGTAGAACCCAGTTGGGTAAATTTCAGAATAATGATCTTTGGATGTTCAGTTACTTACCAAAATGTCCCGGTTTAGAAATGTCCAATTTTCAAAACGTCCAATTTTCAAAATGTCTACAATAAAAATTCCTTTAATTCCAAGCATTTTACAAAATTCAATTTTTGTTTAAAGACGCTTTCCTAAAATTTCTTAAACTTGAAAGAACTATATAGACTTGATAAAGAACAAAAATAATTGACATTTCACTTGTAACAAGAACCAGACGGTTTAAATTAACAATAATTGACATTTCTAAAATTAGATATTTTGAAAAATTTTCCGCTAGTTTCCACTTTTATTTTATGTGATGAGATTTTTTGGTATGAGGTTGTTAAAGTGTTAAATGTCAAAGTGTCAATTTTTTAAAAAGTCAGAGAGAAGTAAAAAAGACTTTTGGTCTACCGTTAAAAATGGATTTCTTTGCCTATTTTTTCAATTTTTAAGTAACGGTTTTGAAATTTTTTTTTGAAATTTCTTCCTCTTTTATTTGGACTCTTAAATTTCTTCCTCCTTTTAATTTTTATTTTAGATTATATTTATTTTTTCTGCTTATTATAATGTTTTCCTACAACTTTGCAACACTATTCAGAGTATCTAGAACATGTTGCCGAAATTATCAAAGTATTGCAAGTAAATTTATGAACAATATCAAAGAGGAAATGGCAAAAAATAAAGAATTACAGGTTTTGTTTTTTTTTTATGTTTTTTAAACGTCTAGGCCTAGATTTTGGGGCATTGACCTTGGGAAGATTGGCAATTCATCCTGGGCGTGAAGAGGGAACCCACCTCTAAACGTATTACTTGGCCTCCTAAAAAAATCTTTGGAACGTCTATTTTCTCTTTCTAACATATGAAAATTGACCTTTGCAGGAGCCTGGGCTAGTTTTCGGGAATTGAGGTTGGGTTAGTAGTCGAGGACAAGCTAACAATAAGTGAGCTCAAAAATGTTCTGACTGGGCTATGTATTTGATTTATTGACCTGGGCTGGATCCTGGGTTTGTAACCAGAAAAAACCCAGGCCTTGGTCCAGGCCCAGCTTGATTTCTACTGGGTACATGAATTATTCAGGCTTCTTAAAAACCGTCAGAGGAACCATACAACCTCTTAACTTGTGAAATTCATAAAAAATTGACTAAATAATAGTTCGCTTTCTTTTTAGGAAAACAAGAAGCAACTTGAAGAAAGACTGAAAAAGCTCGCTGACACGTCTGTTAAAGAAAAATATGTAATTTTTAAAAATGTAATTTTAACTCTATTGCTTCATTTTTAGATGAAAATCCAAAAGGAATCAAATGCCAGTACTGAATTAATTAAACACCAATTGAACGAATTTTCTGATTATGTTAACAAGGTTATTAATTATATGGTTAAAACTAATGTTTAGGGTCCCCTTTTTTCTCCTCCAACTTCCTTTCTCAAAGCTATCTTTTCGTTATTAATGTTATTGAATAAACTAGCCGTCGGGGTCGGAAGTGTCAGGGATTGGGGCTTGCCGGAGAGGGCATTTTGGAGTCGGGGTTGACTTTTGGATCGGGGGACGGGAAGCTGCCCTAGAAATTGAGGAAGGAGGAAAGTCTGACCTTTCTCTAACATATAAGGGAACGATCTTGTGGAAGAATAAAACGGGGACCCTAAACCTTGGTTTACCTTATTATTTTAAAATTAAATTCGACTTTTTTAAAGTTGGCAGTAAGCATAAAAGACAGCCAGATAGGTCAGGATGCGTTTAAGCAATTAAAGGCAGCAGCTGAAGTTGCAGAACAAGTAGCAAAACAAGTTGGGGATACACAAGTTTATAGACAGGTGGCAAATACAGCTTCTGAAATTGACAAACTGGCAGATGTGCGGATGTATTCAAAGCCTGGTTTTTATTTTTTATAATTCTATTCCTATTAATTTCTATTAATTTTATTAATCTATTTATTTCTATTAATTGGAAATTAACTTTATCCAAAGATTGGTCTTTTGAAAGGGATGAAAGGGCAGTTTCTCGTGTTTTGTTAAATATACCAAAGACCAGCCGTCATAAAAATAAATTGAGAATCGGGAATTCCTGAACCTAAAAATTTATGAAATTCACGATTTTCGGGAATCGGATAGGCTAGATCCCTTATCTTTACCATTCCCCTGACTACTAACATTTTTATAAATCCATCTAGAGAATCATGTATATTTTAAAAAAATCTTCCTTTTTTACTAAAAAATTTTTTCTAGAAGAATTGAGAATGCGAAGTGATTCCTTTACTTCTTCATTTGCTCAGCGTCATGTAGATGTGAACCTGTAAGAAAATTTTAATTAAAAAATATTTTAATGATTATTTATTTAGTGATGCAACCCAAGTAGAATTACATAAAGAATCGCGTTGGTATTCTGGCTGGAAAGCTTTTTCTGAATCTAATCCATATTATAATAGTAAGAATTTTTAATTTGTCAGAATAAAAATTAAACATTAAAAATGGGCAGGTTTGTTTTGGAAAAAAAATTTAAATTTAAAAATCAGAATTAAAATACAACATTAGAAAAAATCAGAATTTAAACCGAACATTTCCTTTGAATAAAGCAAAATTGAAAAATATCCCAGTTGTTAGGAATGATCAGAATTAAATTACAACATTAGAAAAAACCAGAATTTATTCCAAACATAATTTTTTATTAAAATCAGAATATTTTTGAAACTTTAAGAAAGCATATAAAATCGGAATAAAATCTAAAACCAGAATTTACTAAAAACAAAACAGAATTTAATCCCAACATTTAGACTAAATTTAATAAAAGTCGGATCAGAAAAACCAGAATATAATAAAAACATTTGTATGACTAAATTTATAACATATTGACAATCAGAATTAAATTAAAACAATGTAATTAATGAAAATGTTTTTTTTTAACATAGAACTTTTGGACTGGAAAATGCGTATTGACGAGAGTGAAAATATTGTTTTTCGTGGTGTTCGTTCAACAATGGAAAGGATTCAACTTGCATTTAGTTTGTATTTTTTGATTATTTCTTAAATAAATTTTTTTCTAGCTTCACAAGATGATGTTTCAATAGTATTGACAGAAATATCAAAAGTTGACCCAAACTTTAATAAACATAATTGGCTTAGGTTTTGTGAAAAAGAAATGATTCCAAACGTTTTGGAGGCAGTTATACAAATGAATGTTGATGTGTTGAACGATTGGTGTTATGAAAGAGCGAGTTAATTTTAATTTAAAAAAAATGGAGGGGGATCCTATTAAAAATTTAATAAAAATCAGAATTTTATTAAAACATCAGAATTTTATCAAAACATTAAAAATATAAAATATTCTGCTTGGTTTGATAAATCAGAATTTAAATAAAACATTGTTGTTTTGCAATGTTGTAAAAAATCAGAATTAATTTGCAACAAACATTCTGGTCAGAAAACATGAAATGAACATCAGAATATTTTTTAATTAAAAATCAGAATTTTATTGAAACATTAAAAATAAACTTAACAAAAGGGAAAACCAGAATATTTTTAAAACTTGTTGTAAAAAATCAGAATTAATTTACAACATTATTCTGATCTCAAAAAACATGAAAAGAACTTAACAAAAGGAGAAATCAGAATTTTTTAAAACTTTAATCAATAAAACCAGAATTAAATCAAAACATTTCAATTTATCAGAATAAAACCAGAATATTTTTAAAACTTGTTGTAAAAATCAGAATAAAATCTAAACATATTTATTGTTTAGATGTCTATTATTTAATTTTATTTATTTTTAGGCGTTCAAAATGATCTCTCAAGGCATTAATGAATATTCTAAAATTGGTTATAATACATTTGACTCACAAATTATTGATGTTAGCAAAGTTGAGGTTACAAAATTTTTAGAAATTTTTATTAAAAAAATTTTTTTTCGTGAACAGATGGTATCAGGAAAAATGATGGATCAAGGGCCTACTTTGGTTATCACATTTCAAGTTTTTATGATACACGTATTAAAAAATAAAGAAGGAAAAGTTATTGAAGGAGATCCGGTAAAAATTTTGAATTTTTTTTTGAAATCTACGGGGTCTTGAACCTCGCTATATCAAATATCTTTAAAATTAGATATAAGATACCTCTAAAATTACATTCTTGTGAACTTGGTTTGTCTATTGGATTGAGGAGCTGCCCAAGAGATACTCTCATTTTGTGGTACCCCTCAGGCCCGTAGTTAGGCGTTACTATATTGAACTATTTTCCCCCAAAAATATTTTTCTTAATCAGAATAATGCAATACGGGTTCATCACGTTTGGGTACTCTGTCGAGATATGGAAGAATTTAATCCAGCAACAGCTTGGAAATTGTTAGAATTGCATGTCCAAAAAGGAAATTTGGTGCTTTGAAAGGTTTTAAAATTATTTAGACGTGTTTTTTTTTTTTTTTTTTTTTTCAAATTGTTATTTTTTCTTAAATTATATATTTAGTTTTGTTTCATCTCAAAAAATATATTTTTGAATAAAATTTTAAAAATTTTATTTATTTAAAAAAGGAAGAGTTAAATTACCTCTTTTAAATATTTTTTAAAATCATTTTTTTAATAAAAATCATGGAGGATACAATTTTTAAATTTTATTGGTTATATATTTTCGGATACAATTTTTTGGGTATTTTTTTTCCGAAATTTCGTGTTTTTTCGAATTTTCTAGAAACCTATGTCCGTCATGATTTTTCTAATATTTTTTGATTTAATAAAATTATTTCCAGTGGGAAAAAACTAATTTCTTAAAAATTCATTCAAAAATGGATTATGATGATGATAGTGATGAACCTATGGATTTGGATCAACACCAACGCAAATTTTTTGATGTTGGTCCTTTTGATCCTAGAAGAGTGGATTTGAATAAACCTGCAATGACTGCTGAGGAATATTTGAAACAAGTAAATTAATTTTTATTTTTTTGTTATTATTTGGTTCGAACCTAAAAACTTTTTATTCTGAAAAGCGTCTCTAAAGGCGAAAAACATTTTTCAAGTGGAAATTTTAAATTTTATGATGCTTAAATAAATTTTTTTGGATTATCATCTTTTTTTTAAAATAGGCAGAAGGGCATCTTCTTTTGTCCTTCTGGCACTAGAGATTAGAGATCGGACTGGGAGGGTCATGCGAGAATCGAGTCCGACACAAAACTCTGTCCGATCTCTCCTGGACACACACTACTCTTGCTATTAAGTATCCACTAGTTCAGTTTTCTTTCTAAATAAAATTCTAGCTGAATAAATAAATAAATACAAATCGAATTGTAAATTTGGATGGATTTTATAGTTTGTAATATTTTTTTTTAATTTTAAAAAAATTTTGCAATTTATTTCGATAACTAATTTTGTGGTTTAAATTTGAATTTAGTAGTTTATTTTGAAAACTGAAAATTTTTGAAAATTTCCCAAATATTCTTTTTAATAAAAAAAAAAATATTTTTTCAGGTAATTGTGGATCGTAGTCAACAACCAGCTATTGCAGTTGCTTCAAATTTAAGTCTTATTATGGCCCAAAGTTCAACAAGTGCAACAACTTCAAGAATCACAAATTGTTTAGAAAATCAACTTGAAATTTTTACTACTCGATTCGGGCCAGATAGTGAATGGAGAACTGCCAAGGTTTTTTTTGGAGTTTAAAAGAATTATTTTTTTATTAAAATTTTAATTTTTAAGGTCAATGAATTTTCGTTGAATCGTTCACTTTTGGAAGATAAGAAAGCTCCTCCAGATATTTTGGCTGATATTAAACTTCCTACACCGGTTTATTTTTTTTATTTTTTGAAGTTAGAGAACTGACTTTGTTAGAACTTTGACACTAACCCTTAAGAAAAAATTTTTTTTGAATGATCCATTTTTCAGATTTATGGATTTTAACTGAATGAATTCATAAATTCGAAAACCTTTCTTTTCTTTAAGGATGTTTTCTAATTTTAAATTTTAATTTACTTTAATGAAGTTAACATATTGGCTAGCATTTAGATTGCTTAATTTGAGTTCGGGTGTTCGGTGGAGTTTGGGTGTATGAGTTGTGGAGTTTGTTGAGTTTTTGTGGGAGAAAAAAACTCCACTTTTTTTGTGGGAGTTCGGGTACATATTAGGGATCTAGCCGCCCCGATTCCCAAAAATCGGCAATTCAATTTTCATGTCGGCTAGATTCCTAATACATATATGTGACTTAATGACAAGCACCTAGCAATAACTGGCCTAGGGTTGGAGTTTCGATTCTTTCTCTTATAATTTTTTCACGAAGATTTTATTTAAATTTGAATTTTTTTTTAATTTTTAGGGTGATTCACAGGGTTGGTGTCAATTATGTTTTGAAAGAAGAATTCCAGAACTAGACATTAACGAGGAAGACAAAGAAAAATTGGAAAAATTTGCACATCATAAGGGTATACCTCCAATGTTGGGATTGGTTAGATGTTTGAATGATAATTTGGTAAGAAAAAAAATTTTTTTACAATTTTTTTTGAAAATTTTTTTTTTAATAATTTAAGGTGAATCATCTTATTATGCACCAAACTGAGGTAAAATTTATGTTTATTTTATACAAAACATTTTTTTGTTTTGTTGGGAACGTGTTTGTTTTGAAATGTTTCCTATGCTTTTCTCATGTTTTTCTTTTATTCTGGTTATGTTTTTATTTGTTTTATAATGTTTTTCTGATTTTAAATTCTGATTTTTGGGTTCTGATTTTAAGTTCTGGGTTCTGACTTTGAATTCTGATTTATTATTCTGATTTTCTAATTAAATTCTGATTTTAATTCTGGTTTCTTATTTTAAATTTTTGGTTCTGATTTTTTATTCTGATTTCTGGTATTACTTCTTGTTTCTGTTTTTAAATTCTGATTTATGATTTAATTCTGGTTTTAAATTCTGGTTCTAATTTTGAATTTTGGGTTCTGATTTTTAATTCTGATTTCTAATTTAATTCTGATTTTAATTCTTTTTAAATTCTGACCTTATATTCTGGTTTCTGATTTTTTATTCAAAATTCTCTGTTTCACTAATTTTATTTGTTTTTTCAAGTATGTAATCGAAAATGGACATAGCCGTGCTATTCTTGAATGGATTTATGCATTATTGTTGGTTGTTAAAAAGCCGTTGCTTCAAGATGTTGTTGCACGATTGCGTGATTTTTGCCGTAAATGTCGTGAATGGCGATCTCAAATGGATGAGGATGAATTGGATAAAATATATGAATTGAGTTGGTTCATCACTATGTAAGTTTGTTTTTTAATTAAATAAACATTGTTGATAAACATTAAAACATATTGAAAAATGTTTTGAGTTGTTCAGAAAACATTTTAAAGTAATACAACTTTCCGGAAAAACTTAAACATTGAAAAATGTTTGTGAAACATTTCTGAAAATAGAATAAGTTTCCGGAAAATGTTTTAATTAATATGTTGGAGCAATTCCGGAAAACATTTTACCAAGTAATAGTTTCCGGAATATTTTAGTAAAAACATTTATGTTTTCCGGAAAATTATTAATGATGTTTTTATTTATCCGGAAAATGTTTTACCAAAGAATAGGTTTCCGGAAAAACTGTTAAAAATATTTATATTTTCCGGAAAACATTTTAAACGAACTTTTTCGGAAAACATTTGAATATAAACAAACTTTACGGAAAACGTTCTAATATAATAAACTTTCCGGAAAACATTTTACCAGAGAATAAGTTTCCGGAAAAACTATTAAAAATATTCATATTTTCCGGAAAACATTTTAATATAATCTGAACATTCCGGAAAACATTTAATACATGTTTTTATAATGTTTTCTATACTTTTAAGAATCTCTTGTTATTTTGCTCAACATGATCTGGGTGATTAAAATGTGCAGAAACATAATATGTTGCTATAAAAATGTTTCACTTTAAATTTTTATTTTTATGCGTACAAATGCTGATTTTTGATATTAATAAAATTTTGAAAAAAATTTTTTGCTGCCAATTAATTTAATTTTTTTTTTGATTATTCGGGTGAAATATCCCTAAAAATATTTTTTTATTTATCCAATTTTATTTATTTTTTTTCTTCTCCTTCCAGCAGTCAACCAACCCTCTCCCTAAATTTTTTTCCCATACAGGCCAATCATTGAGAAAAATAAAAGAGTACGTTAGTGTAGTAAAAGTTTTTCGGGGGTAAGTGAGTAAAATGGGTGGTAATTTTGGGTGGGTTTCTGTGTTTTTCGGCAATTTTTGGCAATTTTTAGAGCTCAAAAAAATTTTTAGGGCTCAAAAATTTATAAAAAAAATCAGAAATTTTTTTTAAATTTTTAATTAAAATTTTTTAAATTTTTGGCGCACAGCTAAAAATTATTTAGAGTAGCAACAACACAAAATATATTAATTTTATATCGTGTGAGTGCACATTCATTACATTTTTTTTCTGTGTGTTAAGAATGAGGGGGAAGTTGGGGTAAATTTTTTTACAACAATCATTCATCAAATATTGTTTATTTTAGTAATTTTGAAAGAGGAGTTAATTTTGGGGGTTTTTGTGCGGAGGTAAAAAAAATTTTTTTTTGTTTGATTATTTTTGTGAACACTCAGAAACCAAATATTTTTATAGTTCTAGTGTAGTCAATAAAGGGTATGACTAGGTGAGTATACGAGATTTTCAATCCAGTGTCATCCTTCATCTTATCCTTCTATTCTGTGACGAAATGAAACTTTTTTGGGGTCTGACCCAAATGAACAATTTTATACCTTGTGGCCAAATGTCGTATTTTTAATAATTTTTTTAATTTTACGAGACTAGGTGGGTATACGAGATTTCCGATCCAGTGTTTTATCTTTCATTCTGTAACGAAATGAAAGTTTTATGGGGGTTGACCCAAATGAGAAATTTTATACCTTGTGGCCAAATGTCGTTTTTTAATAATTTTTTAATTTTACGAAATTTTTTAATTTTTTTTTCTTTTTAATTTTCAGATATTTATTAAAAATATGTAGATTTTAGATATGAATTTATTTAGTAAAAAAAGCAAAAAAGGAACAACACCAACAACAACAAATGAATTATTTAAAACTGGAGGAATTCAATTATTCAAACTTCCGCTTGCACAAGCTGTTAAAAACAACCCCTCTTTTGATGGAGTTCCTGTGCCTGCTTTAATCAGAGAATGTTTGGATTATATTGCTTTTTACGGTTTGTTTAATTTTTTTTGGGGAGATTTTTTGAAAAATTTTTTTTTGGGAAACTGGGACAGTTTTAGGGAATTTTTTTTAAAATTTTCTGGAAAGTAGGACATTTTGGGAGGTATTTTCTGCATATTCTCATACAAATCAAGATTGGATTTTCGGGAATTTTTTTTTGAAATTTTATGGGGTTTTTTGAAATTTTTTTTCAAATTTTGTTTTTCTCTCGCATTTATTCCCCAATTTTCCTTATTCTTTTTCATCCACGGCGTCCTTATATTTATTGTTTTTACTTATTTTTATTCTTGTGAACGTTCTAACATAAACTTATATTCTCATGAAACCTTGTCTGGTTATTTTATTAGCTACTGAATTTTTTCGTTGAGATTTTCGAATTGCTAGTGGTTTGGAATTTCTTTTATTTTTAATCAAATAATTTTTTTTTATTTTTTTCTAATTTTTGAATTTTCTGACCCTGAAAAAGAGTATAAAGAGGAAATTTTCACGAAAATAAATTTGTCTATAAAGTTCAAAATTTATTTCATTTTCTTTTTATAGGACTTGACTTGGAAGGCATTTTTCGCGTATCCTCACCCAAATCAAGATTGGATGAACTCGAATTGATGGCTAATAGTGAAAAAAGAGATGAAATAGTTTTTCAGGTTTATTTGAAAATAGGAAGAATTTTTGAAAATTTAATTTTTATTTTTTTAGGATGCCCACGAAGCGGCAGGTTTACTTAAACGCTTCTTACACCATTTACCAGAAAATATGGCTTCTCTCAACCAGCACATTTTGACACAACAATTGAAGCCTAGATTTGAACAAATTGCTAGTGGTTTGGAAATTTTTCTTATTTTTATTTTGAAAATTTTTTTCCGAAATTTTATTGAATTTTTTTCTTAATTTTTAAGTTTCTGACCCTTAAAAAAATTAAAGAAAATTTTCAAGGATCAGAAAATTAAAAAAATAAGAAAAAAATTTGAAATAAATTTTTGAAAATTTTTCTGGAAAATAACACATTTTCGGGGAATTTTTAATTTAAAAAAATTTTTTTCCAATTTTTTTTTCTGATTTTTGAATTTTCTGACCCTCAAAAATTTTTTTTAATTCTTTAAAAAATTAAAAAAAATTTTTTTCGAACAGAATGTAAATGTAATTATCAAAATGTTTGTGCCTGTCAATGCGCGTTACAGCTAAAGAAATTATTATTACAACTGCCTACAGAAAATTATTATCTTTTGGGTTATATATTCAGACATGCACATCTCATTATACAACACGTAATTTGATTTAAAAAAAATTTTTTTGACTCAAAAAATTAAAAATTTATTTTTTGAAGGAATCTTCAAATAAAATGGGTTTGCCTGCTATAGGTAAATTAAAAAAAAATTTTAATTTTATTTTATTTAAATTTAAAAATTATTTTTAAATATAAGAATTAAAAAAATAAAATTCTAAAATTAAAAAAATTTTCACATTAAATTTAAAATTAATATTTAATTAAATATTAAATTTTTCTCTTTATAGGCGTTTTGCTTCATTTAATGTTTAATTTGTCGCAACCTTTAGTCAAAACATTTTTATTAAATTCAATCTCAACAAATGTTTGTGAAAACAACAACAACAATTCCTCTGAAGCAAATGAACAACAACAAACATTTATTACAACAACCGCTTTGTTTGATGTTGTGGACTTTAAGCCGTGAGTTTCTATTTTTGTTTATATAATGTTTTGAGTTAATGAGTAAAACACAGTAAAACATAGAAATTTGTTTTTAGAAAAATAAAAACAAATAAACTTTACCAAAAACACAAACTATTAGAAATAAACTTAACAAACAAGTAAATAAACAAACAATTAAATAAACTTAAAATGAAACATGTTTTTATAAAATTAAAACAAATAAACTTTACCAAAAACACAAACTTTTAGAAATAAACTTGTTTTTAAAAATAAACTTAAACAATAAACAAATAAACAAACACTTAAATAAACTTGTTTTCATAATATTAAAAACTTCTAAACTTTAGTAAAAACGCAAACTTGAAAATAAACTTGGAAAAACAAATAAACAAACAATTAAATAAACTTTAATCTGAACATTTCTCACTGTCTGACATGAACATTGTTAGTATAGTTTTTCTTTCCTTTATAACCTAATATATTGGGTCAAAGGTTCGAACCTCAACCTGACAAATATTTTTATTTTCGACTAAAAAATATTTTATAATTAAAAAATGAAAATTATAAACACACTAAAAATTAATTAAATAAATTAAATTAAAAGCTAAATTAAAAAACAGTAATTGCACAATTTTCTTCTAAATTTTCACATGTTTTTAGTTTTTGTTGTTGTTCTGTTTCTTTTAAAATGTTTGTTTGAGTTAATTCTGGTTGTTGTAATTGTTTTTGTGTTGTTTTTTGTGATTCTTCTGCTTTTATTTCTTTTTGTATTTTGACTTCTTCGTGTTTTGCTTCGTCTGGGGCGGTCTAAAAATATTTTTAAAAAATTCCCTTTTTTCCCCAATTTTTCCACCTTTTTATGCCTTGCCACAAAAATAATGCAAAACGCCGTGGTTATAATTAATAGAGTTACAGTTACACCAGAAATCCATGTATTAGCCAATTCCTTTTTTGGTAAAAACGATTTTTCTCCATATCTAATTGCATTAATATCATATTTTGGTTTGTTTGCATCTTCAATTTCGTCCTGTTCTAATAAACTTGTAAAATTTATGTGTTCGTCTGTATTGCTGCCAACCAATAATGTTATCTGTGTTTGGATGTTTTATTTGTTTTTAAAAATGTTTTTCTGATTTGTTTAGATGTTTTTATCTAATCAGAATTGTCATTTTTGTTAGGATGTTTTTCTGGTTTTAAGAAATATTCTGTTTTGTTGATGTTTTTCTTTTTCCTGGTTTTCTCGTTTTTAAACATGTTTTTCTGATTTTATCATGTTTTTAAAATGTTTTGATGGTTTATTTGTTTTTCTGTTTTTGCGTACTTATGTTTATAATAATGTTTTTCTGATTTTAAAAATTTGCTGTCTTTTTTAATGTTTTTCTGATTTTTATTTGTTTTTAAAAATATTCTGTTATGTTTTTGTTGGTTGCAAACATTTGTTTCAAGTTTGTATGTCTTTATTATCTTCTTATTTAAAATTTATACCGCTTTCCAGTCTATCGTAGCATTTTCAACATTATTCCCTCCAAATAAATTTTCTTCCCCTCCATTCGTTGTTGATGTTTTTGTTGTTGTCGCTATTGTTGTATCCTCCCCCTCATTATAACTCAACTCGCTACTATTAATTCCAACAAGCGAAAATATTGATTCTCCTCGTCTAATGTAAGGCCTATCACATTGAGTTTTGTGTGCTTCGCGCAGTTCAAATTCATTCTTTTCTGAGGCGGCTATTTTATATTTATCCTCAATAAATAAAGAAATGTGTTGTAATTTTTCATCACAAATCCAAGGATTATTAGACAAATCGATCATTTTTAAATTTGAAAAATTTATCAAATTTGTGTCTAAATGTTTAAGTTTGTTTGTTGCTAAATTGAGTGATTCTAATGTTGATTTGAATGAATCAAAAGCATTTGGTTCAATATAGGAAATGTTTGATGCAGATAAATCTAATTCCTTAATTTTTGAATTTTTTTTTTGTAAATGAATGATATGCTTCTTAAAATTTTGATTTAAGTTGAAACATGTTTCAAGTTGCAATTTTATTTTTTCAAGTTTTACTATTTTCCAAGTTTTAATTTTTTCCATGTTTCTTTTTTAAGTTTTATTTTACTTTCAAGCTTGTTTTTTCAAGTTTATTTTTTCAACTTGTTTTAATCCTAGTTTATTTTTTCCAACTTGTTTTATTTCAAGTTTATTTTTGCAACTTGTTTAATTCCAAGTTTATTTTTTCAACATGTTTTATTTCAAGTTTATTTTTTTTCTAAAAACTTTTTTTTTCTTTATTTAAAGTTTATTTTATTAACAAACACAAACCTCAAGTTTATTTAAATTAAGTTGTCCTTTTATTATTTTACTCAACATTGTTGTACTTAAATTTAAATGTCTCAATTCATTTAATCCATCAAATGTCCCCTCTTCTATTTGTTTAAGCACTTCATTATTCCGTAAATTTATTCTTTCTATTTTTGGTGAAATTTCTTTAAAAGAACTTTTATTTAAAGACCGAAAATCATTCCAGCCTAAATCTAAATTTTCTAAATTTGGCAAATCTTTCCATATTTTGGATGGTAATTCTCTTAAAATTAAAAAATTATTTTTAAATTAATTTATTTTTTACTTTAAATAATTCCCTGCAAGTGAAAGTGAATTTAAATTGTCCAAACCAGCAAAACATTCACTCTCCAATTCTCCAATTAAATTAACTCTTAAATCCAACTTAAAAATATCAATGTTTGTTTTATTTCAACATGTTTTTGAACATGTTTTATTTCATGTTTATTTTTTTCAAACTTGTTTTGTTTCAAGTTTAATTTTTTCAAACTTGTTTTGTTTCAAGTTTAATTTTTCAACTTGTTTTTATTTCAAGTTTATTTTATAGGTAACTTGTTTTATTCCAAGTTTATTTTTATGTTTTTTTGTTTCCATGTTTTTAAAGTTTTTCTTCTTATTTCTAAGTTTAACCGTTTCTAATGCTGGGAATTGTGCAAAACTTGATTTATTTAACATGCGCAAGTTACATCCACTTAATAAAAGTCTCTTTAAGTTTGGCAATTTTTCAAAGTTTGAGAAAATATCTATTGTTTCTATTCCATCCATTTGGGACATGTCCAAACTCTGGAAAAATTTTTTTATTTAAATAAAAAATATTTTTTTAAACCTCGAGTGTTGTAAGTTTTGCAATTTCTATAAGTAATTGGGTACTAGCAAAATTATGTTCACCAATCTCCAAGTTTTTAAGCATTTCAAGTTGACTTAAACTTCCTGCTTCAATTTGTAGAGAAAGTAAGTTACCCGCCAAGTTTAATGATTCCAACTTTAAAAGGAGAAAAATTATTCAATTTTTATTTTTAAAGCTTGTTTTTCAACTTGTTTTATTCCAAGTTTTGTTTCAAGTTTCTTTTTAAACATGTTTTGATTCAAGTTTATTTGTGTTATATAGTGTATTTTAAGTTTATTTTCTAACATGTTTTATTTCAAGTTTATTTTTATGCATGTTTTGTTTCAAGTTTATTTACGACATTTTAGTGTTGTTTTATTACATATATTTATTGTTCTACTTGTTCTATTTCAAGTTTATTTTAAAGTTTATTTTTTCAAACTTGTTTTGTTTCGTTTATTCTTTTTTCAACTTGTTTTGCTTCAAGTTTATTTTTTTAATATTTAGCTTACACTCATTTTGCTAGCAGCCAAATCTTGTACATTTATTGAATGTATTTTATTTCCGCTTAGCGACAAACCCTTCAAAACTGGCGCACGTTTTAATAAATTTATAGGCATTTCCTCTATTAAACATTCTTCAATTACTATCCACTCTAAACTATTAAATTGTTTTAATTCTTTGTTTTCGTTTTTCTCTTCTGTAAATTTTGGTTGATTTTTGCATTTTTTTGCTTCCAAATATTTTAAATTTGAAGTGGTTCGAGGTTCTTTTAAGAGTATTTGTAACAATTCTTTTTCGCTTTCAAAATCAACATGATTGAGTATTATCTGTTAAAAAATTTTTTTTTGATTGTTCGAACAAGTTAAATTTGTTTAGTTCCCATGTTTTTACAAACTTGTTTTGCTGCAAGTGATGGAAACAAACTTGATTTGTTTCAAACTTGTTTTGTTGCAAGTTTATTTTAAAATTTTTCTGTTTGTTTGTTTCCCATGTTTTTTTCGAACTTGTTTTCTTCCAAGTTTGTTTTTCAAACTTGTTTTCTTCCAAGTTTATTTTAAACTTGGAATATGTTTATTTTGTTTCGAACTTGTTTTTAAGCTTTTATTTTTTTACCTTTTCAATTGATTTATTTGCTTTCTTCGCTAAATTTATTGTATTTTCTAAATCTTCCAATTTTGAGCCATAAATACAAGTAATTGAAGCTTTTTCATCATCAACTTCCTCATTATCTTCATTTATTAATTCTCTACTGTGTCCACATAAACATGTTATTTTTCCAATTTTGTCTGAATTTTCTAACGTCTCAAAAGGGTGTTGAAAAGATTCCAAGTCTGGACATCCAGCTATTCGATTAAATGTTATTAAATTTTTTGTTGTTTTTTCTTCTATTTTTTCTTCAATAGCAGTAGTAATAATTGTTAAATAAATTAATATGGCGCTTGAATTAATCAGGAAAATACAATTATTTTTAAACATTAAATCTAAAGAAATATTTTATTAACTTTTTCCGGAAAACATTAAATAATGAGAAGACATTAAATAACCGGAAAACATTGTATAACAAGAAAAACATTAAATAAAAACATCAAAAAACATTAATCTGTGTTGTGAACAAATTACAACTTTCCGGAAAACATTCTAGAACCATTAAAACATGTATAAAAATGTTTGAATTTATTCGTTTTTCCGGAAAAACATTCAACAATTGTAAAAAGAGTTTATAAATAATTTTAAAACAGTTTCCAACTTTCCGGAAAACATTCTAGAATTATATTAAAACATGTGAAAATATGTTCGAATTTATTCGCCTTTCCGGAAAACATTCAACAACCGTAAAGATGTTTATAAAGGATTTTGAAACTTTTCCAACTTTCCGGAAAACATTCAAAAACATTTCTATTAAAAATGTTTTATTATTTTTAAATTTTTTTCCTTTCTTTTTAAAGATTTTTTGAAAAGACATTTTCCATTCATGCAAAGTTTCAAGTGATTTTTACGTTGAAAACTTTTGAACCTTTTTATTATTATTGATAAATGATCATTAAACTATTTTGTTTAATGACGCAAATAGGGGGCGACATATTTAATCATCCATTTTTTTTGATTATTATTTCCCATTTTTATTATTTTTATTATTTTTTTCGAAAATTTTTATTGTTGCAAATGTGAAGGTTGAAAAATTAAATTTTATTTTAATAGGATAAAAAAATTTAAAAAATAAAAATAAATAAAATGAATGAAACAAAAAAAATTTTTTTGGTCAAAAAATTAAATTTTAAATTTAATTTAAAATTTCAATCAATTTTTTGTCAATAAAAAAAATTAATTGTTAAAATTGATTTATGAAAAGGGTCAATTTTTTTACGTTGTGAGAAGCTACTATATATAAAAATAAATATAAATAAAAATATTTAATATATTAGTATATTTATTTTTGGTTGAATGAAGCGTGCGCGTTAAAACTGAAGGAAAGAAAACAAATTTATTTATAAAAGGGGGGAGAAAAAACTAAAACAATTTTTGTTGGGGATATAATATTTATTAGAAAATAAATCGTTAAAAGTCTCCTATTTATTCCTTATGTTTTTCTATTAATTATGTTTGTAAAGTTTCTCTTAATAATTGAAACATAATTTTTTTTAAATGTTTTTCCGGAAAACTTTTAAGTCGTTGAATTTTCCTTTCCGGAAAATAAGAAACATTTTTTAACTAAAAACACGTAACTAAAACTTTTTAAAACATTCCGGAAAAACATCTTTTTCCGGAAAATAAGAAATAATAAACATTTTTATAACCAAAAACTTGTAAACTTTTTATACAAACATTTCGGAAAACGTTTAAAATAACGCAGAAACATAATTTTCCATTAATGTTTCCAACTTTCCGGAAAACATTTAAGTTAGCGAATTTTCCGGAAAACATTTAAGTTAGCGAATTTTCCGGAAAACATTTAAGTTAGCGAATTTTTCCGGAAAACATTTAAGTTAGTGAATTTTTCCGGAAAACATGTAAACAAATTACAACTTTCCGGAGGCATTTAAACAACTTCTTAAACACTTTATAATTATTTAAACATTCCGGAAAACATTCCAAAACATTAAAAACTTAATTATATTTTAACTAAACAATGTTTTTTAGATACGTTAAGCCTAAAAGCATTGAAGAACTTCGATTGGAAATGCCTATAACTTCTAAACAAATTGAAGAAGAAATACTTAAACAACAAAATTTACTTGAATATTTGCACGAACACGTAAAAAATTTTAAAAATAATTTTACTATTAAATTAGAGAATTTGATTTATATTTTTAGATACAACAAATGCGACAACATTCAAATCAACAAGTTTTATTAAAACAAAAAGAAGACGAAATGTGGGCTGTTCAAACAGGCATAACTGTACTTAAAAGAAAATTAAAAAATTTGACAGAAGTATTAGAAGGTTCTGTTTCTAAAGAAGTTTCTAAAGAAGAAAAAGGAGAAGAAAAAATTGAAGAAAAAAATAATAATAAGGAAGAAAAAAATTTTTGTGAAGAAGAAGATGAAGATGAAATTGATGAAACAAATGCTAAACTTTTAGAAAAACAATTAATTGCTTCAAAATTGTCACTTTCAAATGAAATTGGTGATGAAAAGAAAGCTATTGTTCGGTTATTGTCTGAGTTGCGTGAGGTAAGAAAAGAAAAAAATTTAATTTTTAAGCGTTAAAAACATAAGATTAGATTTTGCAGTTGAGGAATAAATTACCAGAATCTGAACAAAACTTGCTAACAGAATCGCAAAGGGCTACAAACAATTTATCGCAACAACGACCATTAAAATATATTGTTCCCAACAGCAATAATAAACAACATGTTGGAAGCCAAACAAACAAGGAACAAAGAAATGGAGAAAAAGACGATAATACTGATTGGGAACAACTTTGTGCAGAAGAGGAGAGGAAAAATGCTGAATTGTTAGCCGAACTTATTCGTTATAGGTATGTTGAGAAAAATTATACAAAAACATTCCGGAAAACATTTTATTTTTCTAAAACATTTAAATGTTTCAAGTTTCCGGATGACACTTTATTTTTAAACTTAAGTTTTTCCGGAAACATCTCTATTTTATAAACTTAAGTTTTCCGGAAAACATTTCTATTTTCTAGACTTAAGTTTTTCCGGAAAACATTTTTATTTCTAAACTTAATTTTTTCCGGCAACTTTAATTTATAAACTTATGTTTTTCCAGAAAACTTTATTTTCTAAAACTTAGGTTTCCGGAGAGATTTTCAGAAGACATCACAATTATTCTTCCATCTTTCTCCATTCCATCTTTCTTAAAACATTGAAACTTTATTTTTAAGGCGTATTTGCTCTCAGCTCCGATCACGATTAGAATATGTCACATTACTAGTAAATTTAGAGAAAAATAACCAACATCCAACAAAATTAATAAATGATTTTGAAAATAATAATAATAGCTCAACTACACAAACAGAAGATTCCGCAAATTTACTTATAACAAGATTCTAATTTAAAAAAAAATTTTTGTCCCAAAATAATTTTATTTTTAATAATATTTGAAGTTCTGAAAAATTTAAATTGCATCCCTACTTAACGAAAAAAAATTTTTCTGACATTTTTCTGCCTCTTTATCCCTCCATTTTATATTACATTCTTAAAACTTTTTTTTGCTTTTATTCGAATTATTTTAAACATATTCCTCTTTTATTTTTTTATTTCGAAATTTGGTCATTAAAACTTGAAAACCGGTTTTATGATAAATCTCTGTTTGTTTTATTAAGTAATGTTTTCCTTTTAAATTGTTTAAACAAACATCCTTTGTTTTGCCGGAAAACATGTAAAGTTTCTGGAAGGAATGTTTGCTAGGTAAACACGTTTAAACAAACATCCTTTGTTCTACCGGAAAACATGTAGAATTTCCGGAAGGAATGTTTTTCTAGTGAACACTTAAGCAAACATCTAATTATTCTTTCCGGAGAAACATATAAAGTTTCCGGAAGGAATGTTTTGTTGGTGAACACGTTAAAACAAACATCCTTTGTTTTGCCGGAAAACATGTAAAGTTTCCGGAAAAACATTCAAATTTCTGTAAATACATAAAACTTGTCTCCAGTAAACATAAAATATTATGTTTGGAGAAAAGTTTACTCTACAACTTTACAATTAAAACATACACAAGTTTTAAATTATTTCAAGTAAGTTTATTTTAAGCCAAACAAAGTTTTGTATTGTATACATATATAAATTCTTTTTTTGACAACAAAGATACTACAGTAATTTTTAAAAAATTTTTGAACTAGATTTTTTATTTCCGTTATTTTTTTTTCTGACGTAACACAAAATTTTTCCTCTTTTTGGGCGTGTTTCAGAATTGCGAAGAAATGCCGTGTAGTTCTAATCGATTAGTTTCTAGTTTTTAAGGGATAAAGCCAAATAAATGTAAGCTTTTCTTTATTCTTTTTAGTAGGCTTTCTCTCTTTACATTTTTTTCATTTGCTTTTAATGTACGCGAGAGTTTAGGCATTTGCCTCGGTGCCACAGAGAAAATGCTTAGCTTTTTCTCCACTGGTTTTCGTTCTATTGATTTTGAGCGCGCATGTTTTAATGATGTTTTAGTCCGTTAAATGCTCCGGGGAATTAAGAGAGTGTTTTACAAAAACACCGGAATGTTTAAATTGTTTTTCCAGCATTCCGAAAAACATTTAAGATAGAAGAATGTTTCGAGAACATTTAACTTGGGATGTTTCTCCAACATTCCGGAAAACATTCAAACAAAAACAAATGTTAACAACATTTTGGAAAACATTTAACTTGAGAAATGTCTCTCTAATTTTCCGGAAAACATTAAGGCAAAAACAAACGTTGACAACATTCCGGAAAACATTTACGGTAGGAGAAATATTTATCCAACATTCCGGAAAACATTTAAAGTTTAAATATGTTTCCAGTTTTCCGGAAAACATTCAAACAAAAACAAATGTTAACAACATTTCTGGAAAACCTTGAATTTTTAGATAAAATGTTTTTTCCAACAATATTTTTACTGTCTCTATCAATAACCTACCCTTGTCTCGCATGGTTTCACTTTAACCATCAAAAACAACAAACCCTTCTCGAAGGTGTTCAATCAACAGATCTTCGAATGCCAAGTGTTCGGATTGAAAAGAACGATACTTATTTATGTACTGCTTTTCCGTTAGATGCTGACGAGGAACATTATATTGGTTGGAACGAAAATTATTTTTAATATTTAAATTATTTAGTTTCCTTTGAACCCCTTGCAAACCAACACCAGATCCATCACATGCTTCTTTTCGGTTGTGAAATGCCTGGAAGCGATGAACCTGCCTGGTAATGTTTGTTTAGGGTTTATTGTAAAATATGTTTGAAACAAAGTTGGAAAAATGTTTTGAAACTAAGTTTTAAATGTTTGAGAGAACAACAATGTTCGAAAAAAAGTTGGAAACTTAAAAATGTTCAGAACTAAAAATAAGATGTTTTTATGTTTTAAATAAACTTGCTAATCAAAACATTTTAAAAATGTTTTGAAAAAAAGTTTTATTAAATGTTTGTTTCGAACAATGTTTTTGTTGTCTAAACATTGCAATAATTAAATGTTCAAAACAGATGTCTGTTTCAAACAATGTTTTGTTTAGACATTGCATAATTAATGTTTAAAAAAATGTTTGTTTCAAACATTTGTTTTGTTGTTTAAACATTGCAATAATTAAATGTTCAAAACAAATGTTTGTTCAAAACAAAGTTTATAATTTTATTTGTTTTGAAGGGACTGTGGAGAGATGTCTTCTTCTGATGCTGGTTATTCCCGTTCCCCTGTATGCGCCTCTCAGCCAGACATTATCTATGCTTGGGCTCGAGGCGCTCCAAAGCTTAACCTGCCTAAAGGTGTTTTTAGAATAATTTTTAAAAGACTTCAAATTTTCTTAAGGTGTCGGTTTCCGCGTTGGTGGTGAAGCAAAATCCCAATTTTTGGTACTTCAAGTACATTATATGCACCAAATGAAGGGAGAAGACAATTCTGGAGTTAGGTTGCTTCACACAGAGGAGCCTCAACCAAGAATGGCAGGCACTCTATTGTTAGCTACTGACGGTAGAATGGCGCCTAAAAAGACTGGTAAATGAGACTAATTTTTTTAATTTTTTAAAAATTTTTTGAAAAAAAAATTTTCCTTGTTAAAATTTTCCTAACCTTAAAAAATTTTAAGAATTTTAAAAAATATCTAAGTTGCTTAAAAAACCTTTTTTCCTACACCCTTAAAGCATTTAAACAATTTAAGAAAAAAAGAGTAAATGTTAAAAGCTAAATAAATGAAAGTTAGTTTAACGGTCTTATGGTGTAGCGGTTAGCACTCTGGACTCTGAATCCAGCGACCCCAGTTCAAATCTGGGTAAGACCTGAATCTTTTTTATGTTATGTTAGATTGTCTAGAATGTTGATTTCGAGTGTTTCAGGTGCTTTTTTAACTTTGAAAAATTTTTTTTGGGAATTAAAAAAAAAATTTTTTTTTCGAATTTTTGAAAATTTTTTGGAAATTTCAAAAAAAAATTTTTTCGAAAATTTCTCAAAAAATCAAAAAAAATTTTAAGCTATTTTAATTTTTCTAGAGCAATTAGAAGTAGCGTGTGTTGTTGATGAAGACGTTGAATTGCATCCTTTCGCCTTCCGTGTTCACACTCATAGACATGGAACTAACGTACATGGCTGGTTAGTCCAAGAAAATCCTTTGACTGGACAGGATAAATGGACACTACTTGGAAATAGAAACCCACAGGTATTTTTTTTAATTTTCGAATATATTTCTAATTTTAAAATAAATTTTCAGCTTCCTCAACTTTTCCAGCCTGTTATAAATCAGTCAATAGTTATTACACAAGGGGTATATATTTTTGTAAAATAATGGTGAACTTTTCCGGAAAACGTTAAAATTTAATATTGTTTCCGGAAAACATATAATTATTTAAAACCTTCCGGAAAAACATGTTTACACTTTTCCGGAAAACATTTAATAATTATAATATTGCTTCCGGAAAACATATGATTATTTAAAACATTCCGGAAAAACATGTTTACACTTTTCCGGAAAAGATTTAATTTTAATATTGTTTCCGGAAAAAACAAGTTCGCAACTTTCCGAAAACATTTAATTTTAATATTGTTTCCGGAAAACATGTTTGCACTTTTCCGGAAAACATTTAAAATAATAAATCTATGTTCATTTTCCGGAAAACTCTGAAACAATTTTCTAAACATTCCGGAAAACATTCCAACATTCCTAAAACAAAAATAATTATTTTTAAGGATATTTTGGCTGCTCGTTGCACTATAAACAACAATGAAAAACGAATAATCAAGATCGGCCCTACTGGGGAAGATGAAATGTGCAACTTTTATTTAATGTATTGGACTGAAACTGGAGGGCAAACATTAAAAGAAAATGCTTGTTTTTCTGCTGGCCCTCCAAATTATCGATGGAGTAGCGGTGCAGGTTTAAACCATTTACCAAAAAAGAAGTAAATTTAAAAAAAAAAATTAAATTTTAAAAAATTCTAATTAATCTTTTAAATTGATCTCTAAAAGTGATACTCATAAATACTTATATTTTCCGATTTTTATATAAAATTGGATTCTTTTTTTAATTTTATAACCCCAGTGAAAAGAGATAAAAATTATTCAATGTTTTGACGAACACAATTAAATGTTTATGACCTTCCGGAAAACTTGTTTATTTCCAGAAAAACATTTTAATGTTGTTTTAAAATGTTTTCAGATGTTTTCAAATTTCCGGAAAACATTTACTTAAATAGTTTGGTTCTTTTCCGGAAAACATTTTAACAGGGGAAAAATATTTAAATGTTTGTTCATTTTCCGGAAAACATCTCTACACTAGACTAACATTCCAATTTTCCGGAAAACAAATAAAGTTTGTTTTCCGGAAACATTTCAACAGGGGAAACCAACTTTCCGGAAAACATTTATTTAAACAAAGTTCGTTTCTTTCCGGAAAACATTTAAATAAACATGTTTTCCGGAAAACATTTTAACAGTGGAATAAACATCCCAACATTACGGGAAACATTTATTTAAACACAAAAACATAATATCAATGTTTATTTCAAAATTTTCTGGGAGAAAAACATTGTTTTTATAATAATATTCAAGCTGTATTTAATTTGGCAAACATATCAAAGGTAAAAAGCTTAAAGCATGTTTGAGCACATAAAGAAAAAAGGTATTTTTATATATTTTTATGGCCTTTGACTATTAAAAATATTTTTAAAAAATATTTCATTTTATTCTTTTTTCTCTTCCTTGATTTCCTCTTTCAAGTCAATCTGGGCAACTTTCTCCTCTATTTTACCTTCCTCTCCCCCTCCTCCCCCTTCAGCTCCATTACTAGTAGAAGCCAATTCTTCATTCTCCTCCTTTCCTTTTTCCCCAATTTCGTTGTCGTTGGAAGACATACCTTTAAAAATCAATTAAAAATTCAAAAAAATTTTCTTTTTTTTACTATTTTTATCTATTCCCCGATTTTCTTTATTCAAACGACGGCAAAGTTCTTGTAATTGAGCAAGTTGACGATTCTTAAAAGCCAACAAATTATCACTTTCTACTTTTGCAAGACTCAAGGAAGTAGCCAATCTTTAAAAAATAAATTAAAAAATAATTATTTATAAAATTCTACTTGTTTGCAGCCTCAGCTTGTTCTCTCCACTTTTTAGCGTCCCCCTGCACTTTAATCATTGTTCCGTTCATTTTAGACATTTGTTCTTTTAAGTTGTCAAATGAACTAAAAATATGGGTAATTTAAATTTTCCGGAAAACATTTAAATAAAAGTTGGTTCCTTTCCGGAAAAACATCATAAAACAAACTTTTTCCGGAAAACATAAATGTTTTTAACTTTCCGGAAAACATTAAAATATATTTTCCGGAAAAACGTCAAAACATGAGGGAATAATAAAATGTTTCCGGAAAAACATTAAAATATATTTTCCGGAAAAACATCAAAACATGAGGGAATAATAAAATGTTTCCGGAAAAACATTAAAATATATTTTCCGGAAAAACATCAAAACATGAGGGAATAATAAAATGTTTCCGGAAAAACATTAAAATATATTTTCCGGAAAAACATCAAAACATGAGGGAATAATAAAATGTTTCCGGAAAAACATTAAAATATATTTTCCGGAAAAACATCAAAACATGAGGGAATAATAGGATCTTTCCGGAAAACATTAAAATATGTTTTCCGGAAAACATCAAAACATGGAAAAATAATAAAATCTTTCCGGAAAAACATTAAAAAATTTCTCTAATGTGTTTTTCGTGTTTTGATGTTTTAAAAACAACTGGTAAAATGTTTCTGGAAAAAACATCAAAACACAAGTAAAAACACATTGCAACTTTTCCGGAAAAACATTGAAGAATGTTTTATGTCAGTTTCATTTAAACATCAAAACATTCCTAAACCTTTCCAGAACTCAAACTTTCCGGAAAAACATCAAAACACGAAAAGAAAACATTTCTAAACCTTTCCGGAAAAACATGCTCTATTTTTAATAAAAACAAATGTTTATTATTTACCCGTTAGTACTAGACAACGATTCGGTAAGTGCAGCATATTTATGCGCATATTCATCCAATAATTGGCGTGTTTTTAATTCTGCTTCAACTGACTCCTTTAGACGTGTCTCATCATTTAATGACTTTAAAAAGGGAATTAAATTTTAATTTTTTTTTAATTTTTTAATAACCTGCTTCTTTAACTGAACATTTTCACTAAATACTTCACTCACACGTTTCTGCATTTCTTCGATTTGTACTCGCATAAGGCCCAATTCCTTATCCTTGGCACTAGCTATCTTTGCCAAATCTGCATCGCGTTCGTCATACTTAAAGGAAAAATTTTTTTTTAATTTTTTTAAAATTCTTTTTTCAATTTTTAAGTGGTAGAAACGACAAAAAATGAAAAAAAATTGAAAAAGTTTTTTTAATTTCCTAGGTGAGCTGGGGGGACCAAGGCCTGGGATTTTTCCTGTATCCAGAATCTAGGCCCAGGCATTTTTTTGACCTTCCTGGGGTTTTTCCTGGGCCTGAGTTTTTCCTGGACAGACCCAGAATCTGGCCAAGGTTAATAAATCAAACCCGGAATAGGTTCAGGAATAAGCCCAGGATTTTCAAAACTCACGATCTCTACTAGAAACGACAAAAAAAATTTTTTTACCAATTTTTTAATATCATTTAAACGTGTCTCATAATCAGCAGCCATCCTTTAAAAAAATTTATAAATTAAAAAATAATTTAAAAAAAAAACTGATTCAAATTAGTAGAAAGTCTTTCAACATCAGCAACACGTTTGCTATGCTCTTGTTTAGATTCGACAGAATGTTGAATATCTGCCAACGATTTTTTGAAGGATTCGACGGTATCTGCATGGGTTGCTTGAATGTGTTTAAGTCTAAAAAAGAGATGTTTTGAAATAAATTTAGAGAATGAAATGGACGTCAAAAAAGGGTTTAGAACAGGGTTGTGCCGAAAAAGATTTTAAAAAGCGAAAAACGGAAGGCGAAATGGAAGAGTCCAAGTCTAGAAAGGTGTCAATGGAACAGTCAAGAATTTTTTAAATAAGAATTTATAAAGGCTCCAGAATGAAAAGCCTCTGATTGTGAGAAGGAACAAGCAAATTGCCTAAGGCCTTATAAAATTCTCAAAAATTTTCCCTTGGGCGCTAAAACAAAAAGTTCGCTCGAAACAAAATTATACGGGCAGAGGTTCTTTTGTGTACATTGCGAACAACCTGTGGATTTTAAAAGACAAAAACTTGGAAAAAAGACAAACTAATCCCTTGACCCTCCATCATAAAAAATAAAAAAAAATAAATTTAAACAAAAACCTCATTTGATTAGCTTCCTTCTCCTCACGTTGAGCTTTGCTCAATTCACGACATAACTGCTCCAACTTGGATTTGGACAATTCTGCTTTGCTTAACATTTTTTGAACAGAATCGAGCTTCTAAAAAAGTGTCTTTAAATTTAAAAAATTAAAAAAAAACCAAATTCAATTTCCCATTTTCTCGTTTAGTTTGCTCCAATTCTTTCTTCTGTTCGCCAGCAGAAACATCCGATTCGGCCAAACGACTAATCAAAAATTCAATTTGGTCCTCTGGTTTAAGCCCAGTAATAGCTTCACAAATTCTACGTCGCTGTTTCTCACGGGCCTTCTCAATTGCTGGACTGGCAACGGCTGGGGCTGAAGAAGAAGTCGCTGCAAGATCCATTAAAGGTAGACGATCAGTTTAAAATTATTTTCAAAAAAAGAATAAGATGGTAAAAATACTAAAAAAAATATCTGAAATAGAAAAAAACTGAAAAAAAATCGAAAAAACCAAAGAAATGCCCTGGAGAAAAATCAAGGGTCAGCTGCTGTAGAAAATTTAACCATTTATAAAATAGGTATTTTGAAAAATAAACTTTAAATTATTTCAAAATGTCGAAAAAGAATTAATAATGTCATTTTGTTAACTATTTTATTTTTCTTTTGTTGTCTGTCTCTCTGTATTTTTAATTGTTTTCTTTTTCTTTTCTTCTCTGTGTCTCTCTTATTTTTGTGTGTTCTCTCTTCGTTTTGAAATTTTTAGAAATGTTTTGGTTAATTAAACTACGTGGTTTTTCTTCAAAATTTGCAATTTTGCAATTCCTTATTTGCTTTTCTATAGTCCGTTGAAGCATATTGATCTTTAGTTGCTTAAATTAGCAGGGGATAGTTTCTATTTCTCATTTTCAATCGAAATCTTGCCTGAAACCTTTACGCTTGTTAGACTTCTTTTTCCCCTCTTTCCCTTTTTTTAATCAATTTTAATCTTTTATTTAGACTTTTTTTTATATTTATTTTCAATAAAATAAGCAAATAAAATGGCTGACTTTAACGGTTTTCTCAATGGCGCTCCTTCTACAGAAGAACAATTTAAACAATTGAATGAGCATTTGGCTACTCGTGGTTATCTCAAAGGGTTTCTGCCTTCGACTGAGGATAGTTATGTTTTTGGTGTTTTGAAGTCTTCTACTATTTCTGCTCAATATCCTCATGTTGCTCGTTGGTTTAAGCACATGCAAAGCTTTTCTGATGCGGAGCAGACTGCGTAATCTTTTTAAATCTTGCAATAGGTTTATCTGAAGATGGAGATTTGCTGTAATAAATTGTAGAGTTTGGGATGGGTCTAGGTGGGGGTTTTTCTATACCAGAGCAAGGCCGTAGCAAAGGGGAATCCTGACTACGGCCCTATACCCAGAGCCCGTATCCCGTCAGTTCGAGCTTCACGGGTTTCCTTGACCTGTGGTTTAGGAAAGACCTATGGCCTTTAATAAATTACCCCACCCCGCCCCCTCAATATTACCAATTTTCATAAAAATGTTAATCTCTTTTAGTTGGCCAAAAAGCGGTTCTGGCGGTTCTGGACCAGCACCGAAGGCAACGACAACTCCAAAGGAGGCACCAAAGGAAGCACCTAAACCAGCAGCGGCGGTAAATTTTAAATCAGAGAAGGAATTAAAAAATTTTCAGGCCGACGATTTTGACTTGTTCGGAAGCGACGAATCCGACGATGAGGAAAAGAAGAAATTGACGGAGCAGCGGCTGAAGGCTTATGCTGAAAAGAAGGCTAAAAAGCCTGGAGTTATTGCCAAATCAAATGTTATTTATGACGTTAAACCGTTTGTTTTTTTTTTATTTTTTGAAAAGAAAGGAAATTTTTTTTGAAGGTGGGACGATACAATTGACCTTAAAGAAATGGAGAAAAATGTTCGTTCAATTGCGACAGATGGACTTGTTTGGGGTGCTTCTAAAATTGAACCTGTTGCGTTTGGAATTAATAAACTTCAGGTTTTTTTTGAGTTTAAAGGGTTCTTTCCCTTTTTCGAGATTCCTTCCGTTTGCCTTTTGCTTCACCGGTCAAAAAATTTTTTTTTGTCTTGTGTTCAACTCTAGGCTCATAAACTTGCTTAAGTCGGTCTCTGAAACTGGTTAAAGCCTGTCTCTACCTCAACACACTACCCTTCCCTCACACCTCCCCTACTAGAAATTGAGCTTGGTCTTCGTCAAAGCTAGGATTTCTTGCGCATAGACAGACTTAAGCAGCTTTAATATTTTAGAACTCGAGGGTAAGGACTGGGTTAAGGTCTGTGGATTCTGTCTCTAATCTCACTCCCAAAAAATGATTTCTTTCATTAATCAGTTTCTCAATTCCTTTTTATAATTTCAAAATTGCAGATTTGTTGTTGTGTCGAAGACGAGAAAGTGTCAACAGACTGGCTTGAAGAGGAAATTCGTGGATTTGAAGATTTGGTTCAATCTGTTGATGTTGTGGCTTTTAATAAGGTTTAAATAAAAGGAATTAATGAGAGAGAAGGAAGGAAAGAAAATTTTTTTTGTTGGCAAAGGTTTTTTTTAATTTTTATTGTTTTATTTGGTGTTTTGTTTAGTTATAATGACGACGGGCTTTTCCAAGTAGCCATAAATTGTTGAAAAACTTTTGAAAATTTTTTTGGATTTTTTAATTTCAATTTTTTAAATTTTTGACTAGAAACTAAAATTGGACAAAAATGGTTATTAACCGGTACCCCAAAGGTTTTCGGTTTTAGATTTTATTTGGGGGAAAACCCGGTTTTATTTTGGGGGAATTTTTAATAAAATCACGCATTTTTAGAAATTTCCGGTTTTTTTTTAATTTTCTAAAACGGTTAATTTTTGATAAAAATGTTCATGTCCACCTCTACTGGAAACTCTTAAGGACAGTTTTGAAGGAGTGTCTTTGCAAAATTTGCAAAAAAAAATTTTTTTTTTATAATTTTATTAAATCCCCTCTTTTAACAACTACATAGAGAGAGAGAGGGAAAATTTTCTTTACTTTTTTCCAGTACATTTATATATAAAATTCAACATTTTTTCCCCACTTTTTTTTTCTTCTTTTAGGCGGCTGTCACAAGGGGCTTTTTATGTTTTTAATAATATTTGTAGATGACGACTAAGAGTAGTGGGTAGTTAGGTGGTGGTTATAGCGTCAATTAATCGATTTTTGTTTTTGAATAGTTGGTGGAGTTGGTTGGTGGAGTGTTTTGTGTGGCGTCGGTTAAAAGTTGATACCCAGAAGATCAACTTTTTTTTATAATTTTTTTTCCTGATTTTTCAGTGTTATGTACTGATTTGTGTTCTGATTGGCTACAATTGTTCTGATTTGTTTCTGGTTTTTGTTCTGATTTATTCTGGTATTCAAAAAGTTCTGGTTTTGTTCTGGCTGGTTGGCAGTTCTGGTATGTTCTGATTTTTTCTGATTCTGATTTTGTTCTGATATTTGGGAATGTTCTGGTTTTTTCAGAATTTCCGATTTTTTCTGGTTTGTTTCTGATTTTTGTGGATGTTCTGATCAATTGTTAATTATTCTGATTTTATTCTGGCTTCTCCATTTCTATAGAGATTTTCAGAATCTTCTGATTTATTATTAGTTCCCTGTTGTTTTTCAATATTTCCACCTCCTTTCCTTCACATTCCAAGCTCTTTCTCTCATCCAGATTTTGTAGAATTTTTAGAGGTATTGGATAAGTTGTAGTTTTTGGACACTAGAGGCTCATACCTTCGAAACTTACCAATTTTCCCCTTTTAAATATTGTTTGAGGGGTTTGTTGATATTTTGGAGTAAACCCATTCAAACGCCCTAATTCTGCTTATAATAAAACACGCCAGCCACGTAGCCATTAAATTTTATATTATTGCTTTTTTTTTGCCTCCTTGCGTGCGTTTTTTTCTTTGCCGCTTTCGCGTGCTGCAGCTACAGCAAAACGCTTTTAAAATTTATTTTTATTCAAGAGAAAAAAATTTTTTTCTTGTAAAGGGAAGAGAATATAAGGAATTAGAGGGGTAGAGTTTTTTGAAGGGGAAGAAAATAGAGGGTTAGAAAAGGAGAAGGAAGGGGTAGTGACAGATGATAGTGTGTGTTAGTGTGTGGAGAGAAGAAAAAAAATTTTTTTTTCTTGTAAGGGGAATAGGGAGAGAGTTAGACGAATAAGGAAGGGGATCTGACAGATGATAGTGTTGTGTGGAGAAAAAAAAAAATTTTTTTTTAATAAAAAAAGGGGGGAAGGAAAGGGGGGGGGGAAGTGAACGTTATTGACTAAAAAATATATTTATTAATTTTAAAGGCGAGAAGCGTTATTATATTTTTTTTATTAAAAAATATTTTTTTTCTATCGATGTTGCTTTTAATACCCTTTTATTTAAAAGTGCAAAAATAAAGAAAGACCGCTAATGGATTTTATTTATTTAATTTTATTTAATGTATTTTATGCTTTGGTTTCTGCTTTATCTTTTCTTTTAATCTCTCCCTGTCATTATTCTGATTATTATTTTTATAGGGGGGTTTCCGATTCTGGTTAAAAAATTATTCTGATTTTTATTCTGAATGTTCTGGTGATTTTTCCGATAATTATTCTGATTTTTCTGATTTTTGTTCTGATTTTTTCTGATTTTTATTCTAAACGTTCTGGTTTTTTCTGGTTTTTGTTCTGATTTTTATTCTAAACGTTCTGGTTTTTTCTGGTTTTTGTTCTGATTTTTATTCTGAGTGTTCTGATTTTTTATTTAATTTTATTTAATGTATTTTATGCTTTGGTTTCTGCTTTATCTTTTCTTTTAATCTCCCTCTGTGTCATTATTCTGATTATTATTTTTGTAGGGGTTTCCGATTCTGGTATAAAAAATTATTCTGATTTTTATTCTGAATGTTCTGGTGATTTTTCTGATAATTATTCTGATTTTTCTGATTTTTGTTCTGATTTTTTCTGATTTTATTCTGAATGTTCTGGTTTTTCTGATTTTCGTTCTGATTTTTTATTCTGAGTGTTCTAATTTTTTTATTTTTGTTCTGGTTTAATTCTTAATGTTCTGATTTTTATTCTGATTTTATTGCTTCTGATTATATTCTGTTTTATTTAAAAATTACCAAAGAAGTTCTTTATTCTAAAAAATCTCTTCTACCGCTCGAACTTGAACAATTAAACCCCCTTTCTTTTCTTAAAATATAAAAATTTTCCCACTACACCACGGAGGCATTTTTAAGTTTTGCTCTTTAATTAATTAAATTAAAGTGCAGACACGCGCCTTTTGGCTATCGAAAACACATTTTTGTAAAAGGGCAATATTTAAAAATATATTTTTTTGTATTTTTATTTTTCTAAAAATTGATTGCCATGGGATTTTATTTTAAAAATTTTATTTAAATTTTTGTCTTAATTTTTTAGAGTAGTGGGAAAGGTTTGGGGGTCACTTTAGTACGTGGGTCCCGGAGTTAATATACAAATGTTATACCATTCGAAAGAGCTCCTCGAGCTGAGTCGAATGACACCAGGTTTAGCCCGAGGAAAAATTTTTGGACCGAGATATAGGTCCCCGAAATTTGAAAAAGCATAGGGGGGACCAAGCACTTTTTTGGGGTGAAAAATTCGTAAATGCAAATGATAATTCATTCGAAAGAGCTCCTCGAGCTGAGTCGAATGACACCAAAATCACCGTGATTGAATAAGATTAGACAAAGTTACGATAGAAAAACTAAAACCTAAACCTATGGGGCGTCGGCGAGGCGCTTGTGCAAAACCCCGCGCTTCGCGCGGGGTTTTGCGGCACGCGCCTCGCGGGGAGTCTACGGGCGATGGGTCTGGGCTCGTAACATAAACCTATTCCTATCTCCCTTGCTCTCGACGTATTTGGGGCCTCCGTAGCAGCAAAAATCTCCGCAGATGCCATAGGTAAGGAGCTAAAATAAAAAATCATAACTTTGTCCAATCAAGTCGGATTTCGTTGATTTTGGTGTCATTCGACTCAGCTCGACGAGCTCTTTCGAATGAGCTATTATTTGCATTTTCGAAATTTTCACCCCAAAAAAGTGCTTGGTCCCCCCTATGGTTTTTCGATTTTCGCGGACCTATATCTCAGCCCCTTTATGAGTCCGCACGAAAATTTTTTCACCATTCGACTCAGCTCGATGAGCTCTTTCGAATGACATATAATTCGACCTATTTCGGAATTGTTCGTTTTCCGAAATTTTTCCGATTTTAGAAGGAATGAGTTGGGTCGATTTGATCGATTTTTTGATGTAGTGGGAATTTTAGTGTAGTGGGAAAAGTTTGGGTTACCCTCCCAAAGAGGTCGTGGGTTCGAGTCCGGTTGGGGGAAATATTTTTTATTTTTCATGTTTCGATCTTTTGGGTATTATTTGATTTTAGAAGGAATAATTTGGGTCGATTTGATCGATTTTTTGGATTTTTTTTGATTTTTTTAAAAGTTTTTTTGATTATTTTTTTGTTAAAATGAGAGAGCCTCTCCAAAGCAAAGTAATAATTTATTTTTATTTATTTTCTGCAAAAATTTCCCCATCTCCATATTTTTTTTCAAAAACTTCCCCATTTTCTGAATAAAAAATAAGCGGCAAAAAACTACAACGACGACACGGCGCGCTTTTTCTTTTTATCGATTTTTTTCTTCTTCAACCAAAAACGTCGGCGACAGCCTTCTGCTACACATACTTACTAATATTTTACTGGTCCATTTTTCCCTTCCTTTGTTTGTTGTGCTGCTCTTTTCTCTCAAAACTATACGGGCAAATACATTTTACTACTATTACTGCTTTACTATTATTATTTAGAAAAAGGGTATATCCAAAAGATCAACTCTAAAAAAATCAGCTTTGAAGGGCGTTGATCTTTTGGGTCACCTACCGATTTTAGATAAAATGACCAGTTGAGTCTGTGCTTTTCGTGAAATTTTTCAATTTGCCGCTTTTTTAAAGTCACATTAGTGTTACTTAGCCATTACATGCTTGTTTTGTTGTTGTGTAAATTTTGGTGTAGTGGGAAAGCTTTGGGGTACCCTCCCAAAGGGGTCGTAGGTTCGAGTCCGGTTGGAGGAAAATATTTTTTATTTTTCAAATTTTAAATTTATTGGTTTTTTGAAAATGTTACTTAGGCATTACATGCTTGTTTTGTTGTTGTGTAAATTTTGGTGTAGTGGGAAAGCTTTATGGTACCCTCCCAAAGGGGTCGTGGGTTCGAGTCCGGTTGGAGGAAAATATTTTTTATTTTCCAAAGTTTCGATCTTTTGGGTATTCCCTGTTTTTGGAAAGTAAGGTTGTGTCGATTCGATTGATTTTGCTCTACCTTTCAAATATTAATATGACGAGAAGGGAAGGTTTTCTCTCTCTATTTCTCCCCACAAATCGTCTGTCAACTTTCGCCTTACCCTTTCTCTCCCCCATATATTCCTTTTAAACAACAAAACAAATAAAAATATACCCACATTTTTCACAAACAACCAATCAACTCAAACATCCTTGAAGAGAAGAAAAAAAGAGACAAAAATTGATTTTTGTCTACTTGCTTCTACTCTAGCTATTCCGGCTCTTTCTTCCCCTCTTTTTTTGCTTTTCCCCTTTTTATAAAAAAAATTTTTTTTCCCAACCAATCCATTTTTTTTGCTAAAATGTAGAAATAAAAATATTGCTAAAAATGTGTTGTTTTTGTACTTTTTTAATTTTATACTTTATTCTAAAATTTGTAGGAAACTTTTAAAGTTAGACACGTTTTTGTGTGTTTTAGGGACGTGTTTTTTGTTGTTTTCTTCAGTTAAATTAAATTATCTACCCGGCAGAGTTTGTGAAAAGGTCAGGGAGTGTAGAAACAATATCTAGACTAGCTAGAATTTTTTGAAAAATTTTAGATTTTTCAACCAAAATTTTTTTTCAAGAATCGAAAAATTCTCTTTCTCTAACATTACTATTTCTTCAAGACTCTAATGTGCTCTTTTATGTTTCCCTTAACGTTTCCGGAATGTGTCTGTACAAAAGACCGTTGCTAAAAAGACCGGTATGGGCAAAAAAGACTGGTCTTTTAACCCTTTTTGCCCTTACCGGTCTTTTGTTGCACTGGTCTTTTGTACAGACACGTTTCCGGAAAAAGTTTCCAAAAAATTTGTTGAACTTTCTTCTGTCAAATTTCAAAGTGTTAAAAACTTTAAATTTTGTCAACTTCCCTTATTTTTTTTCAATTCCTCAAATTTTCAAAACGTCCATTTCCCCAAAATTTTGACATAATGTCACGCTTTATTTTTTCAGTGTTTTTAACAGAAAAACACATAAATTTTGTGTGTTTTGGTTTGGTTTAGTTGCTTCTTCTTTTTCGCCCAACTTTTATATTTTTGTTTGGGGAGTATAGAGAGAAGAGCAGTGTAAATGGACAGTAAACTTTCTTCTGTTTCTCTGTCTAACAACAACAATAAATTAAATAATAATAATAGTCAATTAAAACAACAAAATTTACAAAACGGGCATATTTCTCTTAGTTCTTTTGTTGAAAAAATAAATAATAATAATTTAATTGATACCTCATCTTCAGCAGTGTCAAATATTGAGAAAAAACCTATTAGATTAAATTCCCCAATAGGGGGGTCTGCAATCTCGTGGCATTGGAGTGAGAAGGAAAAGAACAATATTGGAATTGAAGTGGTGGATATTATTAGGTTTGTTTGGATTTTTTTAAATTTGTTTTAGGGGAAGTTTTAAAGTGGTTGGGGTGAGAAATCGATTTTTTGGGGAATTGGGATCAAATGTCCACTTTTGCTATTTTTGTGATTTCTTGAAAGTTTCCTTGTTTTTTGATGAATTGGGGTTCTGGACATATCTTCATTATTTTTTGGCTGGTTTTAACATTTTCTATTTGTTAAACGTGAACCTTAGGAGTTTTGGGATCAAATGTCCACTTTTGCTATTTTTCGCAATTTCTTGGGAGTTTCCTAGTGTTTTGAGGAAATGAGGTTCTAGACGTCTCTTCATTGTCCTATTGTCTGGTTTTGACATTTTCTAGCTATTAAACGTGAACCTTAGGAGTTTTGGGATCAAATGTCCTCTTGAGATTTTTTTGGTTTCTTTGGGAGTTTTTTAGTTTTTTTTGAGGATTAGAGGTTCTAGTCATCTCCTAACTATCCTCTTGTCTGTTTTTGATAGTTTCTATTTGTTAAACGTGAATCTGGGGGAGTTTTGGGACCAAATGTCCATTTTGTTATTTTTCTTGGTTTCTTTGGGAGTTTCTTAGTTTTTTGAAGGATGGAGTTTTTGGGAATCTCCTCATTCTCCTCTTGTCTGGTTTTGACATTTTCAATCTGTTAAACGTGAACCTTAGGAGTTTTGGGATCAAATGTCCATATTACCGTTTTTCTTGGTTTTGGGGAAAATTGAGAGTTTTTTGATCTAATAATGTATATTTTATTAAAATTAATATTTTTCAACTTAAGATTGGCACTTGTTCACTTTCCAGACTTGGCAACTCCACTCAAATCCAAACTGGAAAGCGTTGATGTTTTCAAGTAAATTTGGAGAAATTGAAATTAAAAAAATTTTTTTCTTCTAGTTATGATCAAGTCCGTTCTTTGGCCAAAAAGTTTAACAAAATAAGCAAAGAGACTGCCCTCACTGTAAATAAAAAATTTTTTTTGAAATCTTTAAAAAATTTTTTTTAGAGGAAGGAAAATTCTTCAAAATCCTCCCAAAATGCAAGCAAAGAATTACTTCACCAAATAATTACAAGATGTTATAACAAAGCTGTGGACAATGAAAAAGCTCTGAATAAACATTACGAAGCGTTTTCGTCTCAAACTTATGGGGAGACGTCGTATGAACGGATGCAAATGATTATTGAAGAGCTTAAGCCGTCGCAAGTTTGTTTTGTTGTTTTTATTGATTATATGGGGGATTTTATTTGTTTTGATGTTGTGATGTGTGGTGGTGTAATGGTTAAGGTTTTGGGTTCCCTTCTAGTAGGTCGTGGGTTCGAATCCTTTGGGTGACATTTGTTTTTGTTTTGTTAGAAAATAGTTTTTTGAGATATAGAAAATTTTTTAAAGTATTTTTGAAAATTTTTTAAAAATTTTTTTGGATGTTTTTTGCCTTTTTTGTTGTTTTTTTAACTAAATTCCTCAAATTTTTAGAAAGACGTGTTTGTCGATTTGGGCAGTGGAGTAGGTCAACTAGTTGTGCACATGGCTGGTGGAACCTTAACACATAGAGCGGTTGGAATAGAAATAGCTTCTTTACCATCAAAATTTGCAAAGAAATTGGAACACGAATTTAAAAAGTATTTTTTTTTAATTTTTGGGGGGTTAAAATTTTTTTTTGGGGGTTTTCAAAAATTTTTGAAATTTTTTTCAAGAATTTTAGGGGCCGGTTTTCAACTTTAACCCTTTTGTTTTCCTTTAGTTTAGTCTATTTTCAACCAATTTACTACAATTTTTAACCCAATTTTGTTTAGGTTAATGAACTGGTTTGGCCGTCCATTTCAACCTTTTGAATTACTCCATGGCGATTTTCTCAGCACAGAATATCGAAAACTTATAACCGAAGAAGCCTCAATCATTTTTATCAATAATTATGCTTTTCAATCAGATTTGGAAACGAGAATTAAAAGAGAATTGCTTTCTGATTTGAAGGATGGAACGAAAATTGTTTCTACTAAACCTTATGTGCCGTTAAATAAACAAGGAGCTATTACTGATAGACAATTAAATGGTTTGTATTTTTTTGAAATTTTTGGATTGGAAGGCGAAACGTCGATTTTTGGGTATTCCTTTTGTGCATCGTTTTCAATATTTTGGAGCGAAAATCGAAAATTTTTCACTGACCTTTAAAACTATTCACGAGTCACCATCTCCAAAAGGTGAATTTTAGGGGAAAGGATATTCAAGTTTAAAATCCAAATCTCTTAGTTGAAGGATAAATGTTTTGCTCTCCTTATTCCGTGCTTCTTTTGTTTTGCGGAAGAAAATATTGAAAATAAATGTTATGTAAGCACGGATTATGGGTTTAGGTTGACCACACAAATTTTGTATTTTAGGCAGTACCCAACCTGCCTAAAAAAATTTTCCCAATTTAATCTAATTGAAAAATAATCCTTTCATTTTTTAAAGATATTTCTGTCATCACCGAAGTTACAGAAATGAAGCCTTGTTTAAATCCATGTTCCTGGACCTCTGCTTATGTTCCATATTATTTACATACAATAAATAGAACAAAGGTTTTTTTTGAATTTTTAACAATTTTTATGAATTTTTTTCAAGTTGGAAAATTATTTTTTAAAATTGCGGAATTCTTCCCTCCGTGCCAAATCATCGGATACAGGCAGTCGACGCTCTTCTACACCCAATTCTTCTTCCAAAACGTCAACAAATTCGAGAGAATCAAGTATTTGTTGTGTTAGAGCGCCAAGTAGGGATAAATCGTCTGACAATAATTCTGCGGTTGGAGGAGGTGGACGGTTAAATAATAATGGAGGAGGAGAAAATGAACAGGATTATAGGTTTTTTTTTGTTAAAATGTTTTGGGGAATCCAAAGGTTTTTATCCAAAAGGTAGGGAGGGTTGTCGGTTAGGTTCCTCGGTTCCTGTTCAAGTATTTTAGTTAAAAGTCGGAAATAATTTTTTTTTGGATGCTGCATTGAATACCGGCAAGTTAGGTTTCTCGAATTTTAATTTTCTGTTTTCGTGTCTAGAGTTTCGTATAACTCGTGACATATCCTTGTTTTGAATATCCGAAGACTTTTCCGAGAACCAACAAAAAACCCTTTTACTTGAAGGTCCTCTTACCTGTCTACTTAAATAATTTTTTTTTAATTTTTCTTAAAAAATTTTTTAATTTAAAGTTTTGGCCCAACAACTCGACGTAAATGGACAGAATATGTAAATGAAATGGAACAACAAAAGAGGCGTCAAAGTAGTTGTAGTAGCAGTAATGGTGGGGGAGGTGAAAAAAAGGCTGCTGCTAAAGCTATTTTAAATATAAAAAATAAACAACAACAACAATTAAATAGTTTATCCTCATCTTCATCAACAACCTCAATTTCTAATAATAATATTCCAAAAATGTTAAAAATTGTTAAGAATTTTTCAAATGTCGGAGGGACTCAAATGTCCGAAAACGACAACAATAATAATTTGGGGGGAATTCCAAAACTTAGATTACAACAAACAACAACAATTAAAAAAGAAGAAGAAGAAAACATTGAAGGAAACATTGAACAAAACATTGAGGAACACGTCAATAAAAACATTGAACAAAACATCAATAAAAACATTGAGGAAAACATCAATAAAATAGAAACAACAACAACAACAAACATGTTTGTTGAAGAAGAAAAAATGGTTGTTGAGAATGTTTGTGATAATACTTATGTTGTGGAAGAAGAAACAACAAAAACAACAACAACGCCTAAAACAATAAATGTTGAAACAATTTCAGAAGAAAATAAAAACATTGAAAATAAAAATGTTAATGAACAACAACTTATTATTTCACCACGTTTTGGTAGATTTTAATTGATAAATTATTATGTTTTTGTTAAATCAGAATAAAATTTGAACATAAGTTAGAGGGTAGAGAATAGATGGGATAAATTGTGTAATTTTGAAAAAAAATCAGAATTAAATTTGAACATGCTAACATAATTAAAATATATTTAATCAGAATATCTAAGAAACATTAATGTTTTTACAAATCAGAATTTTATAAAAACATTTTTTTTAGAATCAGAATAAAATAAAAACATAGTAAAATAATTATAATCAGAATTTGTTAAAAACATTTTTTCATAAATCAGAATTTAATAAAAACATGTCATAGATTATAATCAGAATTTTTTAAAAACATTTATAAGAAAATTATAAATCAGAATTTTGTAAAAACATTTCTCTCTAAAATCAGAATAAAACAAAAACATGATAAAAATACATGACATTTGAGTACCGTTGTAAAATTAAAAAAACATATATTTTGTAGAGCCAATTTCTCCTGATAAAATATCAACACCTACAAATAATATTTCTAATATTTCAATTAAACAAAAAACAACAGGAAAACGAAGTTATGAACGTAAAGAAAGAATAAATTCATTTGCTACAACAACAAAAGCAAGTAGAGGACGACCACGAAAATCTGCTGATTCATCAAATATACATCATCATAGCAGCCCTAAAGTTCCACGTTTTTCTGAAGATGCACGTGATGGAATGGAATTAATGCATCAAATGACTTGTGCTATTCAAATGGTGAGATTTTTCTAAATGATTTTTGACTTTTTTTTTTGCGATTTTTCGTTTTTCTAACCGTGACTCCAAGGAGAAAAATTGAAAAAAAATTTTTTTTCTAGGGCAAACCAATGGACGCTGCCTCTATACTAGCCGATTTGGCAAATCAAAAGGCCAATCGACAACTACACGAACACCAACAACAAACACAAAACATTGACGAACAACAACAACATAATTCTTGTTTAAACAAAGATACACCAAAAACAACAACAACTCACCATTCAAAACATTTAAAAACATTTAATAATAATAATTGTTTGTTTCCGTTCCCCCAACTTGATAAAACATCAACAACAACAACAAATATTAATGTTTGCAAAACATCAATAAAACAACAACAAAAACATCAGAACAATGAAAATTCCAACAACAATTGTTCTTCTAAATATCCTGAACTTAACAATTTTTTGGGTAGGGAATAAAAAATTTTTTTTTGAAATTTTTTTAAAAATTTTTTGATGGACATTAGAGTCTTGTTTAAAATTTTATTTTGACAATTTAAAAATTTATCTGTAAAAATAAAATTTTTTTAAAAATTTTTCCAGACACCATTAAAAACGCTTATGAAAATTTCTTTGACGAATTTCATTCAAAACATTCAAACAAAAACATTGTTGTAAAGGAAGAAGATAAAGAACATCAACTACAACATCTTCCTGAACAACAACAACAAAATGTTTCAACAAATAATTTTACAAATTTTGAACAATTTCGGTCAATATTAGACTCTACTCCTTTAAAAAATTTAGAGTGTGAAGAAATGGAGGAAGATGAAGAAGAAAGTGGAAGAAGAAGAGTTTCCAGTATGGGGGAAGAAAATTTGACATTTTACTCTGCGGAGAGTCGTAAGCGCTTTTTAAGTACTAGTGGAACAAGTGAAACAAACAACAATGTTTTTTTTAATAATAAAACACCTGTCAGAACAACAACAACGACAATGTTGCAAAAGAAAATAAATAATTTACAACAAACACCTAAAACAACAACAACAACAACAAACTTTAGTTTTAATAAACTACAAACAGAAAAACATTGTTCACAACAACAAAAACAATCACGTTTGTTGGAATTGCAAAAGCGTGTTGTGGATAGGCGCAAATGGTGTGTTTTGAAAAATGTTTTTATTAAGAAAAAATCAGAATAAATATAGAACATCTATAAAAACATTTATAAAAACATCAAACAAATAAAATAACATGTTTAATAAAAACTAGATGTTTTGGTTGATGTTTTATAAAAATCAGAATAAAATTAAAACATTGTTTTAGTAAAAACAAAGTTTTTGTAGGGACAAAAATCAGAACAAAAATAAAACATTTATAAAAACATCAAACAAATAAAATAATTGTTTTGTTTGGAGTGTTTTTATAAAAATCAGAATAAAATTAAAACAAATTTTGTTGTGATATATCATGTTTTATTAAAACATGGATGTTTTTGCTAGTATTTTTATTTAGTGTACATTAGAGTCTTAAATATAAAATTTCAAAAAATTTTATAAAAAAATTTTTTGAATTTTTAAAATTTCTTAAAATTTTTAAAAATTTTTTTGAAAATTTCTTTTTTAAGGTTATTAAATGCTTGGTCAGAATTTCAAAGAGAAATGCAATTATTTAATACAGACATGGATTGTCTAATTAATGAATGTTCACAACAACAACAAAAACAAGAAGAGGAAGATTCAAACACTCAACAACAACAACAACAACAACAAAATCAGAATTTCCAATTACAACAACAACTCGCTCTTCAATTAATTACCCAACAACAAACACAACATAAATTAATTGAAGCAGCCCAAGCCCAATTAGCTATTCAAGTACAACAAGCACAACAAGCAAATGCTGTCGCGGTTGTTGCTAGTGCTTTAAATAATAATTCGAGTCCAACAAATAATAATAATATTGGTATTGGGCAGCAACAACAGCAAACATCGGCGACGTCTTCAAATGCTGTTAATCAAGTAAGGGGCAAATAAAAATTAAAAATTATTTTTTTTAGGAAAAAAATCATAAAAAATTTTTTTTAATTTCCATTTCTTTTAGTCTTCTTTAATTTTTTCTCTAAAAATAAAATTATTTCCTCATAGGGTTTTTCACCTTTCACCTTTTGCCTTTTTTGTCTATTTTTTTTGTTTGCTTAAAGATTTGATTGAGATGAGATGTTTCATAGAATTTATCAAAACCATGATTTTTGGTTACTAAAGCCCAGTTTCTTGACTGTAGTAACTGGATTGTATGGGAAAATTCGAATATGTGGAGATTTTTTTTCTAGGATTTACCTTTAAAGTTTGTCTGTTAGTTGGAAATCTTTGGATATCAAATTGGTCTTTCGGATCCGGATCCGACAACCTTATTCACCACCCTAACTCTGAAAAGATTTTTTCAATTTACAAAAATTAATTTTATTTTTAAAAATTTTTTAAAGGTATCAACAGTCACTAACCAACTAGATTTATTAATTAATGAGATGCGTGAACGTTATTCTCAACAATTAACAGCACAACATTTATTAAGCCAAATAACCCAATTTGGTTTATTAAATACTATAGCTCCACAAGAAATTGCTGCATTACAGTCGATTGCCTCTGGGGCAGCTTTAAATAATGTTGTTCATCAATTAAGTCCTATAGCTGCGGCTGCTGTTGTTTTACAGCAACAACAACAACAAATGAGTCCTGTGGTGAGTTTTTTTAATTTTAGATTACTAAAATTATTTTTATTTTAAAAATCAATGAAAGCTAAAGCTTGAAAATTTTGAAAAAAAAAATGAAAGCAGGAAAAGCTTAGAATAAAAGTGAAATTTAAGTTTTTGAGCTCAATTTTTGTGGTGGCATTAAACTAGGATAGCACCCCGAAACCCCGACCAGACTTTGAAGGCTCTACCCTGGCAGACTCCGATCCATCCCGCCCCTGAAGGCTCGGGGTGCTACCTACATTAAACTATGTAGAATGGGATATCTAGTCCGATGAGTGTTCTCCCATCCTTATTCCAAGCTCTAATTTAGTTTTAGCTTCCTAAGAGGTTTTTTGGGGAGGAAATTCGAGAGGAAATTCACCCAATAAAAAATGAATTTATTTTTATTTTACTTTAAAGTTATCTTCCTCAATTCCTCAATGCCCTCCATCATCATCATTAATTAATCAACAACAGCAACAACAAACAACCTCTAGCCCTTTAAATTGTTTAATTCCACAAAATGTAACAGCCCCTTTTGTTCAAAATTTTTTGGCAACTTTGGACAATTTGGCAACAACAGAAAATAATAATATTAATAATATACCTTCATCCTCTTCTATAGTAATTAATGGGGATTGTAGTGGTAGTATTGGTGGTGGAGGAGGTCTTGGTGGGGGAGGATTAAATTTAAGTGCTTCTCTTTCAAATATTTCTGGTGGTGATAATAATTCGGCTAATAATTCTAGCAATATTTCTGTTTGTTTTTTATAGTTTTTTTTATTAAGAAAAATTTTTTTGAAGATTTTTAGTGGATTTAGGGGTCTAATTAGTGAAAAACAATATTTCCCCCTTTTTCCCTTTTATATTTAGCAATTTAATTGAAAGGATTATTTAAGTTGGTTGGTAGTCTAGTTGGTAACGTCTTTGCCTTTGGGTGAGATGGTTTCGGGTTCGATTCCTTTTGGGTGTATTTGACTTTTTATCGGTCTATTTTGTCTCCTATTTGATTTTAAAATTTTTTAAAAATATTTTTATGCTCCTAAAATTTTTTAAAAATTTTAAATTTATATATTTTAATTTTTTAAAACAGTTAAATTCCTCATTAAATACTTCAACAAATTCTCAACGACAACAAAGACATTCAATAGGAAATTCTGCATCATTACAACAAATTAGCCAAAATTTTGTTTGCCAATCACAACAAAATAAAAAATCAGCTATAACAACAGTACAACAACATATATCTAGAGAATCTACTGTTGCTGAGGTAATTTTTTTAAATTTTTTTTAAAAAATTTTTTTTTGAAATTTGTATTGGCGAAGGTAGTAGTTACCCTATTATGTATATGGTCTTTTTCTTTTGTTTATTTTTTTAATTCGAAAAATATTTTTTAATTTATTTTTGGGTATTTTTTTGTATTTTTTTGTATTATTTTTAAAAATAATTTTTCGACTCGGTCATCAAAAAAAAATTTTTTTTCTTACTTTTTTTGTCATGGTTTAGGTAGTTGTGTTTAACTTGTTAATTTTTTTGAAATTTTTTTGCAGTTATTTTTAATCAAAAAAAAATTTAAAAAATAGATTAAAATGACTTCAATTAATTTAAAATTACTTCCAAAAAAATTAATTTTTTTAATTTTTAATTAAAAAAAATTTTTTTTCTTTAAAAAAAGGTTGTTGCTGAAGTCGCAGCATTACCATCAACAAGTCCAAGAAAACCATTTAAACCTAGACCTACAAGAAATTTAAATAATAATGGAAATAATAGTGGTGGTGGAGGTGGAGGAAATTTAAATAAAAGAAGTAATTCACATTCAAATAAACATTTACAACAACAACAAGTTGAAGATCCTAAAAAACAAGAAGAAATTGAAAGACAAATTCAGGTAGAAAAAAAATTTTTTTTTGAGAAAAAAAAATTTTTTTGGGAGAGGAAAAATTTTTTAATTAAAATTTTGGATAGAAAATGTAAAAAAAAGGAAGGAAGATGGAGGGAAGATCCTTCTTACTAGAGCTTTAGGTTTCATAAAAAGAGAGTAGGTGAAAGGTGCGCCCCTGTAGCTCGATCAAACAAATCGGTCAAGCATTACTTGAGCTATTTTTATTTTCGTGAGTTCCTTCTGATACTAGAGTTTAAGATTAATAAAAAAAGAGGGAAGGGAAATTGGGAGCGCCTTGGGTAGCCCATTTGGTTGAGCAGCTGTTGTACTTGAGCTGTTTCGAAATTTTCTATTTTTGAGAGAATTTTTCTTTCAATTTTTTTTTTGAATTTTTTTTCGAAACAGCTCTAACCTATACTTGGTCTTACTAAAATATATATTTTTTATTTTAATTAAAAAAGATTTGTTTAATTAGTTAAAGGATAAAATTGATGAAAATAATAATAAATTAAATAATTTAATAAAAAGAGATTTAATATTAAAATTAATTTCGCCTAGAAAGAAAAAATAATTCGTAAACTAATACGTAGTTAAAAAATTAAATAAAAATAGGGATAGATGACGAGAAAATTTTTTAAAATTAAAATTAGATGATTTTATAAGCAAAAAAAATATATAAAAATATTTAATAAATAATAAATAAAATTTAAAAAATTTTTTGAAGAAAATTACTTAAAAATTGGTTTGAATTTTAAAAATATTTTAATTTTAAAAATTTTGAATAAAAAAATTTTTAATTAAAAATTTTTTTATTTTTTAGGATATAGTTGCAAAAGCATTAGAAGTTGACTCTGCTGCAAAATTAGCAGAAAAGGATAGAAAAGCGCGTGTTGGGGAGAAAAGAAATAGTACAAAAGAATCACAGCAACAACAGAAAAGTTTGTACTCTATTCCAACAACATCAACAACTTCTATACTTGATAATGTTGGAAAGTTTGCTTCTCTTTCATCAACAAATTCAAGACAACAACAACAAAACATTGATTTCCAAGTAGTTTTTTTTAATGTTTTTGGGTGTTCTTGTTGATGTTTTTATCTGATGTTTTTCTATGTTTTTGTCGATGTTTTGTAGATGTTTTTAGGAATATTTTTAGATGTTTTTGTTGATGTTTGTGTGTGTTTTTATGGGTATTCTTATATCATTTTTCAATGTTTTTATTGATGTTTTGTAATTGTTTTTATTGATATTTTTTGAATGTTTTTGTTGATGTTTATGTAGATGTTGTTTTCTGGATGTTTGCTTAATGTTTTTATGAGTTGTCGATGTGTGAATATTTTTGAATGTTTTTGTAAATGTTTCATAGTTGTTTGCTTAATGTTTTGTGTGCCAATGTTTTTGTTATATGTTTGTTTGGAAACATTTTTATTGAAGGGGACATTAGAGTCTTGTTATTTTTTAAAATTAATTTTTTTTCAATTAAAAGGTGAAAACTGATAATGTAATTATGCAAAATTTCCTCTCTGCTGCTGTTGCTGCCTCACAACAACAACAACAAACAATTGGTATTAATTCAAATAACAATACGAACAATAATCCACCAGATACTCCAACAAATTTTGATGGAAGGAAATCAACACCTTTAAATGAACATCATTTTCGTACTTTAGGGACAACATCATTGTTAACAACAAAACTTGAAAATGTTGTTAGTCCAACTTTACAACAACAGCAACAACAACATTTAAATTTTAATTTTACGCCTTCTTCTGTTTCTTTAGCTATACAGCAACAAGGTATTCCAACATCTATGTCTGTTGCAAACAATGTTTTTGTTGATGTTTCTTCTTCGTCTTCTGCTTCTTTTGTAAACAGTAGCAATGTTTCCAACAATGTTTCTACGAACATGTTTGGAGAAAATATCGATAAAAACAAACAAAACAATCAAAACAACAACAATGTTTCTACAAACATTTCGACAAACATTTCAACAAACATGCCCACAAACATTTATGGGGGCAACAACAACAACAAAAACATCAATAAAAACATTGTTGTTAATAAAAACATTTCCAACTTTTTTTCTTCTGATGTTTTGAACAACAACAACAACAATTCTTCTTTTTCATCAAAACATCAACAAAAACAACAACAAACATCAACAACAACATTATCAACATCTCCCCCATTTATTTCTTTAAATTTGCCTCCAAACACTTGTTGTAATCCTCCACCAACAAATGTTGTTGTAAAAGTTGAGAGTAAACAACCTTTAATACAACAAAAACAACAACAAACACAACAACAACAACGTCAATAGAGAAATCCCAGTTTATTTAAAATATATATTTTATTTTTAAATTTAAAATACTTATATATTTTTATATCCCTCGTTTCTTTCAATTTTTATTTCTGGTTTTTTTTTTAAAGTTTTGGTATTATTTTCTGGTGTTTTTAACTCCTCTCCACAACGATCATTTTTAATTTTATTTTTTCTAATTTTATTTTTAAGAGATTCTTTTAATTTTTAATTTTAATCTTTAATTTTAATCTTTAATTTCAATGATATTTGGGCTAATTTTTTAAATTTATTATCTTTACAAAAAAATTTTTTTAAACCAAAATCTCTCTATTTTTGTGGGAATTTTTCAAAAATTCAAAAAAGGTCTAAATAAAATTTTTTTAAATTTTATTTTAAATATCCAATCAATTTTTATTTTATATATCCGTTCCTCTACATACCTCTTTTTTCGTTTTTTTCTATTTAATAATGATGTATGTTGCAGCTTAAATATATGCTGTTTAAAATTAGTAAAGAAATTAATTTAGAAAAAAATAGTATAGGAAACAAGGAGGTTTTTTCCGGAAAAACATTTCCGGTATGTTTTTCTGGTCAGAGAAAATGTTTGTTCAAAACAAACATGTTTTCTGTTCAAAACAAACATGTTTTCTCTCACTGGGAGTGTTAGAGTCTGAGTATATTCTTTTAAAAACTTTCCGGAAAAACATTGTTTTTGTTGTTTGATGTTTCTGGTTAGAGAAAATGTTGTTTGTTTTGTTTGTTCAAAACAAACATGTTTTCTGTTCAAAACAAACATGTTTTCTCTCACTGGGAGTGTTAGAGCTGAGTATATTCTTTTAAAAACTTTCCGGAAAAACATTGTTTTTGTTGTTTGATGTTTTGGTTAGAGAAAATGTTTGTTTGGTTTGTTTGTTCAAAACAAACATGTTTTCTCTCACTGGGAGTGTTAGAATCTGGAGTATAATCTATTAAAAACATTTCCGGAAAAACATTCCGGAAATGTGTTTAAATGTTTTTCTCTAATTTTATACAGTCTATGTGTTGTTTATACGTTCTCTACGAATACTGACTTTCTATGTTTTCTCTTCCTCATGTAATTTTTTAATTTTATTTTTCTCTCGCCTCTATATAATTTTATATATTCCATTTGAGTAACAAAAACAAAACAAAAATATAATCACTGCCGATTAATTTTTTTAAAATGATACTGTCTATATTTTAAATATATTTTATGATAAAAATGATGTTTTTTAGAGATTTTTTTTGTTATTTATGGGTTTGAGTCCTTCAGAAATTTTTATATAGAATTTTAGATTGAAATTTTCAAGCAGATTTTTTGAAGATTTTTTGACTTAGACATGTCCATTTTTAAAAATTTTTTCTCCTCTACAAGTGACGATCCACAAGGAGAATCTACAAATGCGGAGATTGTTGACAGATTAGTGGAACGATTGGAAAGTGCGAGCAATTTGGACGATAGGCGTGATGCTTTGAGGGCGCTGCGTTCGTTAGCAAGGGTTTGTTTAAAAAAATTTTATTTTTTAAGTTTGGGTGGGGATTGCTGGTTTTTTTTTGAAGATCCGGGTCTTTATTACATCTTTTCGATAAGATCCTCGGGTAATAGTTCAGTTCGTACCCCGCACTCTTTTTTCCTTTCTAAAAGTGTTGAAAAATGGTCAGCCAGTCTTAGAAATAGAACTTGTCTAACTGTGTCGAATGACACAAAAATCAACCCCCGGTCTTAATATTGGGCCGAGATAAGACACTCGGAAGGTGAAAAATAAAATGGTGAAACCAAGCAAATTCGATTGGTAGTCGTGAGACGCGTTTGCAAAACCATTCTTTTGCGCAGGCTTTTTGTCTGTATTTCGGCTCAAAGTTAAGACCATTGGTTGATTTTTGTGTCATTCGACACAGCTCGACGAGTTCTATTCCTAAGACTGTCTGACCATTTTTAATACTTTTAAAAGGAAAAAAGAGTGCGGGGTACGAACCGAACTATTACCGATCCTCGCACCTTACACTTAAGTCCCAGACTCTGGGTTAGTTCATCTTGGTCTGTATCTGAGGGTTCCAGACCACACCCTAGGTTAGTTGTCTAACACGATTTGGACCTGAAATTCAGCTGTTCAGCTACCTGACTGTTCTCTAATTTCATTATATCTTGTTATTTAGAATCTTCGTATGCATGTTGCCACACGTGGGATGGATGCCTTTATGGAAGTTCTCGAAAAGAATGCTTCCTTAACTGATTTGGTTTCTCTTACCCTCGATATTTTGGATTGTACTTTAACGGAAGCTGGGGGAGATGATGATGATCCTCAACAAATTTCTGCAGATGATGAAATTGGGGACAGACTTGCTGAATTGATGTTACAAAGGGCTAATTTTATGGCTTCTTTAGTTAAACTTTTGGCTTGTAATGATTTTGCTGTTAGGAGGTTTGTGAAAAGCTTTTTTTTTTCAATTTTTGGGGTACTTGTAGGTTTTATGATCCTCAACAAATTGGGACAGTTTTTATGGTCACATTTTTGGACAAGTAAAAGTATAAAAAATATACTTTCCACAATAGTAAGCTGCCTGGTATTAGTTTATAGGAGGGAGGCTTTTGGGCTTTTGAGTGACAGAAAACCCAAAAAAGGTGTCTGAAGGTTTGAGAACGCAAAAAAAGTCCGCAAGAATTCCGGACTCTAAGAGTCCCGTAAAAATTTACAGACTCACAAAGGCTGTCCGCAAATATTTCTTTCTAGAATCAAAAAAAGGAGTCCGCAAAAACGTGGCTAATCGCCAATATTTTTTCAACTTCAAAAATTAACTAAAAATATTTTTTAGGAACACAATCAAACTGCTTACATCTCTCCTCCGGCATCGTCCAACTTCAGTACAACAAGCTATAATCAGTCAACGTGGTGTTTCTAATATTGTTGATTTATTGAATGACAAGGTTTATTTGACTAATTTTTTGCTTTGAATTTTTCCTTTTTTAGAGGGAAGTAATTCGCAACAATGTTGTTTTGATGCTTAGCGAGTTAAGCCGTGGAAATTCCCAAATTCAACAATTACTTTATTTTGAAAATGCTTTTCAACTTCTTTTTGAGGTTATTTCACAGGAACCTTTAGAAAGTTTGTTTGAATTTTTTTGAAAATTTTTTTGTAATTTTTTTTGGATTTTAAGGCATTGTAATTGAAGATTGCCTTTTTGTAATGCTCAATTTGTTGAGGAAAAATGCTAGTAATCAAGTTGGGTTTCGTGAAGCAAAGTTTGTTGCTTTTATTTTATTTTTTGTGGGGGGTAGGAAGAAGAAAAGCTTTGGGGTTCCCTTAAATTTTTTGTCCGCAAGTTTTTTGCGGACAAAATTTTTGTCCGCAAAAAAGTTGCGGACAAAATTATTTATCCGCAACTTTAATCCGCAAAATTTTTTTAAAGTTTATCAAAACAATTAACTCAATTGGCCAATATTTTTATCTATCCATCCGAAGAAGAACAACAATTTCAACAACAATTAGGTTCAATGCCCGATGATGAATGGAGTGCTCAAAAAATTGCAAACTTTATTCTTATTTTACAAATTGTTCGTGCCCTTTGTTCGCCTATTGATAATATACACAAAACTACACATTCTGCACAACAAGCTTTATTAAAATCAGGTTTCTTGACAAATTTAATTTTATAAAAAAATTTTTTGTCCGCAAAAAATTTGCGGACAATTTTTGCGGACTCACGTTTTTTCGGTCATTATTTGAGTTTTTTGCCTTTCAATTACTAATAGAAGGAGAAGAGAGATTTGTCTATCACTTGATTAGAATACCAGAGAAAATATAATTGTAATTTGAAAATGTCCGCAAAAAGTGTCCGCAATTTTTTGCGGACACATTTAATCTTCCAAAATTTTGCAGGAATGTTAGATTTGCTCTGTAAAGTATTGCTTTCACAATTGGGTATTTCCGTCGATGTTTTGGCAGAATCTGTTGTTACCGTTGCAGAAATTATACGTTCAAACTACGCCAATCAAGAATTTTTTGCTTGTTCAACAGTTACTGATCAGGATGGCGTCAGGTTTTCTTCCCCTTTAAAAATTCCTAAAAATTCGATTTTTTTAAGACCAGCACTGCTCATTCTCCTCCTTTCAATGACTTCAGAAAAACAACCTTTTAGACTTCGCTTGGCCGTTTTTTATTGTTTTTTGTGTTATTTACATGGAAATGAAAATGGGAAAATTCGCATAATAAATACTTTGCTTCCTCAAAAAGAGGTGGCTACAAATGAGCAGCAACAAACAGAGGATGAAGCTCAAGTTTTAATAGGACATTATTTGTGTGCGGCGTTAGTTAATCATGAACCTGTACAGGTTTGGTGAGTAAATATATTTTTTTTGAAAATCCGCAAAAAAAAATCCGCAAGAATTTGTCCGCAAATTTTTTGATCTATTTTTTAATCCTAGGGGAGTTTTTGAAAGATTCTGGAGTTTGGACAAATTTTCAAATCCACAGGGAAGATCTTATAAGCTCGAAAATAGGTCTTTTCTAGTTTAGGTAAGACCCAAGCTTTATGGGAGAAAGTCTGCAAGAATGTGTTCGCAAAATATTTGTCCTTTCACTTTCTGGTGATTCAATTTTTTAAAATCCGGGTCCAAACTAATTTTACAACCTAGATATGATCCTGTCTTTGTAGTTTAGGAAAGACGTGGGAAATTTAAAAAATGCCTGGCTTTTGTATAGCTGGTCCTAGGCTTTCTTCCTGCTAAATCTATTCACTCATCATTTTTTTATTTTTCTAAAGGTTTGCCTCAGTCATTCTCGTTCACGCTTTGCATGATGCAGATCATTTAAAACCCCAACTTTTGCGTGTCCAACTTTCCACTTCAACAAATAAAGAGCCCCAATTGTTACTTTCACATTTAACTCGAATGCTTTGTACTTGTGGTCCAAGAAAGTTACAAATTCGTTGTGGGCTTTTAATGTTATTTTCGACTTGGTTTTATAATTGTACGGCTGCTATTGACCATTTTATGAAAAATGATGAGAATATCAATTTTTTGATAAGTCAACTAGGTTTGTTTAGAAATTTTTTTTGATTTTTTGGAAGGACAATAAATTTGTGGACGATATTTGCGGCATGCACTATTTCTTTGCAATTGTGGTCCAAAACAAATTTAAATTGTTGTTATTAGATACGGAGAATGCCGTAGTGCCAAAAATTCAACAGCTAATCCTCCCTCCTCTCAAAAATCGTAAAAATGCCAAACATAAGGGTCATAATGGTTTTTGACCATTTCGAGCCCTCATCTCGGTCCAGAGACAGTTCCGGGAAAAAAGAGTAGTACCGTTCAACTCAGCACCTTTTATTACCCTACATATGACATTTTAAGCATTAATTTAGGGGGAGATGGCATAACGGAAAATTACCCCTAAATGTTAAAAAACGTACCCCTAACGGCATTTTGGATTTACGGGTATACCTGTCAGATATGTTCATTGCCTACAAAGGCTGTGTGTCTTCATATAATACAGGCTTCAATTTTGTCCGCAAAAAAACTTGTCCGCAAAATTTTTTTATCAAAAAATTTTATTTTTTCAAGTTGATCAAAACACAGAAATAACAGAAACCGAAAATCAATTTATAAAAGGATTGGTAGCATTTTTAATTGGTATATGTCTTCATTCGTGGGAACTAGCTGAAGATAAAACTGAAAAAGTGTAAGGGAAGAGAGAATTTTTTAAATTTTTTTCCAAAATTTTTTTTCAGTTCCAATTTCATCCAATTATTAGAACGTCGTCAAATTGGTCGTGAACGAATTGCTGAATATTTGGAGGGTGTTGCCAAATCTGAATTTTATATTAGAGCAGCACAAAGACCCCAACCTTTGGCTAAAAATCCTTCAGATTTGTTGGTGGATTATCAATTTACAAAATTCTTTAAAGGAATTGAAAGTTTGTTTTTGTTTTTTTAAATTTTTGAATTTTTAAGTAGGGTGGGACTTCCTTTCCTTTAAGCTTGCAGAAAATGTAAGAGAATGTACTAGTGAAATTTTTTGGTAAAATTAGAGTAAAAGGGGATCCAACAAAAAATTTTTCAAAAGAGTCAGGAATTGAACTCATGATTCTTCCTTCTCTTTCATAGTTTTTTAAGTTTACTCATAAGGGAACATTCTGAATTGTATGTGAAAATTTTTTATTTATTTTTGTACCATCGTGTAGAGAATGGTCGAGAATCTATTGCCAATTTTTGGCTTTTTTTAGTCTGACCCCCCCCCCCCCTCCCCAAATACGAAAGTTATAGCTTATCTAGGCTTCAGTATTTTATAGAGGATGATGCAAAAATAAATATAAAATTTTCATACAGTTTGTAATGTTCCCTTGTTAACATAAAACTTAACTGACTTTCGGACAAAGAAATATTTGCGGACAATAAACTTGCGGACATTTGGGATCATAAAAGAAAATGTTAAAAAAAATTTTTTAAATTAAGATAATTTGTTAAAAATGTTATGCCCAAATGGAGAATTTCCTTCTACTGCAAATGCTCAATGGGAAACTGCGTTAGCCCCCTACAAAAAAATTATAATGAAACAGGATGAAAAAATTGCTGAACTTGTTAGAAAGCTTGACGAAATGAAAACTTGTACTAATACTGTTTCGACGACTACAGCTACAACGGTTGAAGTTAATAATCAGCAACAGCAAATAATCCATCAGAATGGGGTAAATATGGTTGATTTTTATAATTTTTTGTGTTAGTAAAATCCATTTCATCGCAGTCTCGAGGCCATTTTTGGGCCATAACTTTTTTGAGTTGTGAGCGATTTAAACAGTTCTATACTACAAAGGGTTATAGCTGTATAGAGATAAAAATTTTTTATTGCGCGCACTTATCAGTTCATGACTATTTAACGGGTGATCGGATTTTATTAGTCCTTTTGGGAAAATAATTGAGAAGAGTGAGGTGGGGGACATTCAGGGCTTTCGATTATTGTAGTAATCATTAGGAAAGATAAATTTCAAGAGAGTTATAGATAAAAAATTGTTGAATTTTTTTTTTTGTCCGCAAAAAATGTCCGCAAAAATTAAAAAAATTTTTCAAGTATTCAAATGGCAATTCAATTCCAAATGGTTTTGATGTCAATGCTTGTTTAAATCCTCCAAATATTGAAGAATTTACTCAACAAATTGAACAATTAAAAAATGAATTGGCTAAAAAATCTGCTCTATGTGAACAACGTGCGGATGCTGAAATGAAATTGCAACAACTTACAATGTTTTTTTTTGAAATTTAAAAAGGAAGGAGAATAATATTTTTGTTTTTTAGTGTCACACGACAATGGCAAGCTGAAGCAGAGAAATATAAACAATGGGCATTGCAATGGCAATCGTTTCAGTTGGCACAGGTTTTTTGTTTTTGTTGTATAAAATGTTGGGGAACTTAGGTCTTACATATACCTACTTCCATAATGTGGATAACCATAATATGCACGAACATTACGTTTATTGTCCATTACTGACCACTTTTCCCAGTAATGTTTTCTGATTTATTCATGTTTTTTGATTGCCTGTCGGGTGTCAGCATCGTTCAATAAATTCAATGTTCGTGCATGTTTTGATTTCTTCAGCATTTTAAAATTCTGAAGAGCTTATTTCTGTTGTAACACTTTATGTTTGGATTTTCTTGAAATTTGTTTTGGGTCTCGGTACATTTTTGGTGTTCGAGACTTAAAGCTTCTCTGAATCTAGGATTGTTAGTAACTCTGTTTATTTAATTTGGAATACCTTAAGGAATTGTCCAATTAACCTATGTCCATACGTTTCGAACCCTTTTAAATGTTGCGGAATCCCAGTCAAATTTTTAAGGTTCAGGAAGGTCCTTCATGAGACTTAATGTCTTTAAAAACCTGCAAAATTAATTTCTAAGTAATTTTTATTTTTCAAGTTTGAAAATCCATCAGAACCGGCTATTCAACAATTAAAACAACAACAAACCGAATTAGAACAACAAATCCAATTTGGATGGCAAGCATTTGAACAACAAAGTCAGCAACTTACAGAGTTGGTTAAACAAAACGAAAATATTTTGGGTAGATCACAAGAACTGGAACAAAGGTTAAATGACTCTGAAAATCAATTGCAAAATTTGAGGGAACAATATGCTAATTTAAAACAACAAAAGGTTTTTTTTGTTATTTTTTGAATTGGGGGTTTCCTTGGGGGAAAGGGGGTTTCTCCCTTATTCTCCCTTAATTATTTCTTTATTCCGTTGACCATATAGTCGAATTTAACTTTATTTCGGTTAAGAGCGTCGGTGGCGTGATGGTTAGCGTCTTTGACTATACCACTAGACAATGGGGGTTCGAGTCCATTTGGCGCCTAACACTTTTCTTTTTCCTATTTTTTCAAATTTTTCCATTTTGACATTTTTTTAATTTTTTAAAATTTAAAAAAATTATTTTTCGAGTTTTTACCCTCCCAAAAAATATTTTTTTTTACAATGTAAAAATTTAGGCTCAAAAATATTATTTTTCCCTTCAGATATCTTCCCCTCCGCCGGACGAAACTTCTTCGGAAGAATTGGCTCTATTGAAAAAAGAACACGAGGATTTACTTTTATTGTTGGCGGAACAAGATAAGAAAATGCACAGTTATAGACGTATGTTAGCCAGTCATGGTGAGGTGCTAAGCGATGCTGATGAAGAGCCTTGAACCAAAAATGACGTTTTTTTTTGTTTTTTTAAAGATTTTTTATAATCTAAATAGTATTTATTAAATTAATGACGTTAATAATATATGACATATCGTTTCTGTTAGCAAATTTCCATGAGTTGTGATTTTACTATAAATTAGATTATTGATTTTTAGTGTTGATTTTGATGATGGTGATCTTATGGGTTTAATATATAAAAATTTAATATTTTTCAGAAAATCAATAAATCATTAGTATTGATTTTCTGAAAATAAAGAATTTTTAAAAAAATCTAAAAAATCAATATATCGATTAGTATTGATTTTATCGATTTTTTGAAAATTAAAAATTTTTAAAAAATAAATTATCGATTAGTATTGATTTTATCGATTGATATCGATTTATTGATTTTTACTCAAACAACCCCTTTTTTCCACAAACCAATTTTATATAATTTTAATTTAAATACAAAGAGTTAACAAACATATGAATATTAAAAAACCGGGAAATAAAAATAAATTAATGCACAACACCCAAAAGATCAACAAACAGAAGATCAAAAAAAAAGTTAGTGTTGACCTTCCAATTTCGATCTTTTTGGGTTTCCCCACAAAATAAATTATTAGATAGAGGTAAATACTTAAACAGCCTCTTTTGAAGTTGAAGCTTTTTCGATTAAATCGATAATATTTTCTTCAACTTTAATTTCCTCTTCTTTGATTTTTCCATCTTCTTCAACCTCCACTTCTTCCAACACATCAATATCAGACTCGGAATCCTCTCCTAATAATTCAAAGGCTTGATTTTGATGACCAGTACTTGGCTGTTTTGTTTTTTGATATGTTTTGTTGTCGATTGTTGTTAGGGGTGTATATCTAAAAATTTTAAAATTTGTAAATAAAAAATTTTTAAGTCCAAGTGTGCGCCAAAAACAATTTTATAACGGGTGAAAACGCCAAAAGTAAAAATTGGCGTTTTACTATGTTATAAAATTTTTATGGCGCACAGCGAGAATTTTAGCCCACATAATCGCAAATAAAATTAAAGTCAAGGAAACTAGAGTCTGGTGCTTCGTACAAAGGAAGACATAATTGGACAGATAGACGCAAAAAGAGCCTTTTTAATCGCAGACAGAAATGTCGTTAATAACACTCGAGTTCCTTTTTAAATTTTTATTGTCCTTAGAGTTCCAAATTTAAATTCATTGACTTTAGAGTCTCAACCTAATTTGTACATATTTCTTGTTGTCTATCAGAGTCTTAGTCTTATTTCCTCATATACTCCAACGTCCCCACTCAAAAAATAAAATTAAAAAACCCACTCCAAATCCGCTCGTCCATCTTTTTGTTTACTGCAACAACAAAAGTAAATCAACTTGTAACAAAGCCAACAACCCAAAGTAGCAATCAAAACAAGCACAAAAACAAACAAAAAAGACATAAAAATTGAATTGATTGTTAATAAATTTGTGGAGGTAAAAGTAGAAGAAAATGGGGAATAAGGCGTTGTTAAATAAATATGGCTACAATCTTCACAACTAGTATCGTGTTGTTGTAATTGATCTGTTGAGCAACAAGGACGGCAATAACCGATGGAAGAGTTTCCGTAGCCGGGGGCACATTGGTCACATTGTAGAGGGCCTTTTAAATTAATTTCGATTTTTAGAATTTTTAAAAATTTTTAAAAATTTTTTAGAAATTTTTTTAAAAGAAAAAATATTTTAAACAAAAATTTTGACGAAAAAAACGTCTAAAATAAATAGGGGAGACAACCGGATTCGAACCCACCCCATTAAAATAATAAAAATCTGACAGGCGGAAACCTTAACCATTCGGCCATATACGAACATAATTATAAACTTTAATTTGTGTATTAAAGAATAAAAATAATTCCCCTTCCTTACCCGGTCCATGACATAATGAACAAGCTTTATCACAATCTAAACAAACACCAGTAGCTTGATCACTTTGAAAATAACCAGCAGCACAGGTATTTATTTTTAAGACACATTTGGCTTGTATTGTGCTTTTATCTGTAGAAAATTAAAGAAAAATTCAAAGTTTTGTTAGAAATACCCAAAAGATAGTGATATTTTGGGCCATAACTTTTCTTATTTTCAATCGATCCAAGTAAATATTATATCAATAGAAAGCTCTGGTTGTAAGCATTATTTTACCTAAAAGGACTGACTTGATCAGACCATTCAACAAAAAGTTACAGCAAAATAAAGGTCAAAAATCACGATAACGCACAGTTATCAGTTGATAACTTCTTTAACAAGTGATCGGGTCTTATCAGTCCTGTTGGCAAAAATAATCCTCACATCCATAGCTTTCGACTGATATAATAACTATTTAAATCGGTTAATAATCAAAAAAGTTATGGCGCCAAATATGGTCTCGAGACTGAAAAACTTTGTGATATTTTGGTTGGTGACCTTTTGGGTGTCTCAGAAAAATTTTAAAAAATTCAAAAAACTCACAAACAGCAACTAAACCAGAAGGACAAGAATCTACACATCTTCCATGGTCCAAATGTCCATAATGTTTAACATCTATAAGCAATTTTGCCCCATGGCAAGTATCACACAATTCGCCAGAAGAACAAGTTTCGCAATCAGAAGAACATCTTTTACATTTATCCCCATCAGCATAAAAACCGGTGTCGCAATGGGAAACACATCTAAAATTATATTTTTAAAAATATTTATAAATCCCCCCTGTAGAAAAAAAATTTTAAAGTTTAATTTATTAATTTTTAGTCAAATATCCTCACACCCTCCCCCACGTTAAAAAATAATTTTATAAAAAAAAAATAATTTTCTCTCTCTCCTTACTTAAATCCAGCTCGATTTCTCAAAGATTGAGTAAAATGACGGCAAGAAAAACAGGCAGTTTGAGACTTGCTCTCAGAACAACCCAAACATTCTGGATGACAATCACCGACTGAACGTAAATCGCCAAATGTTATTGCTGTTTCTTCTTGTGCTGTTGTTGTTATTGTTGTTTCGTTCTAATTTTTTAAACCAATTTTTAATTTTTAAAATTAAAGTTGTGCGCCAAAAATGTTTTGAAAAAACGCCAAAAACATTTTTAATGTTTTTAATGTTTAAATAAATGTTTTTCTGATTTTATAATGTTTTAATCATGTTTTAATGTTTTGTAAATGTTCTGATTTTATTAAACATGTTTTTGATAGTTAAAAATGTTTTTCAAAATTTAAAACATGTTTCTAGTTAAATAAACATGTTTTGATGTTTTGTAGATGTTCTGATTTATTAAACATGTTTCTGATAGCCAAAAATGTTTTTCAAAAATTTAAAACATGTTTTTAATTAAATAAACATATTTGTTAGAAAAGCATGTTTTTGATGTTCAGAAAATGTTTTTGATGTTTTAAAAATGTTTTTGAGGTTTTAAAATGTTCAGATTTTATAAAACTTGTTTTTAATCTTTAAAAACATTTTTATAAACTTTTTAAAACATGTTTTGGAGAAACATGCGCCTGTTTATCTTAAAAACATGTTTTTAAAAGGCTCAAAACATGTTTTCGGTATTCAAAACATGTTTTTTTTAATATTAAAACATGTTTTTCTGATTTTTAAGTTTTTCTAATTTAATAAGTTGTTTAGGCTCAGAATTTTAATCGAAAAACATGTTCGACAGAAACAAGACTCTAATATACCATAATCGACGAGAATGGTGGAGGGAAAATATTAAATTTAAAAATGCCAAAAAAAAATCTAAAAAAAAATTTTGGATTAAATTTTTAGAGGAAGAAAACAATTTAAAAACTCTAAAAAAAATCTAAAAAAGAATATTTTTTAAATAAAAAATTTAGCAAAAATAAATTCAGGTGTCTTTCCCTCCCCCCAATTCTCGTCGATTACAATTAAATTTAAATTTAAAAAATTACAAAAAATTTTAAAAAAGCTTTTTATTCAGCATTTTAAAAATCTGAAAAAATAAAAAAAACAAATGAACTAAAAATTAAAAAAATTTTTTAATTAAGAAAATTCTACATACAATTTAAATGCTTCTACTTTTCTGCTTCTACTACAAAGTAGAAGCAAAATGCTTCTACTAAAGGTATACAAAACAAATACACAAAAAAAATTAAAAAAAATATCACATAATATAAAAAATTGAATTTTTTAAATGCGGGAATTAAAAAATATTAAATACACTTTTAGAAAAAAAATTGAAAAAAATTAGATAGGAGGGAAACTCGGTTTTTTTTTAAATTTAAGTGTTAGAAATTTTTTTGAATAATATTCTGACATTATTCTGATACTAGAAATGGCTCTAGAATTAAAAAAATGTTGCTGAAGGCTAGAAAAAAATTTTTTTAATTGTAAAAGGTCAAAGAAATTAAAAAAAATTTTTCCTTAAAGTCCACAAGAGTTTCCCCCATCTCTAAAAATATTAAACAAAAAAAAAGAAGAATTAGAGTTAGAGATTGAGACTTGAAGGATCTCATCAATCAATCAGGATTTGAAAGATAGACATCTCAAAATAACCAATTGTCAAACTATTCCTTATCTAAATCTCTTTTAGTATTCAATCTCTAATTTTTATTAAAAATAATAAAATAAACAAGGAAGTGTAAATTTAAAAAAAATAATTTTTTAAGTAATTAATGAAGTGTGTGTGATTTAAGTATATATTTTAAAAGATAAGAAGTATTAAGTATTTTAAAATAAAAATCACAATAGATTAAAAAAATGTTTTTGGCAAAATAAGAATACAAAATGGAAGCTCTTTATAACGTCATCAACACCTCTGACCTTACCTCCACTAACCCCTCATTTAGACCGTCCACGTCCCACTCACCTCCCCCTTAACCCCCTCATATAGTTTCAATTCCTCCATATCACTCCCCCCCTTTTAGGTCCGTTTAATTCAGTCCAGAAAGATAGTATATGTTTTGCGCCTGGATCAACTTAAGAGTCGCAACCAGGAGAATTTCCCTACCTCCAAAAATATATACGAATCGGGATTGATATCCTCCCTAAAAATATCCTACAAAATAGCCTTTCGATAACCCTTAGATTTTTATTCTAGAGATTTCGTCTCTATCCGACCATTAGATTTAATAATTCCACCTCTCAACTCCCTTCCCCCCTTTTCCTACATCCGCAAAATTTGATCCCGAAAGGGATGACGTTATATAAAGATTCCATTGTATAAAGGAGAAAGAAAATTTATTTTTAAGAAAATTTCATGGAAAACTTAATTGAAGTGTGGATATGTCTTTTTTAAAAAACAAAAGATATGAAAAACGAAAAAATTAATGAAAGCGCTTCGCTTAAGCAATTAAAAAATTGAACTAAAAAATTCTAAAATTAAAAAAAAAATAAAATTCTTCTTTCTCACAGCGTTGCGCTTTTTTTAGTTTTTAGCGTAGTAGAAAGCCTCCACCCCGAATCAAATTTGTAAAGCGAGACCACACTGATGGGGCCTAAAATTTTTTTCTAGTTAAGGGTTTTCCCGGACCTTCATTCTCAACTTAAAAAATTTTTTTATAGACTTGCCCTCGTTAAAATTAAAAAAAAATTTTTTTTTAATTGGGCAGTCCTCCCAAGGCTTAAAAATCCTCCCAAGACTAATCTATTTTTTTTTTTTGCAAGTGCTAGGGGGAAATTTGGGAAGAATTGAAATTTTTTTCCGGGAAAAAAATTATCTGTTAAAAATAAAAGTCAGTTAGAATCAGTGTGAAATCGACTTTTTAAAAAATAAAAATATATGGCAACTAAGGGGTAGAATTTTTTAAAAAACAAAATTAAATTTTGGGTAAAAATTAGAAAAGGTTTGTGTGTCACATAAAAATGCACAGAACAAAGTTAAGGCAAAATAGGGAACAAAAAGAGTGTGTCAAACAAAAAACAAAAAAAAAACTGGTTAAAAAAAACACAGCAAACCAAACCTTTAAAAAAAGGATCGGGTAAAAAGTTAAAAAATTACGGACACTCAAAAAGTGGTCTAGTTCGAAAAATGGAAATGAACCCTTAATATGTATAATCAGCTCCTCTCTCATACACAATTCAATCAAAAAAAGCATAGCCTCGCCCATGCGTACACTCTCGGGACCGAAAAGTAGTGTACCCACTAGAGATCCAGATTTTTGAAAAGCCTGGGCCTGGGTTCCGGGTTTGATCTATTGACCTGGGCCGGATCCTGGGCCTGTAGTCCAGGAAAAACCCAGGCGCAGGAAAAACCCAGGAAGGTCAAAAAAATGCCTGGACTCTGGGCACAGGAAAAACCCAGGCCTTGGTCCAGGCCCAGCTCGATCTCTAGTACCCACTCAAGTGAGGTCCATATATATACTATTAACTGATAAAGTTTATAAAAAATCCATCCAAAACCCCCAAAGGATATGTCTTAATATCAAATAAAATTCTGTCACACACACACACACTTTTACTTACTATACTTAATTATCCGATCCTTTTTTTTATTTCACACCTTTAATTTTTTTTTTAATTTTAAAAAATGTTAGTTATTATTATGTATTATTTAGTATTGTTGTTTTTACAACCCTTTTTTGATGACTTTGTGCTTTTTGTTGTTCCTTTGTTATAGTTAAATTATTTAATGAATTATTCATTGGTGTTATTGTTGTTGATGATGAAAATGTAGTTGTTGTTGTTGTTTCTCCCCCATTTATTCCTCCATTATTATTTAAATTAGTTAAACAACTATCAGAAATCTTGTTCCCTCCTCGCTTCTTTCTTCTACATTTTATACATAATTTTATACATACAAATATTCCAATTAATTTTACAAATATTAGAGCTATTATTTGTAGTATGGTGATGAGTTGGGGCAAATCAATCATCATCTGTTAGAAGAGGAGAAAGGAATTTTTGAAAATTTTTTTTTGTTAATTTTTTTAAAAAAGGAAAAAAAAGGAAAAAAAAAATAAAATATTAAGCAACTCAAAAAAAAATTTTTTTTTGAAAAAAATTAGTTAAAAAAATATTTTAAAAATAAAATTATTAAGCACACCCTTAAGCGACTAAAAAAAATAATTTTTTTTTCTAGGCTAAAAGACATTTATCCCGAACTTTTTTCGAATTTTTTCTGAAGAGACATTTCGTCCCAAAATTTTTTTTTTAATTTTGATTTTTTTCTCCTTTTTTAAAGGAAAATTTAAAAAATAGTATTTTAAAACAGTGAATGTTTAAGTGAATAGAAATTAAAAGGAAATGAAAAATTATTAAGTGATAGAGGAGAGTTAAAAAATAGGAAAAATGTTAAAAAGAAAACTCTAAAAAATAAAATAAAAAAATTCTAAAAATTTTTTTTTAAATTGTTAAAAATGTTTAAAAAATGCTCTTTTTGGATAGGTAAAAATAAAAAAAAATTTCAAAAAATTAACTAGACTCCCCTTATTGTTAAAATACACTATATATCAGGGGTGTGCGAGTTTCGCGTTTCGCCTTTCGCGGATTTTCGCGTTTTTTGGACTTTCGCGTTTCGCATTTCGCGTTTCACTTTTTAAATTTAATTTCGCCTTTCGCGTTTTAAAATCCGTTTCGGCACACCCCTGCTATATATTAACTAATCTCGTCTCGAATTCACAATTCTACTCAAATGTCTAATAAAATTGCCAAATATATTATTATTATTATTCGACGAGAATTGAGGAGAGGAGACTCCACCTCCATTATTATTATTATTAAAATTCTTTTTTAATTGTGGTGGAGGTATATTATTATTTATATGTTGGTGTTGTAATGGTCTATTAGCTGTAGGTGAGCCTGTAAACCAACCGGGCCAACCACCACCACTTCCCCCTCCAATATTTTTATTAAAATTTCCACCACCACCACCTCCATTTACACGCCGATTATTTGTGCCTACCTGAGAAGGTTGTCCAATACCACCAGAAGAAGGACGATGAAATTGTTGTGGAACATATGGACCATAACGTTGATCACTTGGTTGGGCTGGCTCTTCTGTTCCATATAAAAGCATTGTCCAATCACTGAATATTCCTACAAAAAATAAATTATTTTTAGTTGGGAATTGAGGAAAAAGAAATTAATTTTTGAAATTTTTGTAGAAATTTAATTGACAAGAATTTCAAAAAAAATTTTTTGGACACCTAAGTCTGTGTACAAAACTTAAAAAAATTATTAAGGAAACTCGAAACAAAAAAATTTTTACGACAGAATTCCGTTAATTTTCTTAGTTTCATAGAAAATCGCTTAATTTATTTTCCCACCTCAAAAGGTACCACTTTAAAACTCAAATGTCCAAAAAAATTTCGTAATAGGGATAGGCCGGGTTACCCGAAAACGAGGACTTTTCTCAACATGAAACCCAGCCCCAAGAAAATTATAAAAATGTGACCAGACTTTTTTCCTTTAAACTCTGTCCCATTCAAAAAATGAAAATTCAAATATTCTCCTATCTATTTAGCCTCTTCCATTAATAAATAAACTCATTCTGTCCTATTTTTAAATTTTATTTAAAATAAAAATATTTTTTCAGCAAACCTCCAATATTCATATTAGTAGAAATAGATTCAACCAACAATGTCCAAATTCCTCTAGGATCTTCTCCCCACATTTGAACTGTTAGGAAAGGCCATTTATGGAAACCATTTTGATTGTAATCCTTAAAAAAATTTTTTGAAAATTTTCAAAAATTCAAAAAAAAACCTGTGGCCTCGGAGGTAACAAAACTGAACGTGTTCCCATTGGAGAAAACAAAGTTAATTTTAAATCTCCTCTTTTACCAAAACGTATAGTTGTTATAACTTGGATATGTTCAATATAGAGTACAGGTAAGCCTTGAAGACATCCTGTGACTTCCAAGGAAAAATTCATTGCAAAACGGCCAGTAATTGGGCGAGGTCTATAAATAAAGTGTGAAATATTTTAGAAAATATTTTAAAGAATTTTTTGGAAGGTAGAAATATCGAAGAGGGGTCCTCCTGAATTTTTAGAAGTAAAAGGCGGAAGAAAATAAAGAAACAAGAAGACGTAATCGCAGTGAACGAGGTCCCATCCCCAGTGAATATTCAAAATACTGTTAGGGGGATTCTGTCTAAAAATATGTTTAGATTCTGTTTGAAAGGACATTTCTCCTCCTTTTCCTTAAAAAATTTCAACGCCTCAAAAAACCATTACTAATAGTTTGGTCATAAAGTTATCAATTAACAAAGGGACGATCATCAGGAATTATCATCAGGAATGGGTTACCCAAAACTCGGACTACCTTTCGTCCTTAAACGCGATCCAAAAAAAATTTTGAAAGCCCGATACGAGAAGCCCGATATTTTCTCTACCCATCCCTTCTGGTTTCCCCAAAATTTTATATCAAAAAAAAACCTTGGTGCATCCAAAATATATTCATAAGTGCACATATGCTGTTCAGGTACAGTTTGCCAAACTCTTGCCAATTTAACTAAAGCACCAGCATCCATTAATCCATAACCAAATTTATTGCTAATACGCCTTCCAACGCCATTAATTGCCCAACCAGGATTATTTAGTAAAGGATTTGGATTTGCTGTCCTCAAAACTATATGTTGCATATCACGCCAGGTAAGTGATGGACTGGAAAATAGAAAAAATTGTATAAAAATTTTTTAGAGAGAGAAGTTGTTGAAAAATCTTTCAGTTGAGTGTAGGCTTATGGAAAATCATTGGGTATCCAGGAATGAAAAATACCCAATTTGGTCCCAAATCGACAATCCTATCTTCCCACCAGAATCACAATCCTCAAAAGATAAGATTTTCCTCAAAATTATTTTTTAATAAGGTTCCTTGATTTGGATTTGCAAGGGTCGGTCAAGAACAAAGGTCGGCAAGACAAGGATCGGTCAAGAAACCTAGAATGCATAGAAATCCCAAGGATATCTAGATACAGAAAATGTTGGTAGGAGTATTCAACCACGATTCCCTAAGAATAATCTGGCCGGAAAAAAGTTGCAGCTTTTGTCAAAAGTTGCAGCTTTGACCTAGACACCATCCTAAATTATAAAAACCTTTAAAAAATTCTTCAAGAAACAAACTTTGCTTCCAATGCCAACGCAATAATTCCAGCTGCTAAGGGGGCACTAGCACTTGTCCCAGTATGCATTTTGGTACATCCAATTGGAACATCTACTGTTACCTAAAAACAGAAACATCAAAAAACTCAAAAATTCCTTCAAAAAATACAATAGCCGGCTGATTTATATTAGCAGACGAATATGTTGTAGCAATAGAGGACGGGCATTCTTCCAAATACCAAGGCTTGTGATTGTCAAAAGTTGCAGAGCTTATACTTAAAGTATAAATTGAAGTAGTATAACCATCTGCTGAACAACTGTCTTGTCTTTAAAAAATTTTTTAAGGATAAAAAAATAAAAATTAACCGTGAACCGCCATTTCCACTTGCCCAAACAAAAATATTTCCTTTACCTCCACGTCCTTGTTTAATACCTTAAATTAAAAATAAGAGGTGAAAAAAAAAATTTTATAAAAAAAAATTAAAAAAAATTTTTTTAATTATAAAAATTAAAAAAAATTATTTTCAACGAAAATAATAATAATAAGGGTCAAACACGACTTTAAAAATATGAAAGGATTAGAACCCACAGGTGTCCACACGCAAGACCGAGATTCTACCAACTTAACCACCCGAACACATAATCTATTTTATTAAATTCCCCCTATAGTTGTTTTAAGAAAACATTGAGGTAGAACAGATATCGTTCTGAAGCGATTGGGCATGAAGGAAAAAAATTTTTTTTTGTAAAACTATCCTTGGAAAATTCATTTTAAAAAATTCAAAAAATTTTAAATTCAACCAAAAACAAAATTAAAAATAAAACCTCTATAAAACGCTTCCTGTGCCAAATTTCCAGGCCCATCAAATGTCTTTCCATCATCTTCTGGCCCCCAACTTGCCGAATAAATATCGATATGTTGTTGATTTAAATTTAAAGAAGCAGCCTCTACACTATCACTAACAGGGCCATCAAGCATTCTAACACCCCCAATTTTTGATAGAAAGGCAACACCAACTCCACAAACATCATTCCCAGCAATTGCTGCAACTTCTCCTGCACAACGAGTTCCGTGCCTATTTTTGAGGGGAATTAATTAGAGGGCAAAAGAATATAAACAAAGGAATTTGGCAATAATACTCCTAGTGAGGAGAAGGATGGGCTGAGAAAGAGTGTTAGGGTTTCGGGTTGAAAAAAGTTAATGTCTCGGGTCAATTAGTAGGAAAAAAGTCGGGTAAGCCCAGGCTCAGGATTTCGAGTAACCTGTCGCATCCTTGGTGAGTAGTAAAATTCCGAAAAGAAAACCAAATAACTGAGATCAACAAATGGAAATGTTTCTTACCTAGCTCTTAAAAAAGAGCGAATTTTTGAATTTTTCTATCCTCAATAACGAAAAATGAATTTTCCTATCCCATTGCTATCTCCCTTAACTTTAAAAACAAAAATAAAAAAATATACTTATTATCTCCATTGTTTTGAGGTGTTGGATCCGCATCATGGTCATTTATATCAGTACTCGCATACGGGTCATAATTTTGGACCAAATCTGGATGATCTCTTTGAATGCCATCGTCCAGAATTGAAATTGAGACATTTCTGCCAGCATAACCCATCAACCAAGCTTCTCTTACATTCATATCAAATCCTCCTACTGCACGGCCAATCTGAACAAAAAAAAAGTTTTTTCTCACAAGGGACCAACTTTTACTGAAGTACAAATTTGATATATTTTTTGATACCATTCGATAGAGGACCCCCGACTTTCTATTGTAAGTGTTACAAGTTTTCTTGCAAAATGACTTTGGGCCAAGTTATGGCCGTTCAAAGTAGGGTATCTCCCCGAGCCTTCGGAGTCGGGAGTGTCGGGGATCGGGGTTTGCCGAGGAGGGCACGTCGGGTTTCGGGGTTAGGGTTGACTTTTAGGCGAGGTTCGGGGTCGAGTTTGAGGTTTCGGCTTTTTGGGAGTCTAGGTCTGTCTACTATTAATTCAGCTGGGCCCAAAGTGATTTTGCAAGAAAACGGATATCACTTGGCAATACAAAGTCGAGGGTCCTCTATCAAATGGCACCCAAAAAATACCAAATCCTTGTCAAAAAATTAAAAAAAAACAAAAAAAACTAACCAAATACCATTGATCTTGATATAAAGGATCTGGAAATGGCAATTTTGGAACAGGACGACGTTCAAAAAATGTTGTTTGACGACGCTTTCTGCCAGATTGAGTTTCTTCAAGCGGTCCAATTATTGAAGGTTGTTCAATATAATCACGTTTAACTCGTCGTCTAGGCCTGTCTACTATTAATTCAGCAACCTCTGGTCTATCTTGTATACTTTCCAGCGAACGCTTTCTTCTTCGTTGAGCTCCTAGACCCGTTTTGTCTTCAGAGAGGAAATAGTGCGAATCAAGGAAAGGTTCGCCCTAAAAATTGAGAGTTAGAGTTTACTTGTTAAAATGTTCATTTTGACGTTATATAAAAAATAGCAAAGCCCGGAAAAAAGTTTTGAAACAAAAAGTATCAGAAATTTAAATGTGTAAGAGGTAAGAAACAACCAAAAAATGAAAAAAAAGACTAACATTAAGCTTGGTCAAAAAACGAAACAGTCAGAATTTAACGAAACGAAACGAAACAAAACGAAACATTTTAATTTCCAAAAAATCTCAAAAAAACCTAATTATTTTATTATCTATTCAAGTTTAAGCATGTTAATTGGCCAATAATGACCTATATGTTATCATATAATTATGTGGGGCCACAAATTATGGTCCCATTGGCCATTTGTTGTGTGCCCAGTCAGTTCAACCGGCAAATTTCCATTAATTTCACCTAATTCCATTATCACCATTAATTTTGCAAAATGAATCTTAGAGGACTTTGAAGCCATAAATTTCCCTATTTCAGACATTTTCAGCGCCGCATACGAAAATTTTGAGAATTTTGGTAGACCAAGAAGCCGCATTTCTTTTTTCAGCGCCGCAGGCGAAAATTTTGAAAATTTCAGAAGGCCGAGGCGAAAAAAATTCACTTTTTAGTGGTCAAAAGAAACATTTTGTTAGGAATTTTTCTATTGATACAAAGTACGAAAGCCCTAGTCAAATACGAAAGTACTCAGATTTATGTTGATCAACAACATTCATGATCATTGGCATATTTTGCATTTTTCGTTTTATGAGATTGTCTCTTGCGCCTACCCATGGTTGGCATTAGGAGATGATTTATGCGTTTATTTAAGGAATAGATTAGAGATAGACCGACCCATTAAGAGATAGACCCATTCTATATGCATAATCTAGCAAAGAACTCAAACATTACCTATTAAAAACATAAAATCAAACGGGAAATTCAAAAAAACTATAGTAAATTATGCGCCGTCGGCGCATACAATTCAGATTTCGGCGCCGCAGGCAAAAATTTTTTGCATTTCCATTACCAAAGTGGAAAATTTTTCAGTTTTTGAGTAATATTTTGGTCTAAAAAATAGGTAATGTTTCGTTAACGAAACACAGGTGTTTCGTTAACAAAACGAAACGAAACAAAATAAAGTGTTTCGTCACGAAACGAGACGAAACAGTAAAAAACATAACGAAACTAACGAAACAACGAAACGAAACGTTTCGCCCATGTCTGGTCTGAAAGGGAAAAAAAACACAACTTATTCCCCTTTAAACTCAAATTCAACTAAAAAAAAGCAAACCTTGACAACCATTCCGTGTTCTTGAGCAATTTCTCTAGCCTTCCTATCATCACGTTTCACCAGTTTTAGAATATTATGGGAAGGTTCCTCACATTTTTGAACACCCGTATTGTCCTCAGAATGTGAACATAAAATTGAATCATGGGCAATTCCTGTCACATTATTAATTGAAATATGAAGCAATAACAAGATTTTGAACAAAAAATAAAGCTGTCGTTTAATACAAAAATTTGAAGAAGAGCCTGTAGGCAATCTAGAAATTGGTAATTTGAACCGGATAGACCTCCTATTTTTCTCCCCAATTTTTCCAGTATACTTTTGCAAAATGGTCAGACTTTTTCCTTTCTTCCATCCAAATTGCCTTTGCTTAGAAACAATCTCAAAATGAATTGATGGTACTTGTCGGCTATCCCTACGTGTTTTTTGCGGACTTTTTTTGAGGACAAAATTGTACAGAATGGTCAATTTCTTCCTTCCTCTCTCCTATGTAGTTGTCAAACAAAATTGATGTAATTTGATGTATACATCAATCCTTCACGATTGATTAATATTTAAATGAGGGAGAAATTGACCATTCCGTACAATTGTCCGCAAAAAAAGTCCGCAAAAAACACGTAGGGATAACCGACAAGTCACCGAATTAATTTTTAATTTCCCTTGGATGGAAGAAAGGAAAATTGGGATTGAAGAAGGGAAGTGATCTGACCATTCTGCAAAAATATAGGAACTTGGGGGAAGAAAAAAGGTAGGTCTGTCTGGTTAAATATTACCTAGAAATTTGTTTCTGCTGCTGCTGATCTTCTTGTATTGATTTTTGCCTGTCCTGTTCTTTATTCCTGCTATGACATTGCCACTTACGCATTGAAGATTAGGAAGAAGTTGTACAAACAAAAAAAGTGTGTGTGGGTAACGTGGACAGTTTTGGGCAAAAAAATTAACAGAAGAGCCCGAAACTGAAAAATTTTTTTTTAATTTTAATTAAAAATTCAAACCTTTAAGAAGTTGTTTGGTTGATTATAATAAATAGAGGAACCCACCAACACAGCCTAAAAATAAAAAAATTATAAAAAAAAAGTATAGGGAAATAACGCGAATATAAATAAAATGTGAACAAATATTATGTAAATAATGGGTTTAAGCAAACTAAAAAAAAGGAAGGAAATTTTTAAATTTTATGAACCCTAAAATTTGGAAAAAAAATTTTTCAATTTTTTTATACCTAGAAAAAAATTTTTCCTCCATAAAAACTTAATTCCAAGCAGAAACAAATCATTAGACCAAGGAAGGATTCGAACCCACAACCCTCCTCTCCCTCAAACCCAACCCTATCCAACTCCACCACCAAGACAACTTATGGTCAAATGCTTTTATTGACCTTTATTATTCTTCCTTATTAGTCTAATTATTACAAAAATTATTTTTAAGCCTATAAAATCAAAAAAATTTTTTCTAACCCTTAGGCTTATTAAAAATAATTTTCAAGCCTTTTTCTACTCAATTTACCCCCAATAAAACTGCAAAAAAGAGCAAAACGTGTCAGATATATTAAAATACTAAAATTTTATTAATTAAAAGGCAGCGCAATAATTTTCCTTAAAAGACGTCTAAAAGTGTTTTACACACAAAACTTTACGTTGGAATGCAATATAAGGGTATAGGCGAGTGTTTAGTTAAACAAATTCGGCGAATAAAAAAAAATTAAAATAAAAAAATTAAAAAAAAAGAACACTACTACTTCTTGTTAGCGATGATGAATTTTTATTTTAAAAAAGAAAATGAAAGGGCAAAAATAAATATTAATTTATTTATTCCTTTTTAAATTCCTTTTACTAAAAAGGACTTCGGAAAAAAATTAAAAAGAAATCAAAAAATTAATTAGCATAAAAGAAAGACGTTTGGGCGCAGGACCAACATGGCGCAGTGACTTATAAACTTGGCAATTGAGCATCCTGGATGTCCAAAATTTGCATAAGCATTCCTTATAGGGTTACTAGACTGCTATAAAAATTTCAGAATTTTTGGTTCGGAATTTTAAAAGTTATGACCAGAAGGGTCTCAATTGTAGGGAGAAAAAGTAAATTAAGCAAACATTTTTGGCCATAACCTTGGACACACTAAACCAAAATTTCTCAAATTTTCAGGGGGGGGGGGGGCAAAAATAAATAATTATTTTATTCCTTTTTAAATTCCTTTTACTAAAAAGGACTTCGAAAAAATCAAAAAATTAAAAAAAATATTTAATTAGCATAAAAGAAAGACGTTTGGGCGCAGGACCAACATGGCGCAGTGACTTATAAACTTGGCAATTGAGCATCCTGGATGTCCAAAATTTGCATAAGCATTCCTTATAGGGTTACTAGACTGCTATAAAAATTTCAGAATTTTTGGTTCGGAATTTTAAAAGTTATGACCAGAAGGGTCTCAATTGTAGGGAGAAAAAGTAAATTAAGCAAACATTTTTGGCCATAACCTTGGACACACTAAACCAAAATTTCTCAAATTTTCAGGGGGGGGGGGCAAAAATAAATAATTATTTTATTCCTTTTTAAATTCCTTTTACTAAAAAGGACTTCGAAAAAATCAAAAAATTAAAAAAAATATTTAATTAGCATAAAAGAAAGACGTTTGGGCGCAGGACCAACATGGCGCAGTGACTTATAAACTTGGCAATTGAGCATCCTGGATGTCCAAAATTTGCATAAGCATTCCTTATAGGGTTACTAGACTGCTCTAAAAATTTCAGAATTTTTGGTTCGGAATTTTAAAAGTTATGACCAGAAGGGTCTCAATTGTAGGGAGAAAAAGTAAATTAAGCAAACATTTTTGGCCATAACCTTGGACACACTAAACCAAAATTTCTCAAATTTTCAGGGATGCTAGATATCCTCCTAAAGAACAACTACACAAAATTTCACAATTCTAACTCTTCAACAGCCGCAGATACACCCGCTCGCGCCCAATCCTTGTTCGCGCCGAAAGCGCGCGCCCAATCTCTGTATGCGCCGAAACGTTTTTTTCCTCAAAAGCCGCGCAGCAGAGTGAGACGAAAAATCCCAAACATCAAAAAAGTAAAAAGAGAGAGATCAATTTTCTCTTTTTAACGCCCAAAAACTCTCCAAATTACTACACTATTATTGATGCTGAATGAATTTTACTACTATTTATTATTTTAATTTTTAACACCCCTCTTTAGCGCGCATAAAAGTGCAAATTGATTTGTATTTAAATTTTAAATTGGTGTAAAAAATTATTAAAATATGTATATAATTTTAAGTGAGGGATTAAAAAAAAGAAGATTTGAAGACACTCTTAATCCCCCCTTTTTAAGGGGGAAATAAAAAGATTAGCTAAATTGATAGTTAAAAATAAATACTCTAATGGTCTGTGTTGAAGCATAAGGCGAAGGGGGGAGGGGGTCACAATTAGAGACTGGCATCAATTAGAGTCTGCTCTATTAAAGTCAGGCGTTGATCGCACTATAGGAGGTGTGTTGATCAGCTATTGGACCAACTATTGGATCAAGACTCTTGGACTAAGGTTCATTAGAGTCTGAAGATGTAGGCTCCACCCCCTAACGGATTTTCGTCTAGGGGTCTAATGCGTGAATGGAATGGCTCTTTATGAATGGCCCTTTATTTAACTCAAGTCCCCCCAATAGATCATCAAAACACCCATTAGAGTCTGACACTAAATAAAAATTTTAAAAATAATTCCCAGACTCTAATGTCAATTTTAGGCTTTTAGAGAAGATTTTCTTTAAAAACAGGTAACTTAGAAAATAACATATCTATTCAAGGCTGTCTCAGTTAAAAAAAATTTCAAAAAAAAACTTTTGATAAAAAATAAAAAAAATTGCAGATGCGCAATGGGTAAAAGATAAAAATATAAAAAGAAAAATGGTTCTAGCAAATATAAAAAAAAATTTTAAAAAGAAACAAGTTATGTAATAAATATAGCTAAAAATATGACTCAATCATAAATAAATAACGGTCGGGCCACCGACACTAAAAAACACTTTTTTGATGTCACTTTTTTATTGTTACACAAAAATTATTAAAAAAATGTTCACCCCTCCTTATTTGGAAAATTATAAAAATTCAGGTGTGCGCAAAAAACTTTTCTGTGGAGAAAATAAACGCCAATTTTTGCGTTGTGCTATTTTGTCCGTTATAAACTTTATTTTGCGCACACCAAAAGTATATAAAATTTTAAATTATAAAATTTAAGTGTGCGCAAAAAACTTTTTTGTGGGGGGAATAAACGCCAAATTTTTGCGTTCTCGTTATAAACTTGATTTTGCGCACACCCGAATTATATAAATTTTAAATCAAGAAAAATTTAAGTGTGCGCAAGAAACTTTTTTGCGGGGGAAATAAACGCCAATTTTTGCGTTCTCGTTATAAACTTGGTTTTGCGCACCCCAAAATTATATAAATTTTCAAATCGTTGTAAAAATTAGTAGAGTTCGAACCCGGGCCGGGCCCGGACCGGTTTTTTCCGGGCCCGGTAGCCCGGAACCGGGTATTTTTGAGAAAATCCGGTTTTTCCGGGCTAACCGGTTTTTCCGGTTTTATCCGGAAAAACCGGCCCGGGTGCGATCCTGAGTAAAAAAACCGGGTCCCGGGCCCGGTAATTTTTTGCCGGGCCCGGAGTCTTTTTGACGAAGAAGAAATATGTCTTAAGGACTCCGAAATTTCCCAAAATTTTCGCCTGCGGCGCTGAAAATGGAAGAAATTTGGCTTTTTAAGCTCCAAAATTCAAAAAATTTTCGCCTACGGCGCTAAAAACGAAGAAAGCTTTTACGTGTTTTGCTAGAGTAGACCAGCCTTACGCCGCCCAGCCTACCATAGTCGTAAATCTTTATATTTGTGATTTAAAAATATTAAAAATTTTTGAAACCCAGATTTGAATATGCTAAAGTTGTACTCCAAATTGGATCAAGGCTAAAATTACTCCAAATTAAGATTAAGATATATGCCAATTTAAAAGGATTAATGGGTAAATTGTAGAGAGACAAGTTGTGTTGCATAATTGAATTTTAGAGAATCTCGAGAGAGGCAAATTTGAAAAGATTAAAGAGATTTAGTGGAATTTGGGTGATAGAAGGGAAGGGATATAGAAGGGAAATAGAAGATATCTCAATGGATAGATATCTCTTTTATCCCGCTTAATATCCCTCTTGATCGATTACTAAAGTGGTATACTCCAAAGTGAATTTGGATATAACGTGTGATTTTAATAGGATATCGGAGGATTAATGTGGATCTATCGATTTAAGGGATTAAGGTGGATATCGAAGATTTGTAGGGTCCACTCTTGTTTTTGTTATGCTTTTGTCACGAATCTAGCTCTTGGGATGCATATTTATGATTTAATGAGTTGACCCTTTTTGGCCGTGAAGATGAGTTAATGCAGGGCTCCGATCGACAAAATGCCACTCAAAAGTATCAAAATCTTGTAAAAAAAGTACATAGGGAGAAAATTTGCAAATAAAAAGTACACTCAAAATTAAATTTGAAAATATTTATTCGTGCTCAAATCTTTTATATTTCTCTCCTAAATTAATCTTTTCTAATAATTTTTTGTTTCAACTGAGCATTTTGTGCATTTCATTGCATGATATGTCAAAATTTGCTGTCACATGAAGCAAAGCTCTGACAGTCTTAACCTCAAGCGAGTTTCTTTCCTTCGTCCATTGAATGTTTGCCATTGAGAAGCGCCGCAGGCGAAAATTTTTTGAAATTTGGAGCCTAAGAAGCCAGATTTCTTCTTTTTCAGCGCCGCAGGCGAAAATTTTAAGAATTTTGGAGGTCCTTAAGCCAGATTTCTTCCATTTTTTGCGCCGCAGGCGAAAATTTTGAGAATTTTGGAGGTCCTTAAGCCAGATTTCTTCGTTTTTTCAAAAATGTTGATAAAAAAGTACATACTTTCAAAAAAGTACAAATTCAATTTCGGAAGTACGAAGGTCGATAAAAAAGTACAATACTTTTAAAAAAGTACGAATCGGAGCCCTGAGTTAATGATTGGATGAGTTAAGGATTTTTTGATTAAATAAATAATTTTTTCATGTTTTAATAAATTTAGAAAAAACCGGGTCCGGGCCCGGGTCTGAAAAAATCCGGTTTTTCCGGGCTAACCGGTTTTTCCGGTTTTATCCGGAAAAACCGGTCCGGGTGCGATTTTGTGAAAAAAAAACCGGGTTCCGGGCCCGGCATTATGAAAAGTTCGAACTCTAAAAATTAGCCTTTGCTCGTTTTTAAACTTTTAAAAAAAATTAATACACAAAAGGTAATAAAAAGGGAAGCAAAAAATGCGCAATAAATTGCCGCTATATGTAAAAATTAAAATAAATTGAATCGGCCAAGGATTAGCGAACAGGTACAAAAAAATTAATTTATCGTTCAAGGTAGGGAAAAATAATATAAAATTTATTAAAATGATCGGTTAAAGACGGAGGTGCGCGAAAATATAAAAAAAATTTTTAGTTGAGGGAAGAAATCGATCTCCTTTTTTTTAATTTTCGCAGAAGTGGGAAGAAAAATGTCTTAATTACAAATATCAAGACTCTAATGGCTAGTTAACCACTTGGGTGTTATTTTCTGGGTTTGAACTTGATTTAACACTCTCTTCGATAAGTCGCTAAAGGGTAGGATAACTGGGCATTTTTGATCTCCGGTTGTCCCAGAATGTAGATAAGGGACGTTTCGGCGCGGGAGTTATTCCAAGTTCCCAAGCTCCAGTTATCCCCCAAACAATATCTCAGTTATCTCGATTAAAGCTTGTCATAAATGTGATAAGATGGAGATTTGTCAAAAAATAACATTTATGAAAGTTAATTAAAAATATCCCACAGACTAAATAGAAAAAAAAGAAAATAATAAAGTAAAAATAACAACACTGTATAAAAATGTCTATGTGCATTATTTTACTAAATTTACCGCAAACAAAACAAAAAAAACTTTCGCTCATACTCTCCCAACATTAGTAATCAGGTTTTTGAAAGTTAGAAAAGAGAAGGAGAAAGGCTGCCCGATCTTTTTTTGCGTTTTTTGCCAGCTTTAAGGTTGTTCCTTGTTATTTTCTCTGCCTTGATTAAGAACGTTTAGGCGCGAGGAAGGACGGCGCGCGCTTATAAAAACAAAGATGTAGAGAAGCTAGAGCCGTGAAATTTTGTAGAGAGAACCTTGATAAGGTTAGCTATCTTCTCTAAAAAATTCAGAATTTTTGGTCAAGCATAACACAAGTTCTGGTCGGAAAACTTTCGAAAAATAGGGCAACTTACGCAAAAATCAAACTTTTTTGACCATAACTTTAGAGCAACTTGACCAAATTTTTTGAAATTTTTAGAGGGGGTAGCTAACCATAGTAGGAAAGTAATTCCAAATTTTCATAAATTTCGGCAGTCACTGGACAGTCTTATAAAACCCCGCGCCGTAACAACTATGCGCCCAAAAGTCAATTCCCGCGCCTTTATATTTTAATTCTTTTTGAGTTCCTTTAATACAATTATTGTCTATCAACAAACATTTTTTTTGACTAAAAAGAGGAAATGAACAATGTGTGGGTGAAATAAAGAGTTGCAAAATAAATATTATTATTATTACATTTTTATAGTCATTTAAAAAAAATTTTTTTTTGTTCTCGACAATTAAAACTAAACACATGTAAAATTCAAAAAATGTGATTGATAAGGACATATTTAAATAACTCTAAATTTTTTTATGACACAAAAATGTATTTAAAAAATTTTTTAATCTGTTTAGGAAGGAAATGATTCAATTACAAAAGTTTTAATTTGAAAAAATAATTTTTAGGTGTGCGCCAAAAGGTTCTTTATAAGGCGATTAAACGCCAAAAATTAAAATTGGCGTTTTAGTATGCTAAAAGTTTTGGCGCACAGTTAAAAATGTTGAATTTTTATATTAAAGCCTCGAATGATCACTCCTAGCTGGTTATTGTGACATTTAGGTGACAATAGAGTCTGTCACAATGTCATCAGACTCTAATGGGTTGAGTGCTTTTAATTAAAAGTACATTAGAGTCTGAAATCTTTTTTCATGTTATGAGACTCTAATGGACAATAATTAATAAAATACTCAAAGTGCACTTTTACGACAGAAGATAAGGGTACATTAGAGTCTGGCACACCTTAAAGATCGGCAAGATCGCAGTTCCGGGACCCGAGTCGGGATTTTTTATAACCGATGCCGGGACGGAATCCCAAGGGATAAATCCCGAAAAAATCACGGATCCCGAATAATCCCGAAAATCAAAAAAAAATCCGGGATTTCGGGATCCTGGAAATCCCGTCGGGATCCCGTCCTGCGCCGGTCTCGAGTACACTCTCCTTCAAATTTTGGTGCCAGATTCTAATGGAGTTATTTGGTAGGTGATATTTTGTAGGTGATAAAATGGGGGTGAGAAATATAAAATGAATGAGCATTTTGTTGCACTTTAAATTTGAAAAAAAAATTTTTTGTAATTTCGGAGGCGATAAAAGAATGAATTTAAGAAAATAAAACTCGAGAAAAAAAAATTATTTTTTAATATAAAAATGACAATGTTTGTAAGGAAGAGAATGTTTAGCAATAAAATTTTTTTAATAATACTATAATGTTTGTGTACTTATTGTCTTTTTTTATTTGTTTTGTTTGACTATTCAGTGTTGGGACGGAAAAAGAATAAAAAGGAAAGATAAAGAACAGATTTTTGATGAGGGAGAGGACGACGACATTTGCGAAGCGACATTTGGGAACAAAATGGAAAGCTTTGGGATTGGAACAAAAGGACATTTGAGTCTTGACTGGTACTGTATCCTAAATTTATGGGACTATTTTGGAGGAAAAAGTGGCTTAAAAATTTTTTATCTAGAAAACTTTTTTGGGGTGTGCGCAAATGTCGGTACGCAAATGTCGTTCTACCAGTAAATAGAGGAGGAAGAAAGGGAAGGAAAACTCGCGCAATACTCAAAAATAAATAAAAATAAAAAATGCTCAATTGGCTTGGCCAATCTTTTTTTTTATTTAACAAAAAAATATTTTTTCCGGTCCGCCTGTTTAATTACAGAATTACAATAACAATATTTTTGACAAATAGACGAGAAAAGAAGAAAAGTTTTTTTTATTGTGCGCAAAGTTGGTAGTGATGAAAAAAGGGGAGAAGTGAAGGGGAGTTTAATTTAGTAAATAAAGTTTAGAGTGTGTTTCGTCTTGAGGATTGTAGAAATTTGGAGGAAAAATTTAACAAAATCAAGGAAAATAAAAACTTTTTTGAATTAATTTAGTTTTTGGCGTTCTGTTTATTTTTATTTTTAATAAATACGGCCATTTCGGCGCAAGGAGATATTTCATACCTCGTCGCATTTATCGTGTTATAATTCTTTAATCGATGTTCAAACTTGATCAAACCTATTGGAAAAAAGATAGCGCTTATCGAGGGCTTTCGAATGATATAAAATTTATTCAGATTGGTTCAAGACTAAAAAAGTTATAGTCAATCAAAACTGGCTGGTGCTCACTTGGCACGTTTCTGTTTGTAGCAGGCCTACAACTTTTGATAGAATTTTACTTTAAGGATAACAATAGGCCTATTAAATAGAGCAAAAAATTTGCTATAAAATAGGCCTATTAGAAAATTTTTTAGATAAGGGATAACAACAGTTTTTGGGCAAGTTTAAGGCTGCGATAGAATCTACTAGTTATGATGGCAACAAAGTGTCCGTATTAAATTTATTTTTTGTCTGCCACGTCAATAATCTTTTTTCTTTTGGTTTTCTTTGTTTCTCTTTGTTTGTGGAGGAGTTTTATTGTCTTTCTGATGTTTTGAAATTTTTTGGAAAATTTTTTAAAAAAATTTCTGGATCTAAAATTTGTTTTTAATTTTCAGATTTTTTAGCTTAAAAAATGTCAAAATTCTTTCGTAGTGCTGTTTCTAGTTCAAGTGGCTCGGAAAGTGGTGAATCCGATGTTGAGGCTCCAGTCGCTCAAGCGCGGCCACTGTAAAAATTTTTTTGAGGTTTTTTGAAATTTTTTAAATTTTAGAGGACGACAAGATTTTGCATATCCTAGCGATTCGGAAGATGAAGGACCGAAACGAGTTGTTCGAAGTCAGAAAGACAAAACATTTGGTGAATTGAAGGAATTGATTAGAAATTCGAGAAATGCTAGGAATATTAAAGATGTTTCAAAATTGTTAGGAAGTAAGGGTTTTTTAAAGGGTTTTTAAAGGATTTTTGAAAGGTTTATAGTAGAAATGGAGTTGGGTCTGGACCAAGGCCTGTTTCCTTAACCAGAGTCCAGGTCAAGGCATTTTTTGGCCTTTCTGAGTTTTTCCTGGGCCTGGGTCTCCGGCCCAGGCGAATAAATCAAACCCAGGAACAAGCAAAGGCTTTTCAAAAATCTCAATCTCTAGTTTATAGTTGTGAGACTGAGTTATTTATTAAGGTGGCAAATCCAGGCAAGGGACACGCTTGAATAGTCGCGCGGCCATAAAGTCGCCAAGTCATAATTTGCTTCATGATTTTCCAATCTTACCAAATTTAGTATTAAACGATTCCTCTCATCGAGCTAAAGAGATTGGTACCATAATTGATAAGGGCCAGGAATATTTTAGCAAGTTATGGCTTGGCGACCTTATGGCCGCGCGACTATTCAGGCTGTACCCCCAGGCAACTGTATAGTCGAATCCGAGTTTTCCGACATTTTTCTCATCTGCCAACCAAATTAGTTACGTTTGCGGAAATCCCACTTTTTCTTACTTTCCATTTTTCTATTTGATGTTCACCTTATTTTACCCATCCCTGTCCTTGTAAGTCGGCCTAGTTTGAGACTGGAAGTCCTCGTCCCTTTGATAAGTCGAACTCCTGACCTGGAAAAATCAACACATTTTTAGACCTGCAAGGCAGCCTGACAAGGACTTTTATTTTTTAAATTTATTTTATTTTTTTCCAGTTTTTGAGGAACATATAAAAAGCTGGGAGAAAGCAAAGTTAATTCTTGCTCGTGAGAATGGTGGAATTCCTCGTTTTTATATTCGATATTTGGTTGAAGTGGATGATTTTGTAAATGAACAGTGGGAAGATAAGGAAGGGCGTAAAACAATGTCAAAACAAAATGCAAAAGCTTTGGCAACTTTTCGGCAAAAAATTAAAAAATATAATAAAGAATTTGAGGAACAAGTGAATTCTTATAGAGAAGAGCCTGATCCTTTAGGTTATTCGAGTGGAGCTTTGGAGAGCAATGAGGAGGATGAAATTGATGGAGATGAGGTTCGAAATTTTTTGTTTTAATCGGGTGCTTTTGGAATAGGTCTGACAGATCCGGGGAAATCCTTGGATATTCAATTCAATATCCGAACAGGGTATTTCGGATAGCCAGTCTTTTTCGGATCCGGATACGCCTACCCTATTCTGGGCCACGATGCTTTGGTCGCAAGCCGCGATTCGTTCTACCGCACAGCTTATAAGTTACACATTTGACCTTCCTGACTTTATGAAAGTCGAATCTAGTCAAGCTACGTGTGATTTGGGTTATATCGTCGAGTTGATTTGAGTCTGGTGACGGCTAATAGACTTGTTTTGTCGTTTTTTTACAGTCTTGTGGTAGACTAGGATCGTGGCAGACTTGTTCCGAGTAATATACTCAAAGGATGACGTGTCCGGTCAGAAAAAAAATTTATAATTTTTAGATTCCTAATAATATTCCTGCTGCTGTTCCAGCAAAGAAACCTAAAGCTGTTCCTGTCAAAAAGAAAGTTGTTCGTGATGCTTCTGGTTCTGAAAGTGAGGAAGACGAATCTGACTGGGGAACGGAATCAGATGAATCTTCTGCTTCTGATTTGGAACCTTTGGAAGGAAAAGAGATGGAAGAATTACGTCGTTATTTTCTCAAGTTTGTTTTTATTATTTTTAAAATTAATAGGGCAGCTAGGGGACACGGACTTGGGAACGTAATCGAGGATTCGTTTAAACTGTTTCAAGATTATTACCTAGGTCCGAATACCTTTAGAGACATGTGTCCAGGAACCTTTTACGTCTTTTCCGGTGATTTTTTTCCATTCGGCTGTCTTTCAGGGATGTCACTGATTAAGAAAAATGTTGGGTTTTGGGCCGGGTTTTCAAAATTTTCTTCGGATCTGGTATCGGAGCGGAAAAGTTTAGATATCTGGTTTCATGTAATCCGTCGCATCCCTCTGTCTGTGTATATTAAATTCCTGTGCTTAATCGCCAACTCTCTGTGACAAATTCTTTTTGTAGCTGATTTATTCCACATATTTTCTCAAAAAAATTTTTTATCTTTTTAATTTTTAAGAAAAGACAAAACCGTAACAAAAGCCAAAGATAAAGAAGAAAAGAAAGCTGCATTACGTCTTAAAGAAGAAAAGCGTCGAGCAATCATAGATGAAGAAGATGCTGAAAAAGAAAATCAAGTTTCCTGGGAAAAAGTAACATACAATAAAGATGCAGTTAAACCACTTTTTGATAGTAAAGAAGAAATTACTGGAGAATTAGTAATTAAAAAATTACAAGAATTAAATACAAATAGAGGAAGAAAATCAACAAACAAAAAAGTTTATGGACGTTATTTAAAAGAATTATATAAAGTAACTGAAGAAAATGGATTAGGAATTGGTTTGTCGGCAAAAATTTTGACGGTTGTAATTTCTTCACTTTTTGAGATGAATACAAGAATTAGTGATGCTATGGAATTTAATTCGTGGACTAAGTTTGTTTTGCGGGGTTTTTTGGGGAGATTAGAATGGATAAGGGAAAAATGGGAATAAGTGAGATGAGGAGATTATTTTGATTTTTGAATCACTTTGAGATCTGAGGCTACCTCCATATCCGAATTCGCCCTCTTGTTACGCTCTCGCCCTTGAATTCGATCCCTGGATATGCTCTTGCATTTCTCGGACTAACAATAAGTTTGTTTGGGTTTTTTAATATTTTTCTGAGGGATTGGAAAGGATAGGGGAAAAATGGGAGTGAGTGGGAGATGAAGGATTGTCTTCATCTTGAGTTTATGTCAGATGATAGCCGTCTCTGCTCCGGAATCCGATCCCAAATCAGTTCCATAGATACGCCTTTGCGTTCGAGTTGGTTTACCCCAAAAGTAGTCGGTTTCTGTAACGGAGTTGTCAGGTCCGCATATAAAAAAGGTCCAAGAAAAGATTTGGGTGTTCAAAAATAATATCGGTTTGAACATTGATCCAATTCCTGATATTCGGAGATTTCTCAAAAACCGTCAACCTACCTCTGAATTTTTTTTCAATTTAATTTTTTACCTTAATATTCAAAATTTAATTATAATTTATAGATCTGTTGAAACAGTTAATCGTCTTTTAAACCTTTTAAATGAAAATCCTAATGTGATTATTTCAATTTCAACTGGGGAGGATGAAGAGAATATTTTGGTTTTTTTAAATTTTTTTCCTAATTTTAAACTTAAAAAATTTTTTAAAGGACAAAACAAAGCCTTTTCTTATCCACGGTTCTGTTATTTTAATGGTTAAACGCTTGGATGATGAATTAACAAAAATTTTTCAAAGTACAGATTGTCACAGTACGGATTATATTGAAAAGTATTTTAATTTTTAGGAGGATGTAAAAATTTTTTTGTTTTTAGATTAAAAGGAGAATCGTCTTTTTGTTCTTTAATAGAAAAAGCACAATTATATGCTGATGGTCAACATAAAACGGGAGTTGTTGATCAAAATGAAATTTTGTTGATTTATGGGCTTAGAATAGAACATTTGTATTATAAGGTTTATTTTTTAAATTATTTTTTGATTTTGCCGTTCCATGATTTTTAAAGTGGCTAGCTGTCCAGAAACTAGTGAATAGTTAACCAGAGATGAATTTCGGGAAATTAAGCGCAAAAATTTAAAAATTGCTTTTGGACCAGGGATGGGCCGACTAGAGAAAAAAAAGTCGGGAGGATTTGAATGAGGTATAGGATCTCGAATATCTGGTCCCATCCCTGGCCTGTAGAAATCGAGATATT